GTATCTAAAAGCCCAACGATTAGGTACTTTTTTGAAAACGGAATAAAACCCTTCCTTCGAGTATAAAGTTGAAAGAAGACATAACTTTCTACCGAATGAGCGGAAGAATAGATATCTTATTCATGTTTGAAGCATTTTGTCCCCGGTACGAAGCTGAAGTAGGCAAGAACGGCAGCCTATATACGACGAGTGAAACCAGATCTTTGTAAACAATTGGAGCACGTGGTGAACCTAACATTGCCATGGTAGCCTCTGGCTCCATGATTCCCCCTCTCCTCTCATTTTTGCTCTTTAACGTTTCCTCCTTTTTTCACTTTCTTCCCCTACGGCGTTTGTGTTACTAACTTTATCGATTAACCAACTTTGCCCAAAACCCTAACCTTGCTGTTTCTGCATCGATTTTCTGCATGAATTCAAATCTGTTGTATTGTTCTCACTCGTTATCCCTCTTATGAAGCGACAGGAAGCAGCTGAAGAGCAGTCGCGAAATTTTTGGTGTCAATAAATCCTGCCGTTCTTGCCTACTTCAGCTTATTCATGTTTCCATGATATATATGTGGACTTTTAGGGGCATCGAACATCAATGAGAAAAATGTATGCTTATTAAGGGGTCACTTTTTGCAGAGTACGGCTTTTGAATGCAAGCGGAAAGAAACTCGTTCGACAGCCGGAGGCCTGGGGTAACTAAATCAATATAGAATTATACTGCAGGCTGATTAGTTTTACAACGTTTCTTAATTAATCTTTTCGAAACGAAAGCGCAGTTCGGAATTTTAGCTGACATTTCATGAGTTAGCCCACCTACTGTACCTTTGTCAAGGGCTTTTTTGCAGATGGAGGCCTTTCCTTCCAGCTGGAAGAACGATATGCGTGCATTTCATACCAAATCCGTTGGTGATCAAACAGCCGGGCCAAGGATGAACTATCACAGGCACAGAGCACTCTTAATGCGATTTTATCTCGAAAAGCCACCGCATAGAATGTTACGAAGGGAATTAAGGACGAGCATCGTTTTAGATCAATGTCTGTAGGCTATCAATCTGACTTTAGAATGGGTGGCTAACCAAGCGTTTGCACTGATCACATTTGAAAATAATCACTGGTGGGATGGAGCATTTTTGCCCGGATTCTCAGGGGCACCTTGCAGAAGTCTTGCTCAAACATACGTTGCCCCAATTTTATGTCGAATTACCTCTTCTTCCGATTTGATGTTTAAAAGATTGCGTCTTTCGATTAAAAGACATTTATGACTCCTTAGACGCTCATATAATTAGTCGCGTAGTTTGCCGCACTCATATTGATGAGTACTGCACGCAGAATATGTAAAATAGTCCATGTTCAGTACGGTGTTATGCGTCCACAAAGGGTTCGATTTTTAAAGGTACGCGTTGGACTTAGTGAATTAGGTTAAGTTTAATCGCCCGTCATGCTATCTGTAAATCCTGAAAGCGAGCAAAAACTCCGGATGCATTTCGAAATTTACCGACTCGGAGTTCTCCTTCTCCGTTTGAATCTGTGACCGTGAATTTCGAGGCAACTTACCTGCATTTGTTTCAAGTCTGGATGGAGTCTCTACAGCAGAAGTAAATAAACTAGATCACCACCAAAACATTTTCAGTTAATTTACGAAACTCGGTGCCGACGCTACTAATGAACTCAACAGCATCCAGGTCACATGATGAGAAATCACTTTATCCCTGGATCTACCCATCCATCATCAACGAAAGGCGCGCTTTCAACGAGTTAAATGTGTTCTGTCGTCCCTTGCCAAGAAATATTAATCTGTTTCTTGCCTTTCAAGGCTCGATGGGAGCGCGTGCTGTCATTGAAAATTCATTAATTTCACGCCTTATGTACTTAAATTATTTTAGTAGCTCGGTTTCCGAAGGTCCGTAACAAAGAGAATTCTTAAGGACACAGCTATTTCTATAGCTTACGAACTCATGTCGTTTTTACGCTGTTCCAGAGTGGGAGGTTAAATCCGTATATATTCCGATGATCTAAATCCCATAATGGGCTTTTTATATGGAACTGTTTGGCAAAGTGAATTTTCTAGGAAGAAAGTAAAAATAAGTGATAAAACACACTACATGGGAAATGGTTTGTTGAATGAGGCCTAGTTAATTGACTGGAAGGAAACTTAAACCGAAGCCAATGTCAGGTCCTCTAGGAGTCACCCTGGGACCGCATTTCCTGTTGCAGGATCCAACGAAAATGTATTTTTGAATTCGAAGGCATACTGCGTCCTCCACTTAACCTGTTAGTGGTAGTTCCAATAGCAGTGGTTTTAATGATCACTCAGTACACGAATTCATGTGAACGACTGCGTCCCTGACTCCACAGAAGAATGCTTCATACAAAGCCCTGCATCTGAGTATTGCCTTCAGAGGGAAACAGGGCAAAGAAGAAGACGGGGCGACCGATGGATGAAAAGGACGAGAAAGCCAACGACAATTAAGGGATGGTATTTGAAGAACGAACCATGCTGGCTTTGCAGTGGACCATTATGAAGACAACACCAAGGTCCGGTGCGCGTTATTGGGTTGCTCAACCGCAGAAAATAACATGCATGAAGGAGTGTGATGGCACACCTAGGCGCAAGCTGACAGGGCTCCAGTTATCTGCGCGCGATTCTGCTTCCGATCTACCTTGAAACTGACTTCGGGAGAAGAGAGGAAGTGGGAAAGACGCGTAGCAGCCGTCCCAGTTACCCTTTTCTCCGGCTCCGTTTTGTCGAACAATGGCCGCGACAGCTGTTGACACACGGCCACCCCCGCCGGCTAGAACTGGGACACCTCCGGTTCAACTCCAGTGCCTGTCGGCTGACCTCAAAAACTTTCATCACCTCACGCGCGTCGAACGCCCTGACTTGATACCCGTGAGACATTGTGAGTATGCGCCCCCCCATTCCTCCCCTAAGTTGTCCAATCACACGACGAACACTCAGCCAGTCACGCCCTCCTCCTGACCCAGACACTCACTCTTACACAACACACCGCGACTGACACTCTCCGTGATCCGGCGCTTTTCTCTGTCGCAAGCAAACACCCAACTTACGGCAACCTCCCCTGTGTATAGAATAAACTTGTCCTTGCAGCTTCCTGACTTCTGACATTAGACGAAACGAAATTATTGTGCGTGGTTTAAGTTGATCTCACATCCTTGACCGGCATAGATACATCGCAAATCTACGATCATTGCAAACTAATTCGCGCGCAGGTCACCGTCCCTGCGCCACCCAACTGTGGGACACTGTCAGAAACGACGGTCGTACTGTCGTGCGGAACGCACTGGACGGTGGGCGCTGGGTCCAATCTCATTCCCAGTTGACTTAACTGTAAGTCACTGTGGATGAGTGAGGGAAAGTAGGATGCAGTCCCTGCGGAACGCAGTACCATGAACAAGTTACTACACTTTGAAATTGCCACCAGAAGCCAAAAGGCGTAGCTGTAGCTGCAGTTTCTTAATTTCCTCGGAAATTAACTGCGAACTCGGAGTATCTGCCAGAAAACAGACAGAGGACTGCTGGGAGACCCTCTTCCACCCTCCTTACTGTGTCTTAACACCGGGTCCGAGAGGGTAAGGGAATAAATCGCAAACCTTCCATCATTATAAACAAATTTGCGTGCAGGTAGACGCTGTCAGCCACGAAGATCGTGCTGTCACGTAGTTGGCGGGCATTGAGCCCAATCTCATTCCCAGTCGACCGTAAGTCATTGTGCATGGGCGAGAAATGATAGAATACAGTCGACCCACCTGGTGGTCAGGGCTTACCTCTCAACCACGAGCAAGCAAACACGCCTACAAACTGTCACCAAAAGCCAACGGCCAACGCAGCTCAATGACAAGGTAGATATCTCCCTTATCTGGACATCAACGCATGCCGAATGCGACTTTCATGCCAATCAGACTCATACAGGTTCCGGGAGACTCAGCTGAATTGAGCTTAAGGATTTGGTTTTATACTGCACGCATAAGTTGACTATTTAGCTTTGTTAGCCACTGCATCCGCACCTTCCTCTGGTGATGCCGACTTCGCCTTGCAAGTAGGACAGGTGCGTTTTGAAGGAGAGGGTGGGGTTGATGCTGTTTAGCGTTACCTTACAACAAACAAGTCTCCTGAGACGTTCAAAAGGCGCCTTTTTAACAGTCAGGCTTCAAAAACAGACTGTTCTGTTACGTCGGATCATATGAAAGCCAAAGAGCTATTTGGCACGAGGACGAGTTACCAAGTCAGATGCGACGTTCACCCGGCGCTTGTAGCTACTCATTAAATATACATTCTCACTGGGTAAGTCTTAAACGCTTTTGATTTTTTTCATGCCACATCAAAAGTAATGGTTTGGAAGGCTGTCAAATGACATTACAACCTGATCTCCTGACTTCGAGTGAATTGGGACTCGTTTCAGTCAGTTTAGGAACAAGCACGAAATATCACACCCAAGCTCATTTCCACCCAACTCCACCTTGCGATTTTCTGAAACACGAAAAACGAGGAAGTTGTGGGAACAGTTTGCCGCTTTATACTTCAATTCACACGCAGTTTGGCACTTTTTCTATCTGTATAATGACGTCATTTGCTAAGCACAAAATTCAGTTACGCGTTCAAATGCTTTCCTAGCCTTAAATCAGAAATTCAATGATTACGAAGTCAGGAGCCGTGGGTGTGTATTTAAGTAAATCGAAGGACATCCCTGCATATTCCATGCCTAGAGATTTATAGGCAGAAAGGCACTTGTCCTCTGTGGAACTTTTATATTTATGGAAAAAAATATTCAAATACATGCACATCGGAGCGAACGAATCCACCTAATTGGCGACTACATTCGCTTTCCACAGAATCTTGACATAGGCCGTCAGGCGACTTTCGTTCTGAATAGAAAGTTGACCTGCTTGTTTTTTGCAATGCAATTTCCCGTTGACCGTCGTAATTTTCCTTACTTCTGCTGTCGCGTGTCTTGTTGGTGTTTGTCTCCACTTCAAAAAAATAACTCCGCAATTCACAGTGTTCCTTGAAGATAAAAGAAGCAAGAACATATGCCGGATAAATCTAAAATTGCCGCCCTCCTCGTTAAGTCTTGTAAAGAATTGTAACGAGACGGTCACCCAACATCAATATTTATATCCATACGCGCTACTGCGGTATTTAAGTAGCCTTGCAGTATCGAGTGTTTGTCAGACGGTCGATGGCGCCGCAGCGTAGTCTTGAGAAAACATGTCAGACTGTACTGTGTCTGTTTACACAGCTGCATTTGTTCACCCATAAAATGTTCGGCATCCCCAGTGCAATCGTTTGTCACTCTATACACGCCCCCTGTAACTTATTTGCCTGAGGTGAGCTTCCCACTAACGGCTTAAAAGAATAGCTAATACTACATAAATACTGACGTTTCTGGCATTTGAGTTTAATATATCCTGTAGAAGGTCGAGCCGCAAAAAATTCTAGTTATTCATTCTGTTTCTTAAAACCTAAAGGCGAGGCTTTGTCCCCAATACTACCGGTAGTTGCGTAAATACTCTGGTCGACAGGAAGAGTCTCAGTTAGTCCCCCTCGACTTCTCTAACAGTGTTTATTTGCTCACCGTTGAGGTCCGTTGTGATAGCCTGTGCAGTCGGTGACTTTGGGGTATTTCAGTTCTGCTCGACAATTTTCTTGGACTGGTCGGTGGATTTGGGCCTTATTTAGCAGAAGGTAGATCGATCTCCGTTTGTGAGAGATGCGGGATACAGCCAAGCGTAGGTTTGCACGTCGTTTTTGTGTGGCCGCCAGCAAGCTGATGTATCGGTCTCGATAAAAGCATTTGACTATTTTTAATAATATATCAATATGGGTAATAATATATATATATATATGGACCTGTCGTGCGCCTGACTCTTGCTTACAAGAAAGGGTCAGTGCTAATACGCAACAGGCAGGCAGGCCAGTGGTGGCGCATCGGAGAGGGCCATGATACAAAACAAGGTGGCGTATCAGGACAAACCGGGACCAGCAGGAACAGCCGCCTCATCAGTTTTGGTGAGGAAAAGGTGGACGTTTTCAAAATGACAGAAGAAATACAGTTCATTGCATGAACTCGCTTTCTACTATTCTTCTTCGTCATCTGGGAATACACTGGATGCAAGAAATATCTGGCACCGGTCCACACAAGATTACATAGTTGAATTTTACAAGGGCATCTTTGTTTATTTGCTCTAGAGGCCTTTTAAGCTTTAAGAAATAATGCATCAAGTCAAAGATTTTTCAAAAATCAAACAATTGGATTTTCTTACGGTTGTCTATACGAGTAGAAAACTAATAAACCTAATAAAAATAAAATAATAAACCCAATAAAACTAATAAACTAATAAACCTACTGTCCCAGAGATGGGGTCTTCGTCTTCTTTACAACAAGAACCTGGGATTCGCATATTCGCTTCCATCCGAGAAAACTGACTGTTTAAAGAAATCTGACCTTAAATTATCCTTGTGAAAACAATCTAAGTTTACTTAAAAATTTCTTGTCTGATTTTTTCGAGAACAAGCCTTGACACACACGAACAAACCCTCACAAACACCAAAGGCAGATCGATTGTCGTTTCCAACAATGTGCACCGCATGCTTTAGAGTAAGATGGGAGCAGAGACGGTGATTTGCACTTGAAATAGTTACAGTGACGGTGGACTTGTGCAGCATCTACCGCACTCTTTCTTCCCTTCCTCATCTGGGCGCGGTGCCGCGATAGAGTCAAGAACACCGGAGGCGAGGAGGGGGCACAGGTGGCTGGCGCGTCAAAAACCATCACATAAACGTACAACCGCACCATGTCGTCCAAAACTTACACTTATTATGATTCTACACAAGGAAAAAGGAGAGCAACTCTGATACCACTAGGTATAAACGTCATAAAGGTCACATTAAGAAGAGATCATTTCAAATCTAACTGTCAGTGCACCAGTCTGCCGCTCCGCATAAACATGCACTGAACTTGTACGTTACCACGTATGTGGTCCCTTTTTGACACCTTTTACCTTATACTTTAATTTTCTGTTTGCCTCGGAAAATTATGGCTTTCTGTTTTCCTCCAACCCTCGTGCCATTTGTTTGAATCTCCCGTTTTCTTTCCGCGCAACTTGATACTGCCCGTCTGACTAGACGCCACATCTTTCTGACTGTACGCCTGGAGGCATTTGGTTGTAAGTGTAGCATTCAAATCTTGCTAATCACGCCAATTATAAAACCGTATTTCCGTACAATTCTGCACTTATTTACACCGTTTCCACGTACGGACTGCACGAAGTAAGCCGACTCCGACGACTGAATCTAGACAGGCTAGAAAGCAGCTAGGTTTAACGGACTCTGTGTGAGTAACGCGAATGGGCCAACAGTTGGCGGTCGAACGTACTCCACAGGGCTGACTGCCAAGTCGAAGTTGTACCATCAGTTGTCAACCTTCCAAACCGCAGACTTTAGCGTACCGCGATAGTATTAAACGCGTCAAATTATTTATGGGGACGAGTATGCGCTGAGGCCGCAGACTTCCACCTCTCTTTCGACTTCCAGGCCGGTCAGTTGTCTGATGCGTAAAGTGGGAGCAGTGCTTGACGGGAAGAAAGAGAGAGCTCGTCTACGCGTGCAACACGCTCGACCTGGCTGCCCGCAGGCACACGGCAGGATTACACATACAAATGGAGCGATTTGGATCTCACACGGTTTTTCGACCGTTATCAAGGACACTGTCTACTGCTGTCCCATGGGGGGATTTACGCGTGGATTTGTTTACAGCGACTCAGGATTTGAAGAAGAAGAAGTTGGGCTCACCGGAACAGCTTTATTTAGATGCTGACGTTTCGAAGAGCTTGGTCGGTTCTCCATAGTCAAAGCGTAAACTGCACTTCATCGACCAGGTATCCCAAGTGGTGTGTCACGTTGGTCGGCCTCGTGCTGATCGATTTTTCTCTCCTCTCGCTGCCTCGGCCTCACGGGCGATGGGTGACGGGCGTTTTGTCTGCGTGCGTCGAGGGGAGATGATTGAACATTTGTCGGGTGTTCGGTCTGGTGGTTCTTGTTCTTCCTTACCGCGTAAACTCGTCGTCGGGTTGTCTCCGTATGGCCTTCTTAAGTCATGTGTGGTTGTTTGGTCCTGAGCTCTACGATTGTGATGACGTAGGACTTTGTAAGCTACAGGAAGGTTTAGATGCCTGTTAATAGAGTGGGCATCGGAGAACCACGCCTCGAGAGTTTGTCGTTCTGCTTTTGTGTTGCCCCGGCCTAAGATGGTAGCTCGCTGTAGACCGAAAGTATGCTCAGTTTCTCCAACGTGTTTTGTTAATTAAGAGTTCGGGTTTAACCTCCGAGTAGCCGATTTGTGCCCTTGTAGGCGATTCTGCAATTTCCGCCCGGTTTCTCCTACATATTTGCAGTCGCCCTCATTGCAATTTATTTTGTAGATAACTGCTGAGGTTTCGGCGGTTGGCAATGGGTCCTTAGGTTGCATCAGACGGCGTAAAAGTGTTGCCTGGGGTCGGTGGGCTACGCCTATTTTGGCAGGTGGTTAAAATCAATAGACCGCCTCAGAGACCCCTTTAACGTAGCGAATGGCCCTCCAGACTTCAGGTTGCTGCTCATTTGGCCGTCATATATGCGCCCGACGTCTGCTTCTCTCGATAAAATTTCTGGGATAACCATTGACTGCAAATAGGTTCTGAAGATGCATTCGGTCGGCTCTTTTATCTTCTGGCGCGCTGCAGTGTGTTTCGACTCTTTGGAATAGAGTGCGGACATAGCTGCGCTTGTGAGACAGAGAATGATTGCTGTTGAAGTGTAGGATCTGTCTCGTGCCGGCGGATTTTCGAAATACGGCGGCTTGCAGTTGTACAGTTGTACACCGTCACACAAGCACGTCAAGGAAGGGCAGTTGGCTGTTTGTTTCTGATTCCATCGTAAATTGGATATCCGGGTCAACCGCGTTCTGTAGTTCCTTTAGGTGCTCAACGTCAGTTGTTTTGACAACGACGGTGCCATCGACATAGCGAGCCCAGAACTTTGGTTGATACTTGGTGAAAACCAAGTGTTCTATCCGTTGAATAACTAATTCAGCGATTAGGCCTTATAGAGGGGCGCCCATAGGAGTGCCTTTTATTCGTTCGTACGTATGTCCACCAAAGGGGAAATAGGTCTTGAGCCAGTATGGCAGAAGCTCGAGCAGATGTTCAGACTTCAGAGGCTTGTCCCTCTCCTCATTGCGCTCTGCCAGTAGTCGGTCGACAACGTCTATCGCTAGTTGCTGTGGAATGGAGGTGAAGAGCGAAATGACATCGAAGGATACCATGGATTCGTCTGGCTCAAACTTCAGATGTTTTATGCGCTCGAGGAATTGATTTGCAGATGCTACTGTTGTTGGCGAGCCTTCGGCTAAAACCTTAAGACGACCGAACACCCATTTTTCCAAACCATACGTCGGAGTGCCGCGAAGGGATACGATTGGCCTAAGTGGGACATTTGCCTTGTGTAGCTTCGGTAGACCGTAAAAACGAGCCGTGGCGGTGTCAGTGGGTTTCATGGAGAGCCAGTCGATAAGCGTTATCGCTACCTTGACCCTGCGATTTCTTTTGCGAAACGTCAGCATCTAAATAAACCTCTTCCGATGAGCCCATCTTCTTCTTCTTCTTCTTCTTCTTCTTCTTCTTCTTTTTCAAATAATCAACCCAGATCTCTCAACTTCGCCAATCTGAATCAGGATTCTCATCACAGCTGTTTTGCTATGGATCATGGAGCTAAATAGTCAAACTACACGCGAAATGCACGGTCTGGTACCTACTTCACGTGTATCAGAAGGACTCGAATCTCACATAGGTGCGTTTGCCACAACGGTCGCCGTACACGAGAGCGACTGCGGGTTAACCGTTAGTTCCGAGTGGGGGCCTAGTTACCATGTCAACTGGCAGTCTTTCAGACAGCGATAGATAAGGCACAGCGAAAGACTCAGGCATGTTGTATTTATTCTATTGAAGAAAGCGCTAGCGTGCCATAAGTATGAGCCCCTGCCCATGTATCCATCCGACTATCTGTTCCCCCTCCCATACGTCCATGGCTTGTCCGAGCCAATCCAACTAAGAATGAGACTGAGTAGAACTGGTGGTAAGGTTATGCCACCCGTCCACACGAAACACTCACACACCACCCGTGCCCGCCCTACATATTCCAGACCACGGTAACAATCGGGAGAGGGCACCAAAATATCCGTTGCCTAGAAATAATACCTGCTATACCTATTTGAGTAGGTTATGGCCCTACATATTTGTTGTTTCATCCGAACTCAATTTTATGTGATCTGCAGTGCACATGTTGCCTCACTTAGATTATCATAGTCTCCAACAGTTGAGATGCGACGGCTGTAGACCGAGCCATGGTTAATCAACCTTGATCTAGGCTTACACGGCTGAAAAGCGACAGCAGTAATGGAGTTGCGGCTAAATCTACCTTAGGAGTTGAGAAACGATCGCTGTAGGCCGACCATTGGTTTGCCATCCTTCACATATGCTTGCTTCGGTCACAAGGGACGAAATTAGTCCGTTTGCGGCTATCTTTAGACCAGCATAGCATAGGAAAGTTAGGGAGTGATCGCTTTAGACCCATTCTATGTTTATTAACCTGAAGCTGAAGAGCGTGCGCAGCAGTCGATATGCGGCTTAATCTATGGTAGCATACGTTCAAACACTTACGATACGATCGCTGTGGACCGGCCCTTTGATTAATCCATTATGACCATTTCTTCCTTAGGTGAAGAATAACCGCAGTTGTAGGTATGCGGCTCAATCTATGGCACCATACACTTTGTACAGTTGCGAAAGGATCGCCGTAGACACACCCTACAGTGAGTGACCGACCTCATGAAATGTTGGCTGAAATTCTGAAATGCGTTTTCGATTAGGAAGGATTACTTAGTCGCGGTTGTAATACTGATTACCATAAGGCATACTCTTATAACATTTCGGACTCGGCAGGATGTTGGCTTTTAAATGCACTTCTTTTCAATGTCCTGTAGAAAGCGTACTCGGCAAAAAGTGACTACCTAAGTAGCATGCATTTTTCCCATTGATTTTCGATGGTCTTGCAAATTCAAATATATTTTATAGAAACCATAAACAAAAATATACGTTCTTTTTGTCAATTAATAGAGAATCACATCTTCTTTTGTTGCGATCGGGTATATTAACTAGGATAAAGGGACGCGCACCGATCGCGTTACGTAACCCACTCGATGACGGTTTACGCGTCAGAAATGCCCATTCCACTCTCCGTTGTGTTTATCGGTTATGCTAGGCAAGGATTACGTAATTGAGTGAGGTAGAAAAAAGCTAACTGGTGTTTAACGAACTCCTGCTTTACTGGCAGACGCATACATTCCAGTTAACAATATGTATAGTATTTTTTTACCACCTGACCGCCCTCCGTGGCAAACTACTTTCGAAAAACGAGCTTTCCTCTTACTGAAGAATTACGTGTGGGGTGTAGAACAATGAACCAATGTAGAAATTTCAGCAGTGCTGATTTCATGGGACGATACGGGTCAGCGAATGTTATCGTGCCGACAAATAGCCGATCGAAAACCCCTACTTTTAAAAATACAATAGGTAGTTCTCCATAGTTTTCCTTACCTGCGCGTACTTTCGACCCTTACCCAATGCTATTCCGCCCATATTGTGCGCTGATGTGTGGCTGCCGGCAGTGGCCAAGAGGGCCACAGGATACAACGGGACGAGGAAGTCCCATGACGTGATCGGTGAGCGTCCCTCTACGACAAACAAACATCCTAACTTAAAGCTCCCCTAAACTAGTATCATTTTAGTATTCATTTCCGGAAAAACACTTTGAGTTGATTCGCATTAGTGAACGAATGTCAAAACAAGGATCTGGCAACACATCTAAATATCTGTTGTTGGTCAGAATGGTAGGGGGCGCTCACCGATCGAACCCGACAGAGCAACGGACTCGTGGCCCAGTGGTTAGAGGCGTGGACTTCTAACTAACAAGTCGCGAGTTCGAGGCTCGGGTGTTTCACACTTCGGGCTTGGGTATGACTGGCTGACGACGGCTAGTAAGCCAGGAATGGCCATTCCAGTCTCCCTTGACTTTGTCGGTAATAACATACTGCCAGATAGTCAGAATCAGGAACACTTATATTATGCTGGGAATGAAACTGTTCAAATTATAAGACTTCACCGCATCAATTGCGCCCAATTTACACTTGTTAGCAACACTTTGACTTACAGAAAACCCTGAAAGCGTTAACAACTCTGCCAATACAAACGAATTTCCCTTTGAGGATTTTGCCATAACAGAACTCGCAGCCTCTTCTGACTGACATACTGAGTTGAATCTCAACTGCCCTAAAGCTTACCCCAAACCCTAAACCTAACCCTGACTCCAAACCCTATACCTAGCCCTAGTCCTGGTCGTTGTCCTTGATCTAACCCCAACTGCAACCGAGGCCCTAACCCTTATCCTAGTCCCACCCCTAGCACTAAACCAAGAGCACAATCAAAACCCTAACTCTAACCGGAACGATTGAACTTGACACAAACCCTAACCGCAAACTCAAGTCTCAGCTTCACAGTACCCCAAACCCTAAGACTAACCCTACGTCTAAATTCGAACACACGGTTGACCTTTTCCGTTCCAGCAAGATGCATGTGTGCCACTTCGGCATAATCTCGACTGCTCAAAACAATTCAGTAGTCAAGCCGTATAATTTTCATCAGGCGCGACTGCAAGGCCAACCAGATCTTACCAGTAAGCACCCGCTTTCGACTGATCGAAACTCTGAAAGTTTTAACGACTATTCCAGTACAAACGAATTTCCCTTTTAGGATTTTCGCCAAAATAAAATTCACAGCCTCTTCTGACTGCTATGTTACGTTGAGTCACTTCAAGTGCAGGAAATACTGCAAATTGAGAACGCACATATAAACAAAGGAGACTTTTTATTTAAACGGAGGTATTCTGAAATGTACTGGATTAATAAGAGTCAGAGACTTGAGTTATGAATTGCCAGACTTCCACTTATTTAACTTTTACCCAGCATAGAACGCGTAATTAAATCTGGCGACCTATACATACTTTGGTGGAAAACTACCAATCAGAGAAATAGCAGGCCAGTTGGTCTTCATCAGATAAATATTTTCACTGTACGTTCGGCAGCGTGATCTTCCTCTGTATGTCACTGTTGTTGTGTCGGTATGACCTTCAGACCTTGGTCTCTTGAAGGTCGCATTAGCCCGACTATATTTAAACTCCACACTGCTGATTGGTGAAATGGTGTTCGACAGAAAGGCGTTTATAATGAAACGGAGATAGTCAGGGTGCGGTTACTAATGTGGAAACGGAAAATTCACGTGACTGCAGCTGAGGCGCTGAGTTGCAACAGCAGGAACTTTGGATTGCCTGCTGGGAACGATAGATGCTTCGAAGGAATAGAATAGCCGACTGACCAGACGCAGTGGGCGACGCTGACTGCAAGGGACCCCACGAGGACGCCCAGCCCCCATTTCAAGTACTCCCTCAATCCGAATACGATGCAAAACATGTTGAAAAAACTGGGGATTCTAAAATATTCCGGATGCGTTACATTTACCTAGCAGCACTAAAAGAAAATTGTTTGCCTAGCAGACGCTAGTCAGCTACTGCGGCAAGACCTTATTTCGTAGCCGCGCCTGTTAATGTTAGGGTTAGGGGTTAGAGGTCAAGGTTAGGGATTAGGGGTTAGGCGTTAGTGATCAGGGTTAGGGGTTAAGGCTAGGAGTTGGGGTTAGGTGTTAAGTTGCGGCTTGTCCTCTGAAGGTAAGGCTATGAAATAAGATCCGAAAACACTTCCATGATATTTAAACCTGACAGATCGCTGATATGAGGAAAAAGACGCCGCGTGTATTTGCGCTCTCCGAACCCTATTCAAGTAAACTAATGCGGAAAACTGTGGCCGTCAGAAAGCGGTTCATTCCTTTAGCAAAGAGACACACGTATTGGATAAAGGATTAAACGATGCACTTCATGATTTTCCGTGCAAAAAGTTTTCATACAGTCGCACTATTGAATGCAAATTTGCATACATGATAAGAATAACTATGCTTTGTGATAGTGAGAACAATAACTGGAGTAGATAATCTGTTTCGTAATTTTCCGCGAAAATGTTTCCACATAGTGAGACTACTGACGCCATTTTAGAAGCATGATTAGAATAACTATGCCGTGTGAGTCGAAATGCTCTTAATCTAGCTCGGTATATTTTGGCTTCAGGGGCGTTAGCATTGAAGACCAACGTGAATACGATGCATGCCATATTCAAATTCAACTGATCATACTACTATAGTGTTTCAGTGACGTCTTCATTGCGTGAGAGGGTATTGTGAAATTTGAGTCCCGGGCGCTACTTTGGGAGCATAACGTGACTATGGTAAGGTAAATAATAACTTTTTCTGAAAGGTTTCAGTATAATGGTCTACTGGTCTGCGGCTTGTCTACTGCAGGTACGGCTGGGAAATGAGATCCAATCCTTACTGCCCTGTTGGATGATAAGCCATGTTTATGCTCATCTAACTGTCATAGTACCGTTCACTGCAAGCAGAGTTCATGAACCCAGTTGATCCTTGAACGAAAGCCGAAACGTTTGTGGCAGTTCGCGTCCTCTTGCCCTCCGCCTTTGTCACGCTGCCTTCCTGTCCGCCTCACGCTCCTTGTCGATACGCTGCTGGGACTCGCGAGTGCTCCAGGCCAATCATCGCTGTCCCCCCTCTGATTGGCTGGCGGACGCGGAGATAACGGAGCGCGCACACGCGCTGGGACACAACACCTCGAAGGCAGTCACAGACAACAACTTGTCTGGAGAGCACGCTTGCGGCGGCTGCCCACACAGCCTTGGTGTACACGCGTTCCAAACAGTAAAGCTGGTCCACGCATTCCGTCTTCCCTGACTTTTTATTGGGAATCTTTATCTTGTCGACCTACACTCAACTTCCGTCATGTTCTATTCGAAAAACTATTGAAAGTTACTCGCAACTTTTTGGCCTTTTACATCGCTTCAAGCCTGTCCTTGCGTCGTCAGGACTGTGGGGAATACTATGCTGGACTTATTCAATTTTGAAATGGCTTTCCCCCTAAGTATCTCATTAAGAGACTTCGGCCCAGTTGAGTTTATGTATTTTTGAATTAGAATTTTAAAAAAAATTATCTGCTGATTCGGCAAGGTGAATGGCCGGTAAGCAGCAGTTTACGCGATATAATCGAACCGAGTTGTATTCACGGTTAATCCAAACAGTGAAACGGAAGAAATTTTCAGTCTGAAGAAGCGGATATATCGCCAACGTGATTTGGCAGTTCATCTTGAGGCAAATAAGTTGACGTCATTCAACTGTACATATCTTGTCGCCTTTGTCTTGACCAAATTTTTCCCGGGAAAATAATGTTTAACAAGTTCATTGATAAAAAAAACAGTTCTCTAATTGTCAAGCCCATTTTATTATTTTAGAAAAGCAAACCAATTCCCGTTTTTAGTGCCATTACCTTCCACCCTATAATAGAGATGTACTGACCAGAAAAGCGAACAGAAGAAGCTTGAGGACAGTTGCTAGCAGGCTTGACTTCCAAGTTGTCAGGGCGCGATTGCAAAGTGGACGTGTGGCATCCACAATACAGGCCACTCTAGACGCTAGCCTATTAAAAAGAGTACAAAATGAGGACATTCAAGTAAACTCGCATATTGCTGTTTGCTAGCTTCTTCAAGGCAACTAAGGCTGATTTGGTACTTTACTGATAGGAGCATAGCTTTTCATGTATGTGCGTATAAGTCTACACAAAGTGGACAAAGTAATCCTATAAATTTTCGAACGACTCATAAATCTGGTAAGAGTCGGGAACCCAGTTATAGATGACCAAGCCCACACGCACATGTAGGGTATGGTGATATCATACTAACAGCACAGGTAATAGCCAAAGGCCCATGCACGCGTGTTCCGCCGATATTCTGCCGCTGGATGACACAGTTTTCATGGGTTCGTCTCGTCAGTGGGTCCTCCGACATTCCCTGTCTGCTTCCTGGTGGATATTCCAATTGTGAAATTTTCGTTTTTTAATTTCCTTAAAAATTAACTGCGAATCAAGAGTAGATCAGTATGTTGAAGGTCTATAGGCTCAGACTGAGATTGTTATGTATGAATATTTCGCCGAAGTCTCTCAGCCACAGCGGATAACCGCGTAATATTCATAAACTGCCGACAGGGAGTTAGAAGTATACTTAAGGGTAGAGGGATTCCACATTAACAGCACAGGCAATACTCCAGGTTGGCAGTTAACTTCTAGAGAACTTAAAAGGCAAAAACACACATATGCTGCATAAGCTGTGAGTGACAGTTCATGATCCGATGACTGTGGGCGAGAATCTGAGAACGTCTCTTGTAATTAAATACCTTGATTGTGTAATGTCTCTTTTCTTTTGATAGCAAAGCTTATGTGACCGCAATTCCATCGAATAAAGGTTGATAAATTATTCTGCATATTTTTTCAAATATGATCGACTACAGTCAGCTATCGAAAATCACAAGGGACGGTTCAGGAAGTTTGGGCTACGATTCTTTTTAGACACTACATGCACATCGAACTCAGAGCATGCTAATACAGAACTCAGTATGTTATGGTATTATGAGTATTTTGGAATTAGGCTTCCGGCTAGCTGGCTCTGAACCCATCAGTAAGGTAAATACATCCATTCAAAAAAGGTACAGAAAACACAGACAGTGGTTTCTTGAGTTTTTGCGTATGCTACGATGAGGAGTCACACGCACTTAATGTTTGGCTTCACTTTCTGATATTTCATTTGAACCCAACTGTAAAAAACTCGGTGACCTCGTTTTGATCCGAACCCACGACAGCTAGGTGAAGGCTTGAGTATGGCGAACGCTATAGCCATCTGAGGTACGAAGCCTTGACGGGAGCCGTAAGTTTAATCACATTTGTGTCAAGCTACTCGCCCATCCAAATGCAACCTTTAAAATCCATCAAATTTGGTACAGCAGGCTGACTTCGCAGACAGCATTTTCTAGGCAGGCAATCTATAATCCACCAGCCGACAACCAGGCTCAAATGCCTAATAGGTATTTTTGACAGGTTTTAAAATAATTCATTTTACCCAACTGTGAAAAACTGGACGGTCTTGAGTAGATTCGAATACATGACAGCAAAGTGGATTATTCAAACCCAGCTTAGACACAAGGTAATTAAGCGAGCCTGGTGGATTGTTCGACACTAAAACGGGCCACGCGACAGTTGCGCTGGATCAACACAAGAGCTAGATCAAAGTCCGGCAGGCGCTATTAAGAATGCGCACCCCTAACAAATGCCAACATTCGAGGTGCAACGGCAGGTCTACAGTAAGTGGGCTGACTCATGAAATGTCGGCCGAAATTTCGAAATACGTTTTCGCTTCGAAAAGATCAATTAAGCAGGGTTGTAAAACTATTCAGCCTGCAACATAATTATATCAAAGTTCAGTTATCTAAAGATGCACGCTTTCGAATGAACTTCTTTCCGGCTTTATGCAAAGACCACACTCTGTAAAAAGTGGCAACTTATGTAGCATGCAAGTTTTTCATTGATTTTCGATGCCCTTGAAAATACAATTATATTTCATGTAAAACATGCGTACAAATAGTCATTCGTTTACTTGTTCGATAGAAAATAACCTTTTCTTTCAATTTTATGCTGAAAAAAGAGTATAATTCGGTTTTAAAAAACTTTTCTAATTCCCGTATAATTTTTTACCTGACCTGCTGTTAAACCTGCCTTCAGAGTTTCAAAACTACAAGCCGTATATTTTTCGTGAACGGAAAAACACAAAACTCTCTATGGTATTAAGACGCGACTTTATGGAGTTCATAAGGTTAAGCAGTGGATTCGAACAATATTGGTAACTTTACAGGCCACATTGGTAACTCCAGTTACAGGACGTTTTAGGAACGGCCATTTCACGGTATTCAAAAATCTCACAATTAGAAACTTCTTCGAACAGAATTATACTCCTTCAAAATAAAAATGAAAGAAGACGCAATTGTCTACCGAACAAATAAAAGTATGAATATTTTATGCATTTTTTAATGAACTATCATCGAATTTTCAAGGGCATCGAAAATCAATGAGAAAATTGCATGCTACTTACGTAGCCACTTTTTGCCGAGTATAGTTCTTGCATGCAGTCGGAAATAAGTTCATTCGAAAGAAGACACCCTGCAGTAACTGGCTCATTATAGATTTATGCTGCATTAAAATTATTTTTACAACACTACTTAATTTATCTTTTCGAAACGAGAACGCATTTCGACATTTCGGCCGACATTTCATGAGTTAGCCCACTTACTGTAGTTACTGATGTACACCGGGGCAATTGAATCCGTACCGCCTCGTTTCTCTTGTGTAAAACCCTCGTTAGTGTACTTTGTGGACCAGGGAGTATGGTGACACACCTAGGTGGGGGTCAACGCCGTGTCAGCCACCCGCGCTCTCTCTCATCTCCAGTTTTCTTGACTCGGTCTTAACACCGGATCCCGAAGGGGGGACGGGAGAGAAATTGGGGTAAATACTGCGCCATTCTACAATCACAATAGGCTAATTCACGCCCAATTCAACCTTTCTGCTCTGGCGCCCATGGTGGACCTCGTAGAATACGATGGTTGAACTCTCGTGGTGAATTCTAGATTGATTATCTACGAAATTCTGCTTTGGGAAGTTAGCCTAGTGTATCAAATTTGAAAGATTTCATGCGTTGTAGTAGGCCGGGCGAGTAACTTAACCTAAGTGTAATTAAACTCACGAGTCCCGACAAGCTCTTGTGTCTCAGATGGCCAGAGCATTGACTGTACTCAAGCCTTCTCCTTGCTGTCATGGATTCGAATCTCACCGAGGTCGCCCACTTTTTCACAGATCGGTCAAATAGATTATTCATACTCTGTCGAAATACTTATTAATTAATTGAGCCTGTAAGTCATGTGGTAGATTCAAGATTGATTAATTGGGCAACCCGCCTGGGTGATCAGCTTACTCTATCAGACTTGGTGAATTTTAAACATTGCCATAGGCTGGGCGAGTAACTTGTGATAGTGGTTATTTTGGGACGTAATCCCATGATGATCCTGATTTACTAGGACGGCAGTTTTTTGATGCACTTCCTTTTCTCGTGTTAGAGCCACACTCGACAAAAATGACTACTTAATTAGCATGCACTTTCGATTCCATTGTAAGCAAGACTGGAAAGGTCACGTCTAAACGCGAGCAAAACGCCATCTTGCAGTAGAGAGGCGGATAAATTAAGAATGCACTCTACAACTATTAGGGATCAGCGTTTTGACGGATTGTGAACAATACCTTTTGGCCTGACTGTGAAAAGCTCGGCGCCTCGGTGGGAGTCGAACCCACGTAGTAAGGGGAAGGCTTTGGTACAGTCAACTCTCTAACCACCTGAGCTACGAGACCCCTCCAGACGGCGGGAGTTTAATGACATTTGGGTCAATTTACCCGCCCAGCCTACTGCAACGTCTGAAATCCACCAAATCTGATACAGTAAATCGACTGCCCAACATCTATAGATTACGTAAGCCTGGTAGTCATCTGGCGGATTCTAGGTGAATTACTTAGGAAATCCTGCTTGGGCAGTCAACTTACTGTATCAGCTTTGGCGGATTCCAGACGTTGCAGTAGGTTGGGCGGGTAATTTGCCCCAAATGTGACTAGACTCGCATCTCCAGGTGAGCCTCAAACCCTAGGTGGCCAGAGCGTTCGCTGTACTCAAGCCTTCCCCTAGCTATCGTGGGTCCAAATTCCGCCAAGCACGCCGAGTTTTTCACGATTAAGCCAGAAGGAATTGTTCAAAATCTGTCAAAACGATGATCCCTGAAATTTATAGAGAACTTGAAGGGCATTCTTAGTTTATCCAACTCTCCGCCGCAAGACGGCGTTTTGCTCGCTTTTAGACGCAACCTTCCCAGTCTTGTTGACGGCAGCCAGGGACTGTCGCAACCCCACAAACTAATAACTATCGCCAAGTTTAGATTGACGTCTGGCAAGAAAACCGGATCATTTTTGCACACCTGAAGGTTTGTGGTTTTTTACTTGTCTTGCTTTTTACTTTGTGAGCAGAGTTAATCGACTCACCTTTGCATTCAAGGTCGCTTTCTGTACCCAGACGTCTGTGCATTGGTCGCCCAAATTTTTACGACTTTACGCACACGGCTTTTGCCATTCGACTGGCCTTTAAAGCATGAATTCTCTCCCGTTCTAAATCAATCCAAACTGCTTCTGACATTGAGCCTGACACTGATATTTGGCAAAATCAAGGCAGGCGTAGACAGTTGACTCCGGATGCCCGAAGGAGGACTTATTGACGAATACACACAAAGATATTTTATAATAATTTTGGGATTCGTCATGGGTCTAATTACTTTGCACACGTACAGAGCGTTACTGCAGGATGGGAAAAAACCTAAATCGTCTGCGGCTTGTGCTTGTTCATCCTACTAACTTGCCCTCTATGCAGTCTTCGTTGACTGCTTGCACCCAAAACGCCTAAGGTGCTGGTTCGCAAATGGGCACATTACCATCTTGGCCTTAGTAATGGTTAATTCACAAAGAAAAGCGTTCCACAATGTGAGCCTACAGTTTCGTGGAAGCCCTTTCAAAACTTTCCTCTCCGTCAGGCTTAAAATATTCCATATCCACAAACTCAGAGGAAGATGTAAATGCGAGGTTCCTAACAAAGAATTTGTTATAGGTAGACTTTTGAAGAATTTTGCTTATTTTTTGAGCTTTTAAAACCCATCGTCAGGGAATAATGGCTCAAAATTCGATGCATATATTATTGCTTTGGGAGGAACTACTAATGTTGAAGGCAGAGGTGAACACTTTTCACAACACCGGGGTCGGTGCGTCAGATGGTCGAGCAATCACCACGCCAACATCCAACGCACGTGATGAAATTGCAACAATTATCGACTCGAATGTCGGCCATCAAGCAATGATCACACCAAGTGCGACGATCCCGGATGAAGGGGGGAGCCGTGAATGTTCATAGGTATGCGGTAGCATGGCTATTGCATCCTATAAATACCACAGCCTCTTGTGCAACAACCACCCGTTTCTGCTTTTTAGTCTCTGATGATGGATTCGAGTGGGTATCCGAAACATCAGGCTAATAAAGCTCTTGTCCCGGCGATCGTGTCTCCTCCTTCAAGACTACTTCCTGGGACTCGTCTCTTCGCCTTTATTGGCAATGTTGAAGGTCTTTACACCTGCTCATCTGTACTTAATCTATAAGAGCAAGGTATGGAGACATTGATACGCGGCATTAATCGCTAGTAGCTTCTAACGACTAAAAGATAACGTGTGCACAAAGACTCCGCAGACCGGCAGAATCTTCTGAGTTATAAATTGTCCCTTGCTATATTCAATGTCGCGAAAGTCTCTCAAATTACGTAGATGAGATCAAAAAAGACTGGACCTACTAAAGAAACAGTATGGACTGGCACTGTGGCGATCGTTTCCTAGTTTTGAGGAAAGCCATAATTTCCATTAGTGAGTAAAAAATACCAGACTCTGCTAAACATGAGTGGATCAAGAACTGCCTAAAATATAAACAGGTGACAGTAAATCCTGAAATTGGCATATCCACTTGCCTTCCGCCCACCTGACAGTATACTTTTAATGGCAGATTACATAACAATAATCAAGCAGTTATTAGTCATTTTAAAATAGTTTCTTCATTATTTTTAAAGGGATCTGTGGGAATTATCTGAATCGGCTCACGCTTCTACCATTTTGGTGTGATTACTGCAGTTATGTAAAACTGAATTATCTCATTTATTTTCGAGCGTACGTTTCCCGTCAAAAAGGTTACAAGCTTGCACAGTCCATTTACTTAACTGGATGAAACTATACGCAATCGAGGTAATAACGAAGATTAGGCATTTTCAACTTACCCAGAGTTGACAGAGCAAGTAAGTGGTATTTTGTTGATCAACAATGTTCTTTTTACCTTATCCAGCTCCGGCAAGTCGCAGGGGTCGCTAAAACAAAATTAAAGAGGATAAAATAACGAAGTTCTCTAAAGAAGTCAATTGCCTATTGCACACCATCGTTGTATAGATTTTGTAGATTGTTATCACAGCTTCTTGTCTGCTATTCGATAGTGAGGAATATTTGGACATTTAAGTGATACCTATTTGTGTGCTCTCTGGCAGAGACGGTCGATACTTCTAATGGGAAGGGATTAAAAACTAAATCAAAATAAAGTTCTTGATGTAGGAAAGAAATTTTAAGCCCCTGACACTTATGAAAGTGCCGCCCACCAGTTACATGCGATCGAGCATGATCTCATGAAGAGCATAGTTTCGCTACTCGGGTATATCAACAGCTCGGCTGTCTTTACCGACGGGCTCCACCGTGCACCGCATCAGGGACGTAGACTTACACCGCATTAGCCGCACTCGTTCCTCTCTCATCTTCCTGGAACGGATGTCATGATAAAGTAAAAAAGATAGGATGCGCAGTCGGGTGTACGTGGCTGGTGCGACTTCAGCCTACCCCTGGACGCGCCGCCCCACACCTCATCCTCAATGACGCTCATCGTGCCCCGATCTGGACCCTGTGTTGATCCAGGACAATAACAGCGTGACCCGTTCTAGCGGCACAGCAGAGCATTTCAGAGTACGGCACAGGAACTATGCATGCTGTTTTAACGGACATAGAAGCCTACGACGGTCGATACAAATATTCAAATGACCAAATCTTTGAATCGACCCCGGCTATGTAACGGCCAAGTGAGTATCTTACGATGAAATGAGTCCGAAAACAACTCTGGCGGGAGCTGAAAGGCCGATCACAAGTCAGCTTCTGAGGCAAGACGTTTGCTTACCCTACGTTTTGGTTACTGCGCTCAACTTTATCGTCAGAGATGACTGCATAAAGGCGTGAAGAGTTGGTAGGGTTCGTCTTACTGTCTTTCGTCGTTGTTAACGGAGGCCATGTCAAATCAAAACTGGGAAAATAAGGGAGTTTAGTGAACTGATGTGGGCAGTATTCAACCAGGTTAATCGATCGCAATGGGGCGGCGGCAGTGGGGACATGGGTGTAATCTGCTAATTTATTTATGACCTTTTATATTTGGCTTGCTCCTGGTGTCAGTGTGATGACACAGCAAGCATCCAATTTAATCGATCACGTTGCCAAATTCACCGCGACGTTCTCTCTGATCGGGGAAATTACAAAGGCGCTTTGATTGCGGTCTCGCAACATAGCGTAGATTTAAATGTCTGTTTAAGTTCCTTGAGCCTCGTTTGAGGGACCGGAGCAAAGGAATCAGGGGAGAGAATGGTTACTCGGGCAGTCTTATGTTTCACAGTTTTGCGCTTGGAGTGATTTCGAGGTGACTTTTATTGACTACTATATTCTTCAAAAGGCCTTATGAGCCATGGAGAACTCAACTCAGGCTGTTTCCTCGCCACTGAAATCTCCAGACAACGTTCTCTGGAGGAGAGCCAGTTTATCAACGGCGGCGCGGATATCACCGCCACCAAAGACTGCTAGTTCCGAGAATTCCGAATGTATACTGGATAGTACGTAGTAGTCTGCTTACATATTTGTGGTTGGTTCGAAGTTCAAACTAGTTCTGGCAGAGGGATTCAGGTTCTGTTACATGTCATCTTCTGTAATAAAGTTGTAAACATGTGCAAGGCTATGAACCACTTCCTTGAAAACCATGGTTAAGATCTGGACTATTAAGAGGTGGAGGGGTTAACATTCATATGCCTTATCGTTTTTGCTATCTATGTGTATTTTGCTGAAATTGCACTCCCTGATCAAGTTAGGGGATCTCCTCGTCTAATTCTGCTGTGAAGCTCAATTCCGGGCCCTAAAAGACAGTCACACAGCGACTAGGGGTATATGCGGCGAAAAAATACCGACAAAGACAAGGAGGCCGAAATTGTTGTTTCCGGCTTATTCGATATCGTCCGCCAGTCCTACATAAACTCTGGGTTTTCGTTACTTGAGCCAACAACCCTCGTTCTTTGGACATCGAGCGTTTCAAAGTCCAAATAACGCACATACGGAGCCAAAGTGCAACAAAACCTGATTTGGTTAATGACAACTAATATGTGACAAATGTTCACTCAGACCTCGCTTGTCTTTGTCAGTAGCTTTCTGTCTTTGTATATTACAAGTCGTCGTGTGGTTAACCCAAGCGCACAGCCAGACAAACATGACCCCTAACCCGATCGCTGATCGCTCATATGCCATAGTAAATATGCCTGCTTATAACTGACAGGAGAACCAGCCGCTGGCTTAATGACGTTTGATAAACAGAAACGAGAAAAAAACGCGAATTCGAACTTCGCATCCTGCACACCTTCAGATGGACAAGACTGGCTGACAACAAATAATCAGCGGGGAAATGGCCACCCTTGCCTCCCTTGTCTTTATTGGTTTACAGTAGGCGGGCTAACTCATGAAATATCAAGCAAATTTCCGAAACGCGTTTTCGTTTCGAAGAGATTAATTAAGTAGGGTTGTAGAACTAGTCAGCCGATAGCATAATTCTATAATTTTTCAGTTACCTCAGAATGCCGGTTTTCGAATGAACGTCCTTGCGACTGCATGCAAGAACTACACTCTGTGAAAAATGACTACTTAATTAGCATGAATTTGTCTCATTGATTTTTGGTGTCCCTAAATGTCCAATTATATTTTACGGAAAACATACACAAAAATCTTCATTCTTTCGCTCATTCAGTTGAGAGTTAGCCTTCTTTTAATCTTATACTCAAAGGAAGGGTATAATTCAGTTCTCAAAATCTTTTCCAATTCCCGAATAATTTTGAACTCCAACCTGACGTTACACTTGGATTCAGGGCTTCGAAACTAAAAGCCGTATATTTTCCGCGTACGGACAACCACACATTTCTCTACGGTAATAAAGGAAGTCCATATAGAATTCATAAAATTTAGCAGCGGATTTGATCCATATTGCTTACTTTACGAGCCACATTGGTAAATGCAGAGACATAACGATTTATGAAGGACCATTTCACGGTATTTACATGTCCGACAATCAGAAATTTTAAAACTGAATTATGTCCCTCTTCGGAGTATTAAATTAGGAGAAGACGAATTTTGTGTACCGAATGAGCCAAAGGATGGATGTTTTATGCATGTTTTCCATGAAATACAGTTGGACTTTTAGGGGCATCGAAAATCAATGAGAAAAATGCATGCTACGTAAGTAGTCATTTTTTTACACAGTGTACTTCTTGCATGCAGCCGGAAGGAAGTTCATTTAAAGGCTGGTATTCTGAGGTATCTGAAATATTATCGACTTATGTTGCAGGCCAAATAGTTTTGCAAACCAATTAATTAATCTTTTCGAAAGTAGAACGCAGTTCGGAATTTCGGATGACATTTCGTGAGTTAGCCCACCTACTGTATTCCCGCATGTAGGTACGCATACGGTCTGCGCTTGTTTACGTGGAACCTGTTACGTGGGGAGATGAGCTATCAGGGTGTGCTAAAAGTCGTGGCTTGAAAGCTCGCCAACTGATAAGGTTATTTGGAACTCGCAGTCAGAACAGTATATGTTTGTATGAAGTGGCAGACTGGTGGACTGAGATCCCGGCTACAATTAACTAATGCGTTTCCTCTATGGCACTTATGCCTCATGGTATCCGTGCCGACCCCTTTTTGCTGTAAAAAAATCCGGGTCAGTGTGCTTTGTGGACCCAGGAGGGAGGGGGGGGGACGTGCTGATACGCCTATGTGCGGGTGTAAACCGTGCCATTTACTTGCGTCCTCTCCTCTCTCCGGTATTCTTGACTCGGTCTCGAAACCTGATCCAGATGGGGGGAGCGGGCAGAGTGCAGTAGATGCTACGCAAGTCCACCATCCCTGTAAACTAATTAACGCGTAAGTCACCATCTCTGTTCTCACCCTGCTGTGGAGTACATAGGGGGATGGTTGAAAAGGGGAAGTACTTCGCCCATACCCACCTTCAGCCGTATTGACTTTGCCTTGCGTTTGTGCTACGCGCAAAATTCGAGCCTGATGTCGATGTGGCGTCTGACTGCGTCCGCCTGACTGAGTCCGCCTGCCACATCTGCAGCCAGTACGTGAGATGATGCAGTGAGTGACTGATCTCATGAAATGTTGCCTGAAATTCTGAAATGCTTTCCCCATTAGGAATGATTACTAAGGCGAGGTTGTTATACTGAGTAACTCATGGCATAATCCTATAATGCGTCGAACTTGGCGAGATCTCACCTTTCGAATGCACTCCTTTATAGTCTTCCGTAGAAACCGTAAATGGTAAAAAATGACTTCCAAAATAGCTTACATTTTCAGGCTGCTTTTTGATGGTCTTGTATATCCAAACATATTTTATAGAAAATATAGACAAACATATGCTTTCTTTCAGTCGTTTGATGGCAAATCAAGCCATCCTCATATTTTATGCTCGAGAAGGTGCATAATCAGGGTTAAAAGTTTCTAATTGTGAGATTTTAAAACCGTACAATGTCCATTCATAGAACATCGTACCTATCTGTTTACCACTGCTCCTCATGAAATATACAATATATTTCCGCACACATTGCAAAAGTTTATGGACTCCATATGGCACCTTTTAAAGGCATAGAATAATATCTGATTTTCTTTACGCGAAACCTATGCACATTGTAGATTTAAGTCGTTAAGCGCTAATGCAACGAGTGATCAGGCTTTAAATTATTCGGGAATTGAAAAAAATTGTAAAACTTAATTATGCTCCTTCTTCGAGTATAAAATTTGAAGATGACGTGATTTGTTATCAAACGACTGAAAGAAAGCATATCTTTGGTGACATCTTGCCAAGCCCGACGCATTATAGGAATAAGTCGTGAGATAATCAGTATACCAACCTCGCCTTGGTAATCTTTCCTAAAGGGGAACGCATTTCAGAAATTTGGCCAACATTTCATGAGATCACTCACTAACTGTAGTTGATCTCTCCTAAATCGACGGTCGAACAAAAAAACAACATTTTCCAGATCGCAGAGTGTGGAGCGGTATGAAAGAATGGAAAACATACCCGCAGGATTTGCTAGAGTTGCGCCGAGTTTTTTTTAAGAACTCGTGAGTTCGCATATTCGGATTGGTGGAATTCTACCGTCCCTTGCTCAACCCTTGCATGGGTACCTCTGCACACAACTGCATCCAACCTTTTAAGACGATAATGCCGACTGGTATAATCGGTAACAGCACTTGACATGTCGTTTGTATCGATGTTGGCGGTTTCGTTGTGAGCGCAGCAACTAATTTCCGCAGTTAAAAGTGACCCTCTCATTCATTCAAAGGGTGAAATCTTGCCAATTCCGAGGCATTATAGGATTATGCCATGAGTTACTCAGTATACCAACCTTGCCTTAGTAATCATTCCTAAAGGGGAACGCATTTCAGAATTTCAGCCTAAATTTCAGGAGATCGGTCACTCATTGTATCATCTCACGTACTGGCTGCAGATGTGGCAGGCGGAAGCAGTCGAGCGCCATATCGACATCAGGCTCGAATTTTGCGCGTAACACAAACGCAAAGCAAAGTCAATACGGCTGAAGGTGGGTGTGGGCGAAGTACTTCCCCTTTTCAACCATCCCCCTATGTACTCCACAGCAGGATGAGAGCAGGAATGGTGACTTACGCCTGAATTAGTTTATAGGGATGGTAGACTTGCGTGGCATCAATCGCACTCTGCCCGCTCCCCCCATCTGGATCAGGTTTCGAGACCGAGTCATAAATACCGGAGACGGGACAGGACGCAAGTAAATGGCACCCGCACATAGGCGTGTCAGCACTCCCCTCCCCCCCCCCCTTGGGTCCACAACGCACACTGACCCGGTTTTTTTTACAGCGAAAAGGGGTCAGTTCGGATCCCACGAGGCATAAGTGCCATAGAAGAAACGCATTAGTTAATTTTAGCCGGGATCTCAGTCCACCAGTCTGCCACTCCATACAAACGCACATACTGTTCTGACTGCGAGTTCCAAATAACCTTATCAGTTGGCGAGCTTTCAAGCCACGACTTTTAGCCCACCTTGATAGCTTATCTCCCCACGTAACAGGTTCCACATAAACAAGCGCAGACTGTATGCGTACCTACATGCGGGAATACAGTAGGTGGACTAACTCATGAATTGTCAACCGAAATTCCGAACTGCGTTCTGGTTTCGAAAAGATTAATTAAGTAGGTTTGTAAAACCAGTCGGCCTGCAATATTAGTCCATAATAGTTCAAATACCTCAAGATACCAGCTTTCGAATGAATTTCCTTCCGGCTGCATGCAAAAACTTCACTCTGTAAAAAATGACTACTTACGTAGCAGGCATTTTTCTCATTGATTTTCGATGCCCCTAAAGGTCCAATTTTATTTCATGGAAAACATGCAGAAAATATCCATTCTTTTGCTCATTCGGTAGACAAGTACGTCTTTTTCTAATTTTATTCTCGAAGGCGGGACATAATTCAGTTTTAAAATTTCTTATTGTCGGACATTTAAATACCGTGAAATGGTCGGTAACAGCACTTGAAATTTTGTTTGTATCGATGTTGGCGGTTTCGCAGTGAGCGCAGCAAATAATTTCCGCAGTTAAAAGCGACCCTTTCATTGCGGTCAACACAACTTGCGACGCCAAAAGGGAAGGGTTTTGTGATTTTTCGGGCACTGTTCCAGAAACATTTTCGATGCCAGGCCCAGGGAGCCAGAATTGAGGTGTTAGGCCGTTGTGCAATTACAAACTCAGTAGATATTTTTGACACCGTTTAGAGTCAAGAAAATATTGTTTTGCCCTCGAGAAAGAAAATGAGCATTGTTAAAACAAACAATGAAACTCAGAGAACTCTTTGAAATGTGTGGGACTGACGATTAATTCTCGTCGGGCATGCCAATTCGTACGAAAAAGTTTACATTTCGAGTTATATCACAAAAGGGAGTGGTGAAGTGGTTTGTTATATAAAGGAAAGCATTAGCATGTTCGATGTGGAGTGTGGGAGAATCCGAGTAAGAACCTCAGAGTGCTAAATTGTCTGCGGTGTCCCCGGTTAGCAAACGAGCTCCACAGCAGTTGTAGTTTTGCGACAGCAGAGCCAGGTCACTCCGCCTGCGCCGTTGCATGAAGGTGAAGTCATAACGATTTTCGGTAGTAATGTGGCATTATTCAGATAACCTTAAGAGTTTACGGATGTAGTGGACCTACTACGAGCGCCTGTCTCGACGCTGGGCCTCCCACGGCTGTCTGCCCGTTCGCACCAGCGCTGTCTGGCATTCGCTCACTCGGCTCTCCAACTGGCCAATCAGATTGAAGGTCCAGTCAGGTGTGACCCAGCCTAAGACGCTTTGACGCATTCCCCTGGCTGGCAAACTTGGGACGCCGCTCACCCGGCGCCGGACGTGCTGTCCTCCGGCTGCCAATTGCTCCAACTCAGTCTCCAGTTATTCTGGACAGAATACATTATCCACCTTCTCTTTCCGTTCGGGGTTGGACCTGAAGGTTGTGGGGCCAGGGTCTCTCCTGCGGCCTAGCCTGACGCGATACGGACATCTATTAAATGGCCAGTGTCTATTACATTTACAAGGATAGGGGTTTTACCGGATCTCTGTTCAGTTTTTTCCGAGCCAAGTTGCCATGTTTTCTAGTAAATCCTTTTGAACAAAAGTTGTTTTCATATTGACCCAACTGTGAAAAACTCGGCGCCTACGTGGGATTCGAACCCGCGCAGTAAGGGGAAGGCTTTAATACAGCCAACGCTCTAACCACTTGAGCTACGAGGCCCCGCCGGACGACGCGAGTTTAATCACATTTTGGGTCAAGTTACCCGCCCAACCTAATGCAACGTCTGGCATCCACCAAGCTCGCGTCGTCCGGCGGGGCCTCGTAGCTCAGGTGGTTAGAGCGTTGTCTGTACTAAAGCCTTCCCCTTACTGCGTGGGTTCGAATCCCACCGAGGTGCCGATTTTTTCACAGTTGGGTCAATATGAAGCGTTCAAAATCTGCCAAAATACCTATGAAAAGTTATTTTCTACGAACAGAAACACCCGCCGAGGGTTAATGTTATGGCCATCCTGGCACTTGAAATCCCGTGGAGCGTATATGCACTCGACCCAATACCAAAGCAGCAGACAGAGAAAACACGACCGGCCACGGAAACTGTACTAGAAAAACACTGCATGTCGCGACTAGCTGAAAGATGATGCATATTTATAACGTCCTATTGTGGTTCGACAGCGTTCGAACCAATGACCTTCGGGAAGAGGTGAGTAGCCAATGGAGAGACGCCACGATTAAGGTGACAGCGCTGTAGAGAGAGCAAATGCACGTGGTCTTCAGAGATTGGTTGGCCCTTGTTTATGGGGGTTTAGGCACTCCCAACATTTAACGAGGAATCAACGATAGCATATTTGCTAACCAGCCCTCTGGATCACTTAGAGGAAAGTATTATGAAGGCGAAACAATAAGGCAGACGTCGGAAGTTTGACAGCAGATGAATGGCAAGGCTCGGGAAAGCGGTCCTGCTAGGAAATGGGGAACCCCAAATGTGGTAAATACGGAAAGCGTGGCAAAAGGGGTTTTACGGGTGGGGTCGCGGGAAAACAGGGAGGAGTTTGTGAAAGCTAAGAAAAAACGCAGGCCTTATGGGTATATATACTTGCTTGTTTCTGTGGGTACTAAAATCTCAGCGTAAGCAGGACGTAATACGAAAAGTTTTCGCAGACAACCAGCAAAACCAATTCCGTGAAGGATAGGAATGGTTGGCCTGTTACGGCCATCGAAAATGAACAGCCCACGAATGCTACCAGTCAGGCGTAAACCGTAGATGCAAAATGTAGAAAGTGGGTGCCGAATGACTCCCTAACCATAAACGATAGCCCTGACGCTAACACCAAACCCTAACCCCTAACTCTAAGCCTTACCCCAAACCCTACTTCATAAGCCCCAACTCTAACCCTAACCACGAACCCTAATGTCATTGTGAATCGTAATCTCAGCTTTCCGCGGAGCACCTCGAACTGAAAGTATTCGCAAGTGGTGCTACGCCTGCTGAAATCAAAAATAGTGCGAAAATGACAATTTGTTAACTAAATAGGATCGCGTTCTCGAGCTCCATCCTACAGATGGTAATCTGAATAAGCTGTGAGTTTTGGACCTGCCTGATAAACGCTCTGAACACATTTTTAAGCAATGCTGTACACAAAAAAGTACGCACGAGCCCAAAGTGACAGAAAAAACCGTTCGTGACACCGCAACGCTTGGAAGGTCTCTGTTGACACAGTGGGCGTATCTAGGCGCCAGCGCCCACTGAAGCCGTGCATGGGGTACCGAGGAGAACCAGTGACAAGGGAGTGAGCAGTTGTCATGCTGGCCCAGCTGCAACTGCAGTAGCTGCTGTTGTGTTCGCCAAGCGACTTCAACCCACATAATGATAGGCGCGGGGGAATTAAAATTAATCGCAGCTGTGCTCCTCCGGGAGCGCGAAGGCGTCGACATCCGTGAAGAGCTTCGAAAGCTGCCGACTTAAAGCTCCAACTTGACAGGGAACCTGCTCGGCGTGGCAAGCCGCTTGATGCTGCTTGTAAGTGAGACCTCCAAGGCGCTAATTCTTCGTGTGGGATAGACCGTAAAGGGAGTAGGCTAACTCATGAAATTTCAACAGAAATTCTGAAATGCGTTTTCGTTTCGAAAAGATTAATTAAGTAGGGTTGTAAAACCAATCATCGTGCAGCCTAATCCTGTAATAATTCAATTATTTCAGGACGCCGCTCTTCGAACAAAATTCTTTTTTACTGCATCCAAAAACCATACTCCGTAAAAATGACTACTTAGGTTGCATGCATTTTTTCATTGATTTTCGATGCCCTTAATCATTCATTTATATGTCGTTGAAAACATGCACAAAATATTCATTCTTTTGTTCACCCAGTAGAAAATTACGTCTTCTACCAATTTTATACTCGATGGAAGGGTATAGTTTGGTTTTATAAAACTTTTCCAATTCCCAAATAAATCTGAACCCAAACTGCCGTTACACTCTCATTCAGGGTTCCAAAACTATGAGTCGTATAATTTCCACGTACGGAAAAGCATACATTTCTCTGTGGTATTAGGAGTAGACCATATGGGCTTCATGAAATTCAGCAGTGGATTTGAGCCACATTGTTAACTTTACAACCCACGTAAGTAAATACAGAGAGATGACGTTTTATGAACGGTCATTTCACGGAATTAAAAAACCTCACAATTACAAACTTCTTTAAAACGAATTATGCCCTTACTTCGAGTGTACAATTGAAAGAAGACGCAGGTTTCTACTGAATGAGCAAAAGAATGAATACTTTATGCATGTTTTCCATGAAATATAACTGAATTTTTAAGGGCATCGAAATTCAATGAAAAAATACATGCTACTCAAGTAGTCATTTTTACGGAGTATGGTTTGTGGATGCAATGAAAAAGAAGTTTGTTCGAAAGCAGGCGTCCTGGGGTAACTGAATTATTATAGAATTATGCTGCATGATGATTGGTTTTACAACCCTACTTATTTAATATTTTCGAAGCGAAGCGCACTTCGGAATTTCTATTGACAGTTCATGAGTTAGCCCACATACTGTAGTTAGAAATACCTTCTCTGCGGCTTTGGTCTCAAAAAGGTATGCTGTGTCTTGGTTGGGTTTGTTAAAAGAACAATTCTCGAGTACGGTTTTCTGGTTGCTCTCGGATCCCTGTGTGATTACGGATGGGAACTCCAAGGCAACTTGCATTGCCTGCTTTACGTCCCGCGATCCGGACAGAAACAGTGCTACTTTGAGTGGTCTAAGTCACCGCCAACGTGGCGGTTAGTTTAATGATCAACAGAATAGGGGTCCGAAATTCCTGCAGCTGACTTGTGGCTGATCAAGCATGTCAAGAAATCTATAACTTACCGTAAAAGCTTATCTTTTTCATGTCATCAACAGTCCCCGACTTGAATTATAATTCCTCAGCTGAAGATGGCAAATGTCCAAAACTCTTTCTGTTTGTGTTTCATATCCCTAGACATGGCATTGGTTAAAAAATATTTTGCCAATGTGCCAATGCTCTAGTTCTCGTGGCCAGGTTGAAGGAGTTTCCTAAATATTCGAATCTTAATTATTCCCGGCAATATAGTGTTTAGGAGCACAGTTAAACGTTCACCATGGTAAAGGGCATGAACACAGCATTTTGCTAAAACAAAAACATACACAGAAGGGAACTGTTTTGGCCAGAGGAAAAACGAGTAAAATGCGAGTTTGAGTTAAGTGTTGAGATGGCTATATCGAGACCACCGCGTTACATTTAAACCTCAAACAGCGTAAACGCAACTACACACTCACCAGCGACATACCTTTTCTGAATTTTGTACGGATCCAGTAGATGCAAGTCAAGACGTTTTACATTTCCGGACTGAAGCATCTGGACTTCCTTATTTGCGAAGATGCTATTTGGACGGAAGAAGTTATGTTAGCCTGCGGTTTACAAGGGGAGATGACTGCAAAATATTGCTAGTGTCATGAGGTCATTCTAGGCAAGCAAGTTGGTTCACAGCAGCAGGGCAGGGAAAAAGAAATTGCTGACCTGTTTTCCCGAAGAATTGGTCTTCTGGATGCATTGACGAGAACCGTAACGACGCCAGTTGTCCCCGAGGCAAACTTAAATGAGCAATTTTCCAAGATAGTTTAAAGACCAAGAGGATGGAAAAAAACATGAGTTTTAAGTTGAGATTCTGCTAAAAGCGGAAATATTTTGTAAACTGCAGTCTGCGGGAAGTAGGCAGCTAACGCGGACGAAGTGTGACCTCCGTGGAATACCCTTCATCGCACCGGGTATCCTATCGCTCACTAGTGACCGATACGCTACTCAGCCGTGCGGCGAAAGCAATGCAATCTGTGATGTGGTTATTGCTGTGTTTTCAATCCAAATCTAAGTAAGATGCGGTTATGCAGCCGCACCTGAGGGACACAGTACTGTTAGGGGTTAGGGATTAGGGTTAAGGTTAGGGGTTAGGGCAACTATTTTTCAACCACTCAAATTACAGCAGCGCATTCCCAATAGCTTTTCGCTTGCAATTACTTGACCTCGTCGCCTGTCTACTTCTTGGCTCCACTTGGTTGCCATTTCAACCGGTTCCGTATTACAGGCGGCTGGGGTTTGTTTATCTCAGTTGCGGCTACATAACCACATCTGACCGTTTATTCTGAGGAGTGTTTTTCCCAAAGGAGCTAGCCGACTGCAAAAAGAAGTCTGCGAAGCAGACTGTAATTTTAGACATTGTACATTTATATAGGAAGATCGTGAAAATTAGAAAGCTCGTGCGACCAGAAAACATGGTTCACCAGGCCTATTCGAGTGGTTTTCCTAACTGCATGTCCGTCGTGCAATCAGGGTGGAGATCGGTACAGGCCACTCTTGTGTGACTGAATATCCGTTTATGTGCTGTTGTTTAGATGGTGGATTTATGTTTGAATCCGAACTGTCGGGTGAATAAAACTAAGGGGTCTCCCTTTTTTTTCAATCTCGATGTCAGCTGACAGGACGCGAGTCGTGGATGCTAATCAGTGATTGGTTGAATCGTGTTCAGTTACCGGCATCGAAGCATGAATGTCCGGTGACGGCAGATGAGGTCGAGACGCCATCCCGGTGTCCACTTTTTTCCCGTGGAACTTCCCACTCCTGTTGCCTGCTATTCTGTGACGTCTGCCCCTCAACAAGAACACTCTTAGATGCACATGAAGAATTCCTTCAGTAGAAATTTTATTCCAAATTGGAGGCTGCGCACATAGGTCGTTCAGGATCAATCCATTTACCGTGCGAGGCTTCTTCATTAAAATCGTTGGCTACTGTTGGTCGCCGACTCCTAATTGGAAGCGGTTTCTTTCCTAACACCACTGTTACCAGAAGGACATCCAGCCTAGAGTTGTCAGGGCATTAATTGCCATTAATAAAACGGTATCGGTGATGAGGAGGCAGACTGCCATGGAAGTGTCCCCCAATAAGATACGATATTAGGTAGGACTGGCATATATGGCCCGCTTAACAAGACATGAGAATATGTACAGTGCGTGACCTATCGCATGAAATGTTGGCTGAAATTCTGAAATGCGTTTTCGATTAGGAAGGATTACTTGGTCGCGGTTGTGATACCGATTATCTTAAAGCATACTCTTATAACATTTTGGACTTGACAGGATCTCGGCTTTTAAATGCACTTCTTTTCAAGCTCCTGTAGAAAGCGTGCTTGGTAAACAAGAACTACATAAGTAGCATGCATGCTTCCCATTGATTTTCGATGGTCTTGGAAATTCAAATATATTTTATAGAAAACACAAACAAAATTATGCTTTCCTTTAGTCAATCAATAGACAATCACGTCTGCTTTATATTTTATACTTAAGGATGAGTATAATTAGGTTTTAAAGAGGTTTCCAATTATAAGACTTTTTAAGACCGCGATATGTCCATTCACATATCATCGTACCTGGCCGTTTACCACTGCTCCTCATGAAATGTACAACATGGTCCGCATCCATTGCAACATTTTATGGACCCTGTATGATATCTCTTCAATGACATAGAAAAATATGGGATTTTCTTTACGCGAAACGCATGCACCTTGTAGAGTGTAATCACTAAGCGCTAATGCAACGAATGATTAGGCTCCAAATTTTTCGGCAATTAGAAAACGTTTTTAAAACCAAATTATACTCCTTCCTTAAGTATAAAATATAAAGCAGACGTGATTCTTTATTGACTGACTAAAAGAAAGCATATTTTTGTTTGTGGTTTCTATACAATATCTTTGAATTTCCAAGACCATCGAAAATCAATGGGAAGCATGCATGCTACTTATGTAGTTCTTGTTTACCAAGCACGCTTTCTACAGGAGCTTGAAATGAAGTGCATTTAAAAGCCGAGATCCTGCCAAGTCCAAAATGCTATAAGAGTATGCTTTAAGATAATCGGTATCACAACCGCGACCAAGTAATCCTTCCTAATCGAAAACGCATTTCAGAATTTCAGCCAACATTTCATGCGATAGGTCACGCACTGTAGGCCCTGCCCAGGTAATAAAGGTGGATCTGTACATAATCCCGGAAAGGAAAAAAAATATCCCCGTGTCATAACCCCAACAATAACCCTGGTATAAAACTAAACTGTTGCCCTAATCTTGAACCCAACCTAACCCTAGACCTTGACTCTGCGGTTAGCACTAGTGCCCACCTTAACCCTAAACTTGATCCTGACTTAACTTACTGTCACCTTAAATCTACCTTTAAACCTAATCCTTAACCTGACCATAATCCTTAACTTAAATCTAGCCCTAATTTTACTGGAAGTTGGCTCAAATCCACTCGTATTGCTGGCGGTTCCTGCTCCAGCGTCCTGTTTAGGGGGCCGTATAAGTCAGTCCCACCCGATATTATAAAGCTACTGCATACGGCCTCCAAACGCTCTCAAGGAAGTTGAACGTAACCGAAAAAATGTGGTGATAAGTGCATTCATATGCTTTTTCCACCGTGTATGTTACAGTGTCCTCCCACGCAAGTGGGAAGTGTGCATCTCGACTCGGTCCCCATGCGGCCTCGGCTGCACGAGTGACTTGAGTCCGAGACTATCCCGACACGTCAAGTGTCGTGGATAGGAAGGTTGCTGATTGACGCCCGTTCTCGGTTCACGCAGTTCGTCACGTTGTGTGTGTGTGTGTGTGTGTGTGTGTGTGTGTGTGTGTGTGTGTGTGTGTGTGTGTGTGCGTGTGTGTGTTGTGTAGTGGCGGACTGGTGGGCTGAGGACGGGCTGAAGCAGCACCTTCCACGGCCCTCTCACGCATGTGAGAGACACGCCGTTCAACCCCCGTTGTGTGAAATCCTGGTGTTTGTGTGCATGGGGGGCCAGGTCGTGCTGTGGCGCGCGCAGGCATGGTCAGTCGACCATGTCAGCCACCGCGCCCATTCCCCACTCCAGTCTACTGACCGGCTCGGACAGTGGCTGGGGTGTGGGAATGGGAAGGGAGAGTGAGGTCGACGACTCAGCGCATTCTCCTCACTATAAACAATCTGACGCGCTTGAAGCTATCACGGTGCGCTAAAAGCCGTGGCTTGGAAGTTTGCCAACTGACGGGGTACCTTGGACCTCCTCCATTACTGGAGGCGGTCTGAGAGTCAGGCTGCAATGGCTCCTTTTTAATGTGGCCTTTATGGCATTCCCACCACAGTGTGGGATCCGAGCCAGGCGTTGGCGGCACGCCCAGGTGCGGCTTCGGCCGTGCCAGCCTCCAAATCTATGTTGTGTTGGTTCAAATCCTGGTTATTGTTGTGTGGACCAGGGGGTGTGGTGGAACGCCAAGGTGAGGATCCGTCCGAGCCATCCACCTGCGGCCTCCCTCGTCTCCGGTCTTCTTGACTCTGTCTTGACACCGGGCCCAGGCGGGGGAGGAGGAGAGAGTGTAGGTAGATGCTACGCAAGTCTACTGGCACTATAAACCCCTGCGTAAGTCACCGTCCCTGCTCCCACCGCTGCTGCAGCTGTGGGGCACACGGTGGACATCGTCGAAATCGACGGTCGAACTGTCATGTTACAGTGTAATCGTAAAAGGCAACGAGATTTGGCGATGGTTACCTTACTGAGAGTTATGAATACGAAATTCATATTGGGCATGACGTCCGTCCCAGATGAACCAGTCAGAATGCAAGTTCGGACAGACTTTTGTTTAGTGTAAAGACGCGAGTTTGCTTTCCAGCGTAAAGATTACGATTGCTTGACAAGCATTTATCAAGTGCTGTTATGTTTCGCAAAAGAGGCTTAATAAGATCTGTAAACATTTCACAGTGATGGGTGTTTTCGCTGTTGTTTTAATCCAATATCATCTTACTTGGCGATGCATCTGATAATATTAAAAAATTTTTTATGGAACATCACCTGCTCTGAGGCCTTGGACCAAAACTGCCGAAGAAGCCGACAGTGATTCCACGGTGGCCTCTGAGCCTCAGTAAGGTTCGCGCAAATATCCCATCCGTCCATGCAGTACCCTGCGAAAAAATCAGTGCTTTAAAGCTGGGTTGAATTGTAAATTTGATTTAAAGCGCACTAAAAGATTTTATTCTCACGACAAGGCTGAAGTATTGAGACTTCGTTCTCTTCCCTTATTCTCACAGCAGTCTAGGTCCGCATGCCGTCAAATACGGCTCTTCAGTTTGGTCAGATAGTTGACATTTTACCATTTTACTCACCGGGCCTCCTAATTTAGACTGAAATGTTTTCCGATATCCAACCTTCATGTGCGAAGTTAAATTCTTAATGTTTCATCCGTGAAGGCGTCCCTGTCGTTAACTGGCGCCCTGTAATGTCTTTCCCTAACGCACAGGTGACGCTAACTATAGACTTGGATATGAGCTATGATTGTACTTTACGCTGCGACAAAGTCAAATAAGTCGGAAATTATCGTTTAAATACACCTCATCTTTTGGCGAAATCAATCCCTCGGGATCATGTCTATCCAGCAGAAGTTCTAAGCACCATGCCTCTGTGTGGCAGAACGATGCATGCTTTCTCTGGAAATGCACATACAGTGAGTGACAGATCTCGTGAAATGTTGGCTGAAATTCCGAAATGCGTTTTCGATTAGGAAAGTTTACTTAGGTGGGGCTGTAATACTGATTATCTCGCGGCCTAATCCTATAATATTTCGGACTTGGCAGGATGTCGGCTTTTGAATACACTGCTTTCCCATCTCCTGTAGAAACCGTACTCGGTAAAAACGACTACTTAAGTAGCATGCGTCTTTTGATGGCAACTCACGTCATCTTCATATTTTATATTCAAGGAAGGAGTACGATTAGGTTTTAAAAAGTCTTCTGATTGCAAATAATTTGGAGCCTGATCATTCGTTGCCTTAGCGCTTAATGATCTCAATCCACAAGGTTCATGCGTTCTGCGCAAAGAAAATCACAGATTTTCCTATGCCGTTAGGAAGATATCATTAGAGTCCATAAAATTGTGCAATGCATGCGGACTATGCTGTGCATTTCATGGGAAGCCGTGGTAAACGGTCAGGTACGATGCTATGTGAATGGACATTGCGCGGTGTTACGAAATCTCATAATAAGAAACCTTTTTAAAACCTAATTATACCTCTTCCTTGAGTATAAAATATCAAAAAGATATGATTCTCTATCAAACTACTGAAAGAAAGCATATTTTCGTTCATGGGTTTTGTATGGTATATTTTCATTTGCAAAACCATCGAAAATCAATGTGAAAAACGCATGCTATTTAAGTAGTCGTTTTTTTACCGAGCAGGGTTTCTACAGGAGGTTGAAAAGCTGTGTATTCAAAAGCCGATATCCTGCCAAGTCCGAAATATTATAGGATTATGTCGCAAGATAATCAGTATTACAATCGCGCCTAAGTAATCCTTCCTAATTGAAAACGCATTTCGGAATTTCGGCCAACGTTTCATGAGATCGGTCACTCACTGTATTACCTGATCGGATAACTTTCGCCAAGGTGTCAGGTTATGCTGGTTAAACGGTCGTGGCACATTCCTGACTTTCCTCTGGAATCGTGGAGTTTGCAGTTGCATAAACGGATTTCTAAGCTCTCAATCCTTTATTTGCTTCTACTTCGGTAGGAGTGCGAATTGTGAGTGAGACCACGTCTTTTAGTAAGGTAGAATATGATGGTTTCATTTTGTTTAGAGTGGCCGAAATGCCAAAAAGACTGCAATTTATTAAGAAGCACCTTCTTTACTGAGTATTCTCGCCAATTTTCTTAAAGGACGCGTAATCTCGCTGAGCTAAAGATAGTTGAAATAAGCCAATCCATTATTGTAAACACGGATTTCCAAAAGCCTTCTCTGGTCGAACGCAAGCTGTTATTACTACTAGAGGAGACGGTGTGACAAAGGAACTCTGCACGGCAAGAAACACCCGACATCTGTTTCGAATTTTTACTGACGTTATTGAACAGCCAGAAGGCAAAAACGCGTTGAACAGTCTAGCTGTTCATGGAATTTCTTTCCCTCTACTAGACACTCCCTTGAGAGCATAACGAGAACTGATACGAAGAGCGGGGGATACACAAACGGTCATTTTGATTTTGTTTTTCCGGTGCAAGGCAGCCACGCAGCAGCCGCAGTAAGAGAGGAACCACGGGATGAACACGGGTTCATTACGACAATATGCAAATGCTCTGTCAGGTAGTTTTCCTGTCAACAACGTTCAGAGCTATTCAAACTGATGCACACCGATTGGCCCTGACTGGAGGACGGTATAGGTGTGCGTTGTTTGGTCTATTGGCTCAAGAGTCGGTGGTGTGGCAACTGGAAGTCATCAATCGAGAGACATCAGCAACAGTTCAGGGAGCACAGACGTAGTGATTTCTGACCCCAAAGACCTGACGCAAATCGAAACATTCGCATGCCGTTCTGCGAGCGGGACAGATTAGTGACGGCCACGCTAGAGCAAGTCACGGCTTACCATTTGCAAAACGATGGATAACGTTGTGATCCAAGTTGTTCAAGTCTTAAGGAGCCAAAGATCTAAAGTGCAATGGTTTAGAGAAGAGAAACTTTAGCGAATGCTGTTGTTTGCTTTTAAAGAGCCCTCGCTTTGACCACGTCCAACTGAGGCAACGAAAGTGGTGGCTTCTCGATAGATTCCAATGGGTTTCTTAAAGTTTTTCACTAGTTTGACCAGACCATCAAATCCAACTATACGAAGTAAGTATGCATAATATTTCCACATTGCTCTAAGTAAGTAGTTCTCGATAACAGGTCGACGTATGTCGCCAAAGGAGGTTTGTGTTCACTCTTTTAAGGACAGTTATGCGTAAAGCGTTTCTTAAAATGAAGGTAGGAAAATTGTGGAATTTCACACCATACCGAAGGCACAAAAATAACAAAGTATTTAAGCCGTGTTTTCTCGACATCCATTTATCACCTTCTGCGCCCACTTATCTGATATTTTTCCGCTTAATCTGTTTGTCTTTTTATTGCACGGCAGGAATTTTCGATATAAATTTCATAGATGTTGGCGAAGTTTTTGGGAAAATATCTCCCCTAGAAATAAAGACGGCCTTGTTTTCGAACCCCACTGACAGGTGAAGTCCTGCTCCAAACGGCCTTATAGCGTGATAAGAAACACTCTGGTTTTTTAATTCAGGCACTCGTTTAATATATGGTCACCCTGAGGTGACCTTGTCTGGAGGATAAACAGAGTAGTTTTGACCAAATCTGCTGTGAAAAAACAGAAAATTTTCTTGTCTGACGAAGCTCAACCTGCTCCCATTGATAATTTGCCAATTTCCTTTTCCCAGCAGTCTAGAGCAGAAATGTGTTTTATTAACCATACTTTCTACAGCACTAAGTCTTGTCGACTAAACTAAATACAGTGCGTGACCTATCTCATGAAATGTTGGCTGAAATTCTGAAATGTGTTTTCAATTAGGAAGGATTACTTGGTCGCGGTTGCGATACCGATTAGCATAAGGCATACTCTTATAACATTTTGGACTTGGCAGGATGTCGGCTTTTAAAAGCACTTCTTTTCAATCTCCTGTAGAAGGCGTGCTCAGTAAAAAATGACTACTTAAGTAGCATGCATTTTTCCCATTGATTTTTGATGGTCTTGGAAATTCAAATATATTTTATAGAAATCACAAACAAAAATATGCTTTCTTTTAGTCAATCGATAGAGAATTACGTCCAAGAAAAACAGCAAGTTTTTGATTTCCTCAGAAACTAACTGGTAACAGGGAGCATATCAGTTCACACTAAGGTCTATAGGAGCAGACAGAAAATTGGGGTATTAACGTTTGGGCCAAAGTCCATCAGTTACGGCGGGATAACCGCGTAATATTCATACACTGCCGACAGGCAGCACGTAGTTTATGTTAATGTTACAAGATACCATACTGGCAAAGCATCCACTAGCTAGAAGCTTTCAGCTAGTCCAGTAGATATGTTAAGTCATGATATATTGCCGACATTCTGAAATGGGCTTTCGACTCGAAAAGATTACTTAAGAAGAATTGACATACCAATCACTTTGCAGCATAATTCCAAGGAAATTCAGTTACTTCAGAATATCAGCTTTGGCATTAACTTTCTTCCAGTCGCCTGCAAAAATTACACTCCGTAAATAATGACTACTTAACTAGCATGCATGCTTCTCACTGATTGCCAATACTCTTTCAAATATAAATATAGTTCATAGAAAACATATAGAAAAATATCCACTCTTTCTCTCAACTGGTTGAAAATTATCTCCTCTTTAAATTTTATACTTGGAGAAAGGGTATAATTGGGTTTTAGAAAATAGTTTTTCCGATCCCCGAATAATTTTGAACCCGATTTGCCGCTACACTTGGATTCGGAGTCTTTAAACTACGCGTTGCATATTTTCCGAGTACAGGAAATCGAAGATTTCCACTCGCCGTTAGAGGAGATCATATGGGGTTTATTAAATTTAGTAGTAAATTTGAGCTATATTGTAAACTTTACAAGCATCTGTAGTAAATGCAGGGACATGATGATTGGTGAAGGGACATTCCACGGCCCTAAAGATATCATAATTGGAAACGTTTTGAAGTCGAATCGTATACTTTCGCCAAGTATGAAATTTAAAGAAGTCGCAATTTTCTTCACACTGTGTTAACTAATGAACATTTTCCTATATATTTTCTATGAAATATACCTACGTTTATAGGGGCATCCAAAACTAGTGGGAAAAATTCGTGTCACTTGAGTAGTCAATTTTGCGGAGTTTAGTTTATTTTCAGGCAGATGAAAGAAAGTTCATTCAAAAGTAACTGGATTCCCTTGGGATTATGCCACAAGGGGACTGATATTCCAATCGCATTTAAGTAATCTTTTCGAGTCAAAAACGCATTTCAGAAGTTCGGTTAATATTTCACGAGTAAGATCTTCTGTACCTGTGCTGCTGCTGTGATATCTCACAAAGTCAAAGTAATCTTGTGTGAACGTTTACATTTTTGTGTCCTTTAGGAATTTATATAATTTCAGGCATTGCGGTTTGCCTACAGTTTACATTCTGAATATAAATTTCACAAAATTTTCCCAAGGTTTTGTGGTATTTTTTACGTTGACGGCTGCAAATAACGGGGCTACTTACCTAGTAGTGTTGCCTCCAAGCTGGCGTACAGTCCAAAACGGCTGGCAGCGACTTGACTTTCCGCATACGCGCCAGACCACAGAAGAGGCTGTAATAGATGAAGATGCAGGCATTGCATAGGGGGTGTTGTAGGTAGTTTCTTAAGTAAATTCGCGATAAGGGCGCAATATGGGGCCTCGAATAAGCTGAAGGAGAACTGTCTGTGGAGTACGGAGATACGACTGAAGGGTTTTCTAAATACGACTTCTATTGTTCTTCCTCTGTTTTAGACGTGTGTAGGTGTGCAATCAATTAAATAAACTCCTGTACTGTGGCATGCAGCCAACATCACTGCGTTTTTTAAATGACCTCCAGGTGCATAAATACGTCCACGTAGTAGAGTGCTTCTGAGAGTACGTCGCCAGAAACACTATTAAGAGACTTTGAAGGGCAGTAACGTTCCCGCCAGCCAAAAACCAGTGTACCCGCAATGTATGTTAAGCCATAACTGAGGTGTCTGAGGATAGAAAAACTCTTCAAATGGACTATCTCGGTAAACGCATTATACGGCCTGTTCAGTTAGATGGGTGCACAATTTAGCGTTATATCACCGATAACCCATCTTAGAGTCAATTGCATAAAATCGAAACGCTTATTTGTTCCATTTCCGTAAGGGCTAATTGTTTCGACACAATGGGCACCAGGATGATTTTATTAACAGCGAATCCTAGGGCAATCAAGTTTTTACAGAAAATCAAAGTATATTTCTAGGGATCTTTCTTCCTAGACGGAATTCCAAGAATTCACCTCTGGTTTCTGAAAGCTGTAAGGTTTGAAGTGAAACTTACCTACCCATTTATCTTTAGCATGATCTTACCGCTTTATTCGGCTTGATCCCGATCAGTTGGGAAATGAGCCCCGAAAGATCTTTTTCTGGGACTTCATCCGTGGGACCCCTCTTATGGGAACCAAAGAAATCGATTATTTTCTTTGTGAACTGCGAGCAATAGGCGTAGGCATCCGATGTACTAAAATAGAGAAAAAGGCGGTCGCAAGATTTTGCACGGAAATGAAAAAGGCTAAATAGGAGCTTTGTTTCACTGAAGACGGCGTTTCCGTCGTGCACACCGAGTAGGAGAGTAAGTTGACATTCTGAAATATTTTTATAAATAGGATGGACTTTTGAGGTGGGATTACAACGTTGGACGGTGTGCAGCATTCTTCGAGGGGTTCTCCATACACGCCAGTCGATGGCTTTTGGCTGAAGCATGATTTCAACCATCTGTGAAAATCAGACTGTCTAAAACCGACCACTTGAATAGAGCGCGCTTTTCCACTGGCCCTGGTTGCTTCTATCTATACAATCCTATTTTTCAAAAGCTGCAAACAGAATAAATTGTAGTCCTTTTCTGCAACAGCGAAACCGAGAAAGGTTACTCATTTCAGTAGTCTCAAAAGCAGAGGTGATAGGCATACTACGCCACATAGAGTACGTAACCTATCTCATGAAATCTGATAACGGAAACTGATGCGAGAATTTCTGGACGTCTTTAACGTTGAGTATTTTCTTTGCTCATCCACATCCTCCAATGAAATGTCCTTTTTTGTGCAGAAATTGTTTTTACGTAATTATATCACGTGAATTAATTTAACGGAAGAATTTTTTTAATAAACACAGAATGGTATGTTTACAATCACGCCTGTCAGTTCTATTTAAATTCATTAGGCACCGGCCGGCCTCATGGAATGCCGCCTTATGAAAACTTTTGTTCCTACGACGTCCCCATCGGTGGAATTAGGCAAAATCCGCTTTCTCATGTTAAACCCCATCTCATTTAACTCGAATGAGTCAAATATAACACGAATCCCTGGAAAAATTGTTTTGAAATCTACACTCAGAAAGTAGACAGTTGACAAACCGTCATATATGAAATTACACTAGTTATTAAACGATATTTAGATGTAACCTTTACTAAAACACCATTATTGGACAATATTTTTTTCTAATTTCATATTTACTACGTTTTCGGGTATGAGAATACATTCTATACATCTAAAAACGAACTTTACTAAATTAGAACCATTTTGACGTTTTCGCGATATTGGGCTTTTCTAAAAAAATCGGCATTTCTAAACAACGCAGCACTGCTTTTAATATTTCTTTTATGCTTTTTATCCTTTTAAACATGCGCTTAGTTAACATAGACATTGGACTCGTGAAATGGCGTCGGTTTGCAAGTTATTGGCATTCGTAGATTACGACACAATTCATGAGTTAGGTCCCTATGTGTAAGTTAATCTCTTTGAACAGGCCAGGAGGCCTGAATTGATATCGATCCCCAGGCTGCACTGTACCCTGTAAACGCAGAAACCCCCAACACCACCCCAGCGAATTTGCCGAATTCTATCTATTATGTGGGCGAGAAAGTTACCAACAGAAACAAAGCCCAATACTGTCATTTCATATGAATGCGCGCATTTTCTAACTGTGCATTTCATGATAGACTCTGATTCACCTAGGCACTGAACCTTTCCTACATATTCATATGTGGTTATGGCTGTATGCTGCAAAATATCAATCAAAGTGGATCCCCATTATGTTGCCGTGCAATGTCATCCACCTTTTCTTTTTTGTGACCTCGTGGCGCGCGCTGCCAACGAGCAAGTAAGTAAGGTGAGCATGCTTTAAATGCAGCATTTTCGGAGTAGATAACCAAATGTCGGCTGAACCACTCTAGACCAAGGAAAATAAATAGGGCGAAAATTCTGTCGAAACTATAATTTCCGGAGTTGATACCCAAATGCAGACGTCTACCCAACCAACTTAAGTTGAAACCACGTAAAGAGAGGTAAGAAACTTATACTCCGGTCTTGTCATTTAGGTAGATTAAGCAGTAGGTTGTGATGCCATGTGCAAATTCACTATCAAAACAAATTATCTTTTTGTCAGATAGATCTGTCCCAAGAAAAAATAAAACATCTCAAAGTAATATCATGAGAAATACTCACGTGTTACCCTGATTCGTCTCCACCCAGATCATGCATCTCCCGACTAATCGAGCGGTCTCCGCTGCGCTGAGAGGCTGTGATCGGACGCTTCCCACTGCGAACAGTTCTATTGCAAACAGCAATAGAAACATATCCGTCCAAAAAGTTGGGTTTCAGAGGTCTGCAAAAAATGCTCTGCTGGTGTCCCAGACAACTGCTCCTGGAAGGGAATTTGTGTGTACGTAGGCCTGCACAATGATTTTATGCGAGTGCCGAGACCTAATCCTTGTTTACACAGTGTCTCGACTGTCGAAATCGTGTCAGCCAATCAAAATCAACCGTCCTCAGCATGCGCCCTTTAACTGCGCTCACTTAATAATTTCCTTTTGATTTAGTGCTATGTCAAGTTCACACTTGGCGCCTATCGAAGAATTGGTGAAATTGTTCTGTTACACATATGTATCCTTGGAAAATTGTCCTACGAAAGTCATTTGCTCCTAATCGGCATGGATATCGTGGAATGGTTGTTCTTCCGTTGGGTTACCAAACATGCCCCTCTCGTTAAGCCTTGGTGCCCAATCCAGAACTCTAACAGGCAATCGCACAGTGATCGTTAATGATGCGGGAAGGAGTACCAAAAAACCCACGGGAGACTGGTATGGTCATTCGTGATTTATCAGTCCTCGTCATCCAGTAATACACAAATCCAGGTCGGGATAACATAGGATTCCAAGTTGGATTCTTTGATCATTGGGGGCCGTTGCCCGGTCCGTGGCGATAGGGCATATTCGCTATTGTGGGAAGGATATTCCCGATCTTGGCACTCAATCTGGCGCCTTCGCAAGCAGTTGCGTAAAGTCCGTTTCTGATCTACTGATCGCCGCCAGACACCCATAGTCCAAGTGAGGCCAATCTCGGAAAAAAGACGAAAGTGTCCTTAGCCCATCTTAGAATTCAGGCCGCCTTTGGGAGCACTCACGTTGTTTTTGTTTCGATGAGATACAGAATCAGTGAGTCGGATGACGCCATATTTACTTTTGTGGTTAAAAGTTATTACATAAAAACCTTGGTCTGAGCCTATAGACTTTTAATATACTGATCTGCTGCAAGTTCGCAGTTAGTTTCTAGGGAAGTTAAAAATCAACAATAAAAGCTGCTACATTAGTAGCGTCCGATCGAAGAACTATGCAGACAATCCCTGCATCAAATGGTCAACTGGACTAGATAGGGGACCGGAACCTGAGAGTGGGAATAGGGGTTGAAGTTGACACGGCAATCAGCGCAAATTCCTCATGACGACAGTCATACACTTCAATTTCGTTGACAGTTTGAATTTGCGGTTTTTGGCCTTTTCCGTGTCTACTCGGAATGCAGTCTGCAGAAAACACCTCTAATAACTTCCGTCTGAGAGGAAGAGGTGAAAATCGCGGCTGCCTGACGTAATGTTTATTTAAGACATTATCTGGCAGTTTGCAGAGTCAAGGGAAACCCTATTTAGCAAAAAACCCGAAGTGATTTTGATAAGATTCACACTGTGGATGTGGGATGTTTGTCCGTCAAGGCATAGTCTGTACACTGACAGGATGCTATAGAAAACTGCTTAGGAGATGAATTGATCGGTTTTTAGGTTGATATCAGTGAGGTTGATATCATTCAATATAAGTGGGCAGTTTTCAGAATTTAAGATCTCAATCGGGGTTTGTTTTCTACCAAGTGTTGTGTAGAATGAAGGGCACATTTACATACTTCTCTTTATCGAACTATTTATTAGATGACCGAAGACAAACCCCTCGAAGAGCCTTCTGTAGATATAAATTCACGAGTACAACTCGATTATTTTCCGACACACATTTATTTTTGATCATTATTTTGTGGGGAATATCCTTGGATTGACATTGATGTAGGTCGTCTAAAACAATTTGAGGCACATAAGGCTTCGCTTTCGCATAGCATCGGAATAAATAAGATCATAAAGGAGCACGCATGCGAAGCGCAAACCAGTCTTGTCAGGAAGGATTAATATCGTACAGAAGCAGAGCAGGCAGTCTAGGAAAGAAAACTGCATACGCAAAGTTGGGTTGCATATTGCGTTCTTTCCAACCTAACAACTGCAGTATCCCTTCGACTATAGTTCGCTCACCATTGGCATGCCTTGAGAAATCAATACCCGAATCCCATCAGTTACACCGATGAACGAAGCAGGTGTCCCTTGGCATGCAATAAGTATTTGTCCACAAGAGATGCATCGGCGACAAAATATCGGCTCTCTATCCCCCAAGACGGAGAGATTTCATGACGCCCAGCTATGAGAAGCCGCTCCACACAAGTTGCCACAACCCGGCATTCTGCAGTAACCCCTAGCCTGCGCGTGTAGCCAGTGTTGTCGGTGAAGTAACGTGTGACGCCCGGTCCGGTTTCGTGAGAGAATCAAGTCAGCGCAGATGGAAGTCGCCTGCCACGTCTCTCCCCCAATTCAAGTTCACTTCCGGTCGCCTGGATCCATTATCACCGGCAGTCTAATCTGTCCCCAGAAGCAAATCATCCCTAAAGCCAAGGTCAGCGTAAATTTTTGTAGGACACGATGGCTGAAGTGCTGGGGCAAGCTTACATGCATTTGGGTAATAGTTCAAGGATGTACAGTGAGTGACCGATCTCATGAAATGCTGGCTGAAATTCTGAAATGCGTTTTCGACTAGGAAGGAATACTTGGTCGCGGATGTAATACTGATTATCTTGCGGCATAATCTTATAACATTTCGGACTCGACAGTATGTCGGCTTTTGAATACACTGCTTTTCAATCTCCTGTAGAAACCACACTTAGTACAAAATGAATACTCAAGTAGCATGCACTTTTTCCATTGACTTTCGATGGTCTTGCAAATTCAAACATATCTTATAGAAACCATAAACGAAAATATGCTTTCTTTCAGTCGTTTTATAGAGAATTACGCCCCCATTATATTTTATGCTCAAGGAACGAGTATGATTAAGTTTTAAAAAGGTTTCTAATTATGGGATTTTTCTAAGACCGCGGAATTTCCATTCACATAGCATCGCACCTGGCCGTTCACCACAGCTCCTCACGAAATGTACAACATAGGCCGCATCCATTGCAAAATTTTATGAATTCTCCAAAGACATCTTTTTAAAGGCATAGAAGAATATGTGATTTTCTTGACGCTGAACGCATACACCTTGTAAACTAAAATCACTAAGCGCTAAAGCAACGAATGTTCAGGCTTCAGATTATTCGGCGATTGGGAAACTTTTTTAAAACCTAATTATTCTCCTTCCTTGAGTATTAAATATAAAGAAGACGTAATCCTCTATTAATTGACCGAAAGAAAGCATATTTTCGTTTTATGCTTTCTATAAGATATATTTGAATTTGCTAAACCATCAAAAATCGATGGGAAAATGAATGCTATCTGAGTAGTCACTTACTACCAAGTACGATTTCTACAGGAGATTGAAAAGCAGTGAATGCCGAGTCCTGCCGAGTCTGAATTATTATAGGATTATGCCGCAAGATAATCAGTCTTACAACCGCGCCTAAGTAATCGTTCCTAATCGAAAACGCATTTCAGAATTTCAGCCAACATTTTATGAGATCGGTCACTCACTGTAGCTGGAATCCATCACAAGGTCATTTCGTCCTCCGACCCCCACCTCCCCCCCCCTCTCGGGTAGAAGTTACCGAGACGACATCCAAAGGCGTTCTTCAGATCATAACATTGACGAGGCTGGAAAGCCCCGCAAATGGAACTTGACTAGGCTTTATTTGCGTAAAGGACACAAAGAAGGGATGACAGGCGATAATCAGAAACGACAGTAAGGACAAACGGAAAGACGGCTAGTGTCTACAAACAGACAACAGACGACGACGGCGGCGGCGACTTAGAGGAACAACGTAGGGGAAATAATTGATCGGCGCGCAGGTTCGTTGCGTATACTAGGGCTCACTAAGCGGAATAGAGATGGCATAGTCCAGTGAGAACGGCTCAAAAGCGTAACCCGTTCCATCGTAGAACTTGTTTTGGAACTCCACCCTAAAAGAGGCCAAAGGAGAGCATAAGTAGTCCAGAAAAAAAATTGACGCCGGGGGTTTAAAGACAAGAGCAGCGGAAACACGGTGTATGGACCTACCAGTGCAATCGGATGGCGTGTAAAAAGGCTGAGAGGCCTTCCATGAGGACGAGAACGAAGACCGTTAGGCAAGCCCAGGCGGCGAAGATGAAGAAGAGGGCGATACTACCATAGTAGCCATCGATATGAAGAGCGGGGTGCAGAACCATACTCCACAGAACCTCGGAGAGTTCTACCGGGTGGAACGTCAGAGATTGAGTAAAATGCGTTTACAGAAGCAGGGACTGCATATACAGTGGATATACTAACTCACGAAATGTTAACCGAAATTCTGAAGGACGTTTTCGACTCAAAAAGATTACTTAAGTAGGGTTGTAATATCAATCACCGTGCAACATAATCCCACAATAATTCTAATACTTCTGGATGCCGGCTTTTGAAAGAGCTGCTTTCTAACCGCCTGCAGAAACTACACTCTGGAAATGAGGACTAATCAAGTAGCGCAAATTTATCTCATTGACTTTCGATGCCCCTATAAATTCAAATATATTTCACCGAAAACATGCATCAATATATTTACTCCTTTAGTCATTTTAAAGAAACTCGCGTCTTCTTCAGATTTTATGCTTAAAAGAAAGGTATAATTCGGTTTTAAACAACTTTTCCAATTCCCGACTAATTTTGAAATCCACCTTCCATTACACTTGCATTCAGGTTTTTTAGACTACAAGTTGTATATTTTCCATGTACGTAAAATCATATATTTCTATACGCTACTCAGAAGAAGCCCCTTGGAGTTGATAAAATTTAGCAGTGGATTTGAGTCGTATCTTAAACTTTACAAGCAACATTAGTAAATGCAGAGAGAAGATGTTTTAAAAACGGGAACTTCACGATCTTAAGAAATCTCATAATTTAGAAACCTATTTAAAACCCAATTGTACCCTTTCTTCGAGTTTAAAATTTAAAGAAGACGTAAGTTCCTGCAAAATGATTAAAATCATGGATATGTTATGCATGTTTTTGATGAAATATATTTGAATTTACAAAGACATCGAAAAACAATGAAAAATCCACGCTACTTAGGTAGCCACTTATTACAGGGGTGCAATTTTGCAGGCGCCTAGAAAGCAGTTCGCTCAAAAGCCGGCATCCAGAATTATTCGAAATAGTATGGAATTATGCTGCACGATTACTACTGTTAATATCTTGCTTAAGTAATCTTTTCGAGTCGAAGACGCATTTCAGAACTTCGGTTAACATTTTCATGGGTTAACACATCTACTGTAGGTGCATTGGGACATATGCGTATTTATTTGTTGGCGAGCAACGACTTCCGTGAAGGGGTCAGGAAGAAATCGTAAAATGACAAATGATTCGGGGTGCGAACAGAAAAGATGGGAAATTAGACAGCAGTCCTTTTGGGTTATATTACGGTCTTTCCAGTTAGCTTGGGAATATAAAGAGGACCTGGTTAATAGTCCTAGCGGCACATTCCGTTGATTGTTCAGATGTGGCATCCGAGCGCACAATTAACTATCAATGTCCACAGAGGCATTTAATATGCGAGTCTAGAAAACTGGAAGTGATTGGGGGAGAGAGGACTGTCGACACAAACGAAAATGCGAGTTTCAGGAAGCAGTTCAAAGAAGGAGATTCGGCACGAAACGAGTCCCTCTCCTCTCCAGAGCAAGGATGGGCGTTATAAAAAAACTGCGTACATATAGATTAAGGAGGAAAATGAATGAGTCTCTGCTTCCACCAGGTTCTCATCTATAAGCCAATACGTCCTTAAAGTATGAAATGATATTACAGTAGATGACCTAACTCATGAAATGTCGAGATCGGTATTTGAGTAGGTAGGACAGCATATATTTTGTGTGTTTATTCTTGTTTTTAGAATTGATTGGAATCCCAAAGTGCCCTTTTCTAAAGAGGTCATGTTAGTTCAGTTTTATTAAGTGGAAACGGACCAAAATTAGGCAAATTTTGACGTCTCCGGATATTCACTTAATTTCCTATTCTAATAAGTATCTCATATTAAAACCTCTTATTTGCACGCGTTGCGTTATACAGGAACTTTCATATAACAGAGGAAAATATCAAAGAAGGCCACTTTGGAAATGGAGGTTGTGATTTTTAGTTCATTAAAATCAGATCAAGTCAAGTATGTAAAAACAAATTATTCACCTGAATCAAGAAGCGATTTGCTCTTTATAAATTCGATCTATCAAGACTGCAACGTTTTACATCGTTGAACGCAGTAATAAGCTTGTAGGACAGTATGTGTTTAACTACATTGGGAACTAGAGGGCGTAAACACGAATATGTAGATTGCGCGCTACATGCTGCCACTTTTCTTTGCCACGCCGTACAGCAAAGATATTGAAACAGTTTCTACCGGAAGTTGACTTTGAGTGGATACGATAATTCGCAGCCGAAGGGCTGCCGCGTGGGTCGTCAGCTAGCATTTTCAACATTAGCCAGGTCACTCTGAATAATTAATAATAAAACAGTGCCTAGCACTAAGTAAGGTGGGCCAAAACGGTCCAAAAGCAAGCAAGACGACGATTTCATTCGTCGGACACTGAAAAGGTATCACTATATGCCACTTAAGGCTAAATACAGAGAACACCTGTCAATCTTTTCTTTGCGCATAATTAGAAAAAGAATGAAAGAGTGTGGTCTTCATCAGCAAAACGCCATGACAAAGCCATTTTTAAGTAGAAAACTTATAAGAGAACGCTTTTTGTTTGCTCGAATATATGTTGATCACAGACTTTCCTTTTGGAAAAGCATTTACTTTTGTGATGAGGTCTTATTTTTATACAAGCCTCCGAAGTCGGCTCCAGTTGTCATATGCGGGAAGAACTTTCCACGAGAGCACATTTTATTGACACCAACACCAAACCACCCTAGACAACTTGATAGGCTCCACGCCCTCTCGCCTTACGACAGCTTTTAAAGCTAAAGGACAATCGACAAAGTACCGATACGTTGTATTTGTTACTATTTTTCATCATTTTGTCGTTTTATGACATTCCCTTCTCTGTTGGCAATTATCTTAGGCCTTGAATAGTTTACCTGTCATATAGTCATTTTTTGATTTGGTACTTTTTTGAAAAATAAATTAGTTCTTAGTCCATAAGAAAAACTTTATAAATCAAACTGTGCCTTATTTTGAAGCTCGGTCGTAACGCAGTATAACTTTCGTGGATGCGGTGTGGGCGTTTCGTGCGCTACAGCGATTTAAGGTCATAGTTCGTGACCTTTCATTTGATAGGTCACGAACTGTATATGCTGCGAAATAGAAAGCGTGCGCATATTCCAAGTTAAGTTTAGAAAACGTTGAGCAAGACTCCAGAGAGTAAGTAGAGGGGCAAGAATGTCTAACGACTTACGGCCATGTGCCAGACTCAACGCCCATAAACGCAGGTATGAGGCCGTGTTGGAAATCGAGCCTAGACAGTACTCGATGGTGTGGATAGCCTGGTAGACCAGGCATTCGTTGAAGTTGAACTGCGGGAAAAAAATGAAAAATCAACGACACTGAAAACACTGAAGTCTGACGGGTGTTGTATGCCCCGTTTCGGGATAGCGGGGGAGTGACATACAGTAGATGTGATTTGTAGATGTAGATGCAATCCGGAAAGTCGGGTTGTAGTATTTGTTATCATACAGGATATTCCGGTCAGGTGAGGATGCCGGCTTTCAAGCTGGCGCCTTGGCAACCACCTGCGCAAATTACATTCCGCAAAAATGACTGCTTAAGTATCCAAAAAAATATTCCCATTGACTTCCGATGCCGTTATAAATTCAAGTATATTTTATAGAAAAAGGCGAAAATATTTTCTTTTTTCACTTATTTGGTAGAAAAGTACGTCTTCTTCGCGTTTTTAGTATTTGAAGAAAGGGCATCTCTCGGTTTTTAAAAACTTTACCAATTCCTGAATAGTTTTGAACCAAACTTGATGTGACGCTTGCGCTCAGGGTCTTCGAACTCCAAACTGTCTGCTTTTCGTGAAAGGAAGATCATGCATTTTTACAAGTTATTATAAAGAAGACATGTAGAGATCATGGAATTTTGTAATGCATGTGGACCGCTTTATAAGGAACATTAGTAAATGGGCTGATGCGTTGCTGTACGATTGGACATTTCACGGTCTCGAAAAATCTCATAAAATCGAATGATGCCCTTTTTCTTCAAGTATCACACTTGAAGAAGACGTAATTTGGCACCAAATAAGTAGGAGAAAGAGTATTTTTGTGCATTTTTCTGTAAAGTATATTTGAATTTGCAAGGGGATGGAAAATCAGTGGGAAAAATCATGCCAATTAAGTCCAATTATATTTCATGGAAAACATGCATAGAAATATTCATTCTTTTGCTCATTCGGTAGATACCTACGACTTCTTCTGATTTAATACTCGAATGAGGGACATAATTCGGTTTTAAAAAAGTTTCTCACTGTGGGACTTTTAAATACCGTGAAATGGCCGTTCGCAAATCGTCATGTCTCTGCAGTTATCAATGTGGCTTGTTAACAATATGGATCAAATCCACTGCTAAATTTTATTAACTCTATATGCTCCCCTTCATTATTGTAGAGAATTGTGTGGTTTTTCGTACGCGGAAAATATACGGTTTGCAGTTTCGAAACCCTGAATGCAAGTGTAACGGCAGGTCGAGTTCAAAATCACTCGGGAATTGGAAAAGTTTTTGTAAACCGAATTATACCCTTCCTTCGAGTATAAGATTGAAAGAAGACGTAGTTATCTACCGAATGAGCGAAAGAATAAATATTTCTATGCATGTTTTCCATGAAATATAATAAGACATTTAGGAGTATCGAAAATCAATGAAAAAATTCATGCTACTTAAGTAGTCATTTTGCGGAGTGTAGTTTTTGCATGCAACCGGAAGGAATTTCATTCGAAAGCCGGCATCGTGAGGTAACTGAAATATAATAGAATTATGTTGCAGGCTGACTAGCTCTACAACCCCACTTAATCAATCTTTTCGAATCGGAAACATATTTCAGTCAACATCTCACACGAGAGAGAGAGAGAGAGCACATCTGCTGTCTAGGTGAGACACAACAACTAGCCTTCCTCACCTCGTCTGAGTGCGCAGCACTACCAGCGGCCGCGTTGTCAGCCGATTCCTTGGAGTTCACGTTATTTGTCGCACCGCCGTCTTCGCTAGTCAGCTTTGGTGGCGGTGGGCGAGGCGGAGGAGCCTAATGAGAAGTGAAAGAAGTCAGTGTGGGACATTGCAGTTGGAAAACGGGGACACATGGAGGGGGACGCGCAGGCCCAGGGGGACAGGGATTCAAACGAGTTCGTGTTCACTCACCTCAAGCTACAAAACACAGACCAGTCCTACAGGAATGCAGCAGCTCGCACTAATCGCAGCAACTCGGGAAAAAAAAGAACTGAGGTACTTTGAGCATGAAGGCGGCACCTGAATCTTTGGTACCCACTCTCGGTCCTAGAGAAGACAGTAAGTCGAGATCTCCAGACCCGCAACTATGTCGAGGTCGGCTTAATCAGGTCCAAAGAGCAGACAGGTAGGTAGCTCGGTTGGTAAACTGTCGAGGGACACAGTCTATTGACCTAATCAAGGAGTCCGGTGGTGGCGAAGGGAACTTTAATGACGTTACGACAAGTAGCCAATCGATTCAACCAACCGAATAGTAACGCTAGATGACAACAAATTCAGTTACTTCAGGAGAAGATACAGTGAGTGACCGATGTCATGAAATGTTGACTAAAATGTGTTTTCGATTAGGAAGCATGACTTAGGCGCGGTTGCAATACTGATTATCATGCGGCATAATCCTATAATATTTCAGATTTGGCAAGATTTCAGCTTTGGAATACATTGCTTTTGAATCTCCTGGAGAAACCGTACTCGGTGAAAAGTGACTACTTAAGTAGCATGCACTTTCCCCATTGATTTTCGATGGTCCTGCAACTACAAATATATTTTATAGAAAACACAAACAAAAATATGCTTTCTTTCAGTCTTTTGATAGAGAATCACGTCATCTCTATTATATAAGCGAAGAATTAGTATAATTACTTTTTAAAAAAGTTTCTAAATACAAGATTTTGTAAGACCGCAAAATGTCCACTAATAACACATCGTACCTGTATTTTTACCACTGCTCCTCATGAAATGTAAAACACAGTCCGTACCCATTGCAAAATTTATGGACTCTGTATGGTGTCTTCTTAAAGACGTAAAAGAATATGTGATTTTTTGCTCGGAACGCATGCACCTTGTAAACTGAAATCACTAAGCGCTGGTGCAATGACTGATCAGGCTTCAAATTATTCGGCAAGCGGAAAACTTTTTTAAAACCTAGTTATACTCCTTTTTCGAGTATAACATATAAAGATGACGTGATTCTCTATCAAATGACTGAAAGAAAGCATATTTTGTTTGTGGCTTCCATAAAATATATTTGAATTTTCAAGACCATCGAAACTCAGTGGGAAAATGCATGCTACCTAAGTGGTCATTTTTTGCTGAGTACGGTTTCTACAGGAGATTAAAAAGCAGTTTATTCGAAGGCCGACATCCTGCCAAGTCCGAAATATTATAGGATTATGCCGCAAGGTAATCAGTATTACAACCGCGCCTAAGTAATCCTTCCTAATCGAGAACGCATTTCAGAATTTCAGCCAAAATTTCATGAGATCGATCACTCACTGTAAATAATGAATGCAGAAAGCACTTTTTGGATGGAAAGTACTGCTCAGCATTACCGGGCATCAAAAGTCCAGCTAGGCTGCGACTCGCCCCAAAGCGGTTGGTAGAGGTATTGTTTTCTGTGTCCAATCCCACCCATTCGGAACTCCGGTTTAACGTACCACGAGTGCGTAGGACATCGGGTCACCATGGCGTATTACCGCTGTGGCATGTGACCATTTTACAGGGTAGCTCGGCACTCAACCATGCTTGACTGGTGGCTATCAAACCGTACAGTCGCAACGAATCTTAGCAAAAGGCTGCCTCACCATCTGTCGCATGCGAACGTGCTGAGTTGCTCAAATCCAGACCAAACAAGCGGACCCTGTCCTCTCGGCACTTTTTATCGAAGTGTAAAATGAGCAGGAGGCGAGCATCTGAACACCACAAACCGGAAGAAGGATTTTCAGTTTTTAAGAGGATCAAAAAGCAGGAGGGAAGGACACTTGCCGTGGACGCTGTTTTAGCTTGATGGCGCAGTAACAGGGGTTTGGACAGCAACATCCAAGGAATGCATGCTACCGCGAGCACAACGAGGAACGACTGAAGTCCAGGCTAAACAAATAAAAAAAGCACAGATACTGGTTTGCAAGGGCTAAATGACGCAACTAATAACAGGGATGATTTATTTTCAGCTTTGAGCGCATGGGGAACGCGGGGGGGGGACTTACTGACGAGTCAAACTCCTCGCAGCTGCGTCATGCACCGGCTTCTGATTAGTACTCGTGCTTTCAGTATGGTATATTATATAATATTAATCTCAGTGCAATTGATCAAAGGCAATGCTTGCGAACAGGGGTCGAATACGAATGGGTAAACATACGCCCACATAAGATGGTAAGAGCCTAAGCATAAATGCAAGGGTTCAACGACGCGCGCGCGCGCTCACCGTGGAGTCGTGAAAGACCTGCGGGTGAGGGGTACTTAGGAAATCCTGCGACGGACTAGGAAATATTGGCACCGACCGGCGTGTTTGCTCGCGCAACTGGGGGCGGACTGCCCCTAAAACGGGCCGTGTGGTAGATGCGTTGGACCAACAGGAGGGGAAGACTGGAGTGCAGCAGGCGTTATCGAGAAATCGCCTACATTAAAAATGCCAACACGGGGGTGTGATCGCACCTCTAGGTGCGGGCTCACGTCGCACCAACTGGAATCTGAGCCGCCCCCACCCCCTTTTCCTGCTGTATAAAATCCTGGTCAGCGTACGTAGTGGGCCAGGCGAAGTGGCGGTACGTCTGAGTGCGGGTTTTCGTCGTGTCAGTAACCTATCCCCTCTCCCTCCTCCGGTCTTCTTTAATCTGTCATGACGCCGGGGCCAGATGAGAGAGAAGGTGCGGTCGATGCTGTGCAAGCGTACTGTCACTACAAACTAATCCACGCCCAAGTCACCGTCACTGCACTCACCCTATATCCAAGGGGATATAGGATCTCTCCGTGCTTAAGCAGCTGGCTAAGATTCAGAAAGGAGTTGGCTGATCTTCCCTGATGAAAAGCCTAATTGTCCGCGCTAAATGAGAGCACTACATATTCCGCTAATAGCCTATGTGTTCTGAGGTTTCGCGATCTAAAGGTCACAGAAACGTCACCATAATTTATACAATGAGTGCGCCAGATTTGACTTCTCAGCGTCCATCAAGCATTCCGCTGTTGATCCATGACCGTTCGTCCTGCCTTTATGTACATATATGCAGAATGGCATTACTGAAAAAGACAACGGGAACTGGAATGGCCATTTCTGGCTAATTAACCGTCGTCAGACAGTCATACCCAACCCCGAAGTGTGGAACACCTGGGCTTCGAACTCGCAGGTGGTTAATGGAGGCCTCGATGTCGCCCCCTATTTTTGCTGTTGATTAAAATCCTGGTTGTTGTGGACCGGGTGGTGTAGTGGTACGCCCAAGTGAGGATCCGGTCATGCCAGCCACCGGCGTCCTCTCCCACCTCTGTCTTGACACCGGAACCAGGTGGGGGAGAACAGAATGGTGCGGGTGGATGCTAAGAAAATCTGCTGCCACCATAAACTAATTCACGCGAAGTGGCCGTGTCTCCCCTCAACTTGCTGTGGAGCACACGAAAGTTCGACCGTCGTGACCGCTCAGCCGTTACACTTGGATTCAGGGTTTCGAAAATACAAGCCGTATATTTTCCGTGTACGGAAAACTACATATTTCTCTATGGTATTAAAAGGAAACCATATAGGGTTCATAAGATTTAGCATTGGATTTCATCCATATCGTTAACTTTACAAGCTACATCGGTAAATGCAGAGACATGACGATTTATGAACGGTCATTCCATGGTATTAAAAAGGGACTCCTCTTGAAGCCGAATTATACTCTTCCTTCGAGAGCAAAATTAGAAGGCGTCTTTTACTACTCAATTAACAAGAGAATGAATATTTTCATTCATTTTTTCCATAAAATATAATTGGACTTTTAGGGGCATCGAAATGAGAAAAATTCATACTGTAGTCGTTTTTGCATGAAGCCGGAAGGAAGTTCATTCGAAAGCCGGCATCCTGGGGTAACTGGGGTAAGCTGACCAGTTTTACAACCCTACTTAATTAATCTTTTCGAAACGAAAACCCATTTTGGAATTTCGGCTGACATTTCATGTGTTGGTCCATCTACTGAATTTGAGACTATCAGTCTCAAATAGACTGATTCACTCCCAGTTAGCGATTAATTTCTGGGGAAATTAAAAAGCTGCAATTCCAGAACTGGAGCATCTTCCAGAAGGCACACGGGGGACGCCGGGGGACCCACTGATAGGCCGAACCACTCACAGCTGTGTCTTGCAGCGACAGAATATCGGCAAAAACAGGTGTCTGGGTTTTTGGATAGTACCTATGCTGCCATGTATAAGCATAAGCATCTGGTGTTTGATCGTCAATCAAACACCCTAACCCACCCCCCCTTGCAACAGATGAAAAGGAACCCCTACCTGTCCGGCATAGAAAGGATCTCCAGGACTGTCCTTGACTTCGTAGTTGAAGCGGAACATGTTAATTAGCACTAAAATGCGAAGAAAAAAAAACAGTGCAAGTCATCGAGGGCAAATTCTGGGTGGTTAAACAATTCACAGAGGTGGGCTGTGCTTTTCGGCTTACTGAGAAGCAGGCTGGGAGCTGTGGCAGCCTCCATGGCAGTGTAGGCGCCCCACTTGTAGAAAATCATAGCAACCAGGTAGCCAAAGATTGAACAGAGGAAGACCAGTTTGGGCAGGAAGTCACACCAAATATCCAGACGATCGTTGAAGAAGCTGAGCGGACGTGAGCGGCAGTGATCAGGCAGAGGTGGATACAAGGGGCGATTTGGTGTGACGGGTCATGGAAAATAAAAGTACGGAAGTTTGAATGGGTGATGGGATTTTATCAGCGAAAAGAGGAGGGCTACTTTTGGAGCATTTGGAAATAAGCCCTTAACTGCGAGCATGGCAATGATGCGAAGTAACTCACCCCTTTGTACCAGGGCTGAGTCAAGAGCTTTGGAAAACAGAAGCACGTACATGTCAAGTAAGAGTGTGACCCTCGCTGTTGCGACTAGGATCTTTCTCGACCCCATTCTGTTTGCTCGTTACTGGTGACAACGAAAGTTGTGACATAGAACACACATCAGAAACAATAAGTAATCAGCTCACTAAGAAGCACGCATGGTAGTTCAACCGTCGCGAGCGACAAGGTCCACTGGTAGTATTCCTGGGCGGTTCATTTTCGATGACCCTAACAGGCCAACCATTCTTATCTTTCGTGGAATTGGTTTTACTGGTTGTATGCGGTGAATTTTCGTATAGCGCACTGCTTACGCCGAGATTTTAGTACCCACTGAAACATACAGGCGTAAATACCCATATGGCCTGCGTTTTCTCTTAGCTTACACACACTCCCGCGGCCCCACCCGTAAAACCCCTTTTGCCACGCTTCTCCGTATCGAATACACATGGGGTTCCCCATTTCCTAGCAGGACCGCGTTTCCTAGCCGTGCCATTCATCTGCTGTCAAACTTCCGACGTTTTCCTAATTGTTTCACCTTCGTAATACTCTCCATTAAGCAATTCAGAGGACTGACTAGCAAACATGCTATCATTAACTCCTCGTTAACCGTCGAGAGTGCTAACACCCCCCAAAACAAAAGCCAACCAACCTCCGGAGGTCACGTGCGTTTGTTTTCTCTACAGCGCTGTTATCTTATTCGTGGCGCCTCTCCATTGGCTACTCACCTCTTCCCGAAGATCATTGGGCCGAATGCCGGCGAACCGCAGTAGGGTGTTATAAACATGCGTCGCGACTTGCAGTGTTTTTCTAATACACTTTCCGTGGCCGAGGGTGTTTTCTTTGTCTGCTGCTTTGGTATTGGGGACAAGGGTCGAGTGCGTATACGCTCCACGGGATTTCAAGTACCAGGATGGCCATAACATTAACCCTCGGCGGGTGTTTCTGTTCGTAGAAAATAGCTTTTCATAGGTATTTTGGCAGATTTTGAATACTTCATATTGACCCAACTGTGAAAAAATCGGCGCCTCGGTGGGATTCGAACCCACGCACTAAGGGGAAGGCTTTGGTACAGCCAACGCTCTAACCACCTGAGCTACGAGGCCCCGCCGGACGACGCGAGTTTGGTGGATTCCAAACGCTGCAGTAGGTTGGGCGGGTAATTTGACCCAAAATGTCATTAAACTCGTGTCGGCCGGCGTGGCCTCGTAGCTCAGATAGTTAGAGCGTTAGCTGTACAAAAGCCTCCAAATTACTGCGCGGGTTCGAATCCCACCGAGGCGCCGAGTTTTTCACAGTTGGGTCAATATGAAAAGAACTTTTGTTCAAAAGGATTTACTAGAAAACATGGCAACTTGGCTCGGAAAAACTGAATAAAGGGCCGGTTAAAGCCCTATCCTTGTAAATGTAATGGACACTGGCCATTTAATAGACGTCCGTATCGCGGCAGGCTAGGCCGCGGGAGAGACCCTGGCCCCACAACCATCAGGTCCAACGCCGAACGGAAAGAGAAGGTGGATAATGTATTCTGTACAGAATAACTGGAGAATGAGTTGGAGTGAGTTGGCAGTCGGATTCTCCTACACCCCACATCGAACATGCTAATGCCTTCCTTTATTTAGCAAACCATTCCACCACCCTCTTTTGTGATTTAACTCGAAATGTTAACTTTTTCGTACGAATTGGCATGCCCAACGAGAATTAATCGTTAGTCCCACACATTTCGAGGAATCCTCTGAGTTTCGTTGTTTGTTTTACCAACGCTCGTTTTTTCTCGAGGGTAGAACAATATTTTCTTGACTCTAAACGCACAAGGCTCACTGAAAACATCTTCAACTCACATAAGTGCAAGTACCATTGAAGTCATTTCAACTGTTAGCGCGAGATTGCTAAAGGTCCAAGAGCAAAGAGCAATTAAAATTTCATTTTTGACGCTTGACTCTTCCTACACATCTTGAGGATACGTATACTTTTCTAGAAATGTCTCAAATTCCATAATTTTTGTCCACTTTTGATGCTTTTTTCTCTTTGTTCCAACTCAGAGTAATGGTGTTTGGTATGTTATTTTAATTAGGACTGAGGCTACCGAACGTTGGTTTCTTGGCCTGTCCACGGCCATGAAACGACGGCAATCTTAAATCTAGACAACAGTTACATCTAATCTACTTGCATGTCACTAGGAAGCGGTCTAGACACGCCTGAAATCCGTCGATGCATCAAAAGTACTTAATGACATTCTCAAACTAATGAGAAATTGAAAGCGGGTTCTAAGACGAGTTTTAACGTTTGCGTAAAATGGATGTTAACTGAGTGGCATAGATGTCGCGCATTCGCTAGATCAGTCCAGTAGCAAACGGTTGAAAATACCCTTAGCCCACTCAGCCAATGGTAGCAGAGTCGTCAGTAAAACTTGTGACTGACCACATCGGTTAGATTTATTGACAAAAGGAGAGATCATAAAACTGCTACCCTTTAGTTGACCAAGCCCCCCCCCTGCGAACGGTTCTCACTATAATCGACATGAAGGATACGTGCTGAACTTAAGATGCTAATAATGGCGGCGGTGGTGGTGGTGGTCTGTAAGCAAAAAGTTGAGAAATGACGTCATGAACAGTTGAGCGCAACCTACCGGTGGTTGAAAAGACTCAATACGACACCAAAGACCATGTGTAGAACAGCAAGAATAATTGAGATCTTCATCTTCAGAGAATTCGCGAAGGGAATCTTGTTGGTGGAGATTTGCCAGACGGGGTCCACGCCGAAGGGATAGGGCTGCCCACTGTACATTTGATGGGTGATATTCTCACTCACTCTGGGTTCCAGCTGCAGCACGCTTTTCGAGAACAGGGCTCCCTTGTCGTAGACGGGATACCAAGAAGAACCAAAAATGTTCGCCGACTTCGAGAAGATGTCGTTGTAGATGAGGCCCGTATAGATGGAAAAGGCGCCCATGAGGAGGATTACATAGCGTCCGTTGAAGAAAGTATCCCACAATTCACCCTTGATTTTCTTTTCGCGAAAACAACAAGTGTTGAATTGATAATGGGGCAACCTTTGGCAAGATCCTAGTGACGGTAACATCTATCGCTTTCAAATAAAAGTAGTCATAAGTCTAATCGATGACAGATAATGTTGAGCAACGCTAAGCCCACAAATTCGCACTGGCGGGTAGGCTACGTTATAAAGGCAACAAGGCAGCAAGTTTGAGAAAGTTATGAAAGAACGTAGGGTAACTCAAGAACTTGAGGTGTGTGTGTGTGTGTGTGTGTGTGTGTGGTGTCCAAAATATGGCAGGTCTCGAGAATGAGAGTAGTCATGGCGAGGACAGTCACCCACTTCCGCCCTCCTCCCTTCGGAATCCAAGAGATGGCTCAGGACCAGATAAGTCTGACCTAGCCCTAGCGACACCATAAACACTGCTCGGTGAGGTGTCAATACATCTGAGATTACGGAAGTATGCAACCTTCCGGTGCGTCTGTATAATGCGTTTACGGGTCTTGTGGCCGTCTTTACTGCCACGACGCGCTGATTCTAGGTCAAGTTTATTAAAAATGGCGGCGAGTCTGGAGTTCGGACAACCACTACGTTTTGGTGTCGGGCGTAATTTGGTAGCCCCACCTGAAGTAAACAAACCCCAGTCACCTCTAATACGGGACCGGTGGTAATAGGGGTTTTTAAAGGTGGGGCCGGGGAATGCACATGCGACGAGGTCAAGCAGTGGTATGCCGAAGAAAAGCTATTGGGTGTGCGTGGTTATACTTTCAACGGTTGAGAAATAGCTGCGCTAACCCCTAATCCGTAGCTACAACCCCTTATCCTAAATCCCAATCGCTAACCCCAACCCCAACAGTATTGTGTCCACCAGGTGCGGCTACCAAACCACGTCTTAACGTTCTGGCAACATATGTCTAGTAGTTTACAATTTTGCTATTCATATTGACCCAACTCTGAAAAACTCGGAGCCTCGGTGGGATTCGAACCCACGCAGAAGGGGAAGGCTTTAGTACAGCCAACGTTCTAACCACTTGAGCTACGAGGTCCCGTCGGACGACGCGAGTTTAATCACATCTGGGTCAAGTTATCCGCCAAATCTACTGCAACGCCTGGAGTCCACCAAATCTGATACAGTAAGTTGACTGCCCACGCAGGATTTCCTAAGTAATTCACCTAGAACCTACCAGATGACGGCCAGGCTCACCAGGCGAGACGTCCAGCGATCGTCCAGGGCTTTTGCATTTACATGCTACAGCATGTGCCAAATTATCATGGCTAACGGAGCTGGTAAAGCTGCCTAGGACGACCGCGGGGGGAATAAATCGACAAAACGCGAGCGAAATCCTGTTTCCCAAGTGACTGATTCATTTTACCCGCCTCGCCCTACTTCCTAAAAGTGTGCCAAAACAGGAAGAGCCGGATGGTCACCTGACAACTATTACTACGCATAGAGCAGAGGAAAACTAATCGGGGTTTAAGATCCCTGGTCATGCTGGTGTTTGTCGAATCAGCGAATAAGCTGTACCTATGACTCGACCAGCTCATTATCAATGACATTCGAAAAGCATCTCCGTAGTTCGAATGAGGCTGGGCAAGCGAAACAGAGACCTCTGCGCGGCGCAATATCTCGTAAAACAGGCGTGTTAAACTGAAAAGTTTAAAGTCTTTCTACGAGGTATAATTAAATGTATGTAGGCATTACGAATCACTTCTTAGGTAGTAGTTCTTCCCTCAGACATGAGGCTGGAAATTACACAGAGTTTAATACAAACGCGTTCTGTAATTTTAAAAGGCAAACTTCCGGACGTGCCCAACTAGGTGAGGACTGAGGGAGAACAATAAGGAGGCAGTCTAACCGAATTCTGGCCTGGGATTTAAAGTCACATAGAAAGGCGTCCACCGATCTGGTCTGTGGGCTTGCGCTTTTTCCCGGAACTCCGGTTGAAGCCCAGCAGGTGCTCAAACAGTAAACAGCTGTATATTGAAGAGTGAGCAATTCGGGCTCTCCAACACCCTGTGATTATATGCTGTACTCAGAAGTGTTGCAAACCCCAAGTGCATGGTCACCGACAGAAACGAAGAGGCAAGTTCCAGGAATCAATTTGGAAGAAGACACAATCGCTGGAACAAGACCCTTATCTGCGACTGCCCCTGACGACAGGTTCGAGTAAGAATTCGAAACGTCAAACCAATAAACTTCTTGCTCCAGCTATCGCATCTTCTCCTTCTGAAGTCTGTGGTCAGGTAATGCGAAGGAGCACAACTTAGACAATTAGGAAAATTAGAGGAGCCAAAAAAACTAACCATGAGTTGTCGCTCGCAGAGGACCATCCATAAGCCAAAGAGGAACATAATCAGTCCGTGTCCAGCATCACCAAACATAACAGCAAAGAGGAAAGGGAAGGTCACGAGATTGAAGAGTGTCGGGTTAACTTCGCGATAACGCGCGACGCCGTAGGCATCAACAATGCTCTGAAAGCAGGTAGTGAATTTATCCCCCCTGTTAAAAGTGGGGGGTTGATCGCTTGTACTCATGTGATTGAGGATCGGTTGAATAGTGCTGCCCGAGCGCTGCATGCCACGGCATAGGGCCAAGTTGATTTTATCCAGATCGCTGACCGCGCACCAACACTCGCCAATCATGCATTTGGTGGTCACATCGAGATCGAAGAGGTTCAGTGTATGGTAGATGGCCTTCATTTTGCGCACCCGAATAAACCAGCTGTAGATATTTTTGGCCGCCGCCTCCAAAATTCGTTGACGATGTTGCTGCGTTTGCGTCAGGACGGTCTCCAGATCGTCCAGTTTCTGTACCACATCCATCAGCATAGTTCGACGGTCAGAGGCCGACTCGGGGCAGGGATAGATGGTTGCATGAAACCTTAGAGAAAAAATATACCAAAAAACAGATGAATAAGCATCATTATAGATTTAATATAATAAATATAATATAATACTAATACAATAATGCATAATATACATAGGGAGTATGGTATTACGGACAAAGACAAGGGAAACTAGAATGGCCATTTCTGGCTTGTTAGCCGTCGTCAGCCAGTCATACCCAACCCCGAAGTGTGGAACACCTGAGGCTCGAACTTGCGACCTGTTGGTTAGAAGTCCAACGCCTCTACCATTGTATATTCCCGATCGAAACCGATAGGTCAACGGGCTCGTGGCCCAGTGGTTAGGGAATAAATAGCAGGTCGCGAGTTCGAGCCTCGGGTGTTCCGAACTTCGGGGTTGGGTATGACCGGCTGACGACGGCTAACAAGCCAGAAATGGCCATTCCAGTCTCCCTTGTCTTTGTCGGTAATACCATATTGCCTATATCATGAGTCGCTGTGCGGCTGCTGGTTGGGCTCGAGAGAGAGCCCAACGGGACGAGTGAGGTCCGTAAGAACGATTGGTTAGCGCCCCCACCACAATATATGTAGTATAAATATATATATATATATATATATATATATATATATATTGAAACGTAGGCATCCCAAGAAATATAAGTTGAAGTTAAAGGCGTTCTTTGGGAAAATGAACTTTATTGCGTAAATTTTCGACGCCGGTTCCCCAGGTCGTCTTCAGACGCAGACTGAGAGTAAATGTGCCGACAACAGTTAACATCTGGCAGCGCACGTGGAAAAAATCGATAATCGTTCGCGTTTGTGCCCGTGAGCGGCCGCTATTTGCGTCATTCTGTGCCGATTGGCTCTCGTCTCTTCCATTTCTCCTTGAGACTTTTGTACGCGGCGTCCAACTCGATGTGACGGTTGATGCACGATTCATCCGAGTGCATGGCCTCAAGGAACTCTCGGCCTTTCTTGAAGGGGCAGGCGCCGACAATCCGTGTTCTGTCCCAAGCAAACGTATGCCCCGTGTCCAGGGTATGCATGGCTACTTGAGACAGGTGGTCTCGCCTCTTTACTGCAAGTTGGTGTTCGTGAATGCGTGTAGAGGCGGATTTTCCTGTTTGACCACAATAAACTGCATCACAGGCCCCACACGGGACATACGTTTGCTTGGGACAGAACACGGATTGTCGGCGCCTGCCCCTTCAAGAAAGGCCGAGAGTTCCTTGAGGCCATGCACTCGGATGAATCGTGCATCAACCGTCACATCGAGTTGGACGCCGCGTACAAAAGTCTCAAGGAGAAATGGAAGAGACGAGAGCCAATCGGCACAGAATGACGCAAATAGCGGCCGCTCACGGGCACAAACGCGAACGATTATCGATTTTTTCCACGTGCGCTGCCAGATGTTAACTGTTGTCGGCACATTTACTCTCAGTCTGCGTCTGAAGACGACCTGGAGAACCGGCGTCGAAAATTTACGCAATAAAGTTCATTTTCCCAAAGAACGCCTTTAACTTAAACATATATATATATATATATATATTTACAAATGGATATAGGCAAAAATGCCGACCCCAGGTGTTAATATGGAAGAGGAGGATGAGGCGATCTCTGGGGAAAGCAAGTAAAAGGGTGATTTGAAAAGGATAGGTTTGGCTCGTCTGCCGTCACCGACCGGTCATATCAGGAGACCTGGGACTTTGACAGTTGACCGCTTTGGCAACGAGTTCATGCTGTCAGTAGGGGGTGGCATGCCGGTATTTATTCTATCTGTGGGGTCGAATAGGGGCCATTTCATTCCTCTTGGAGTCCTTATTTAGGGCCCTAACATGCGGTGGCCTCCCACTGAGGGAACGGGTATGCCGTTGAGTAAGATACACTTTACACGAAGGCAAGCCGATTGACATGAACAGGTCCTTATGTGGGTGATGGGCCTTTAAAACATCTGAAGCAAGCACTTGCGGGTGGCCACGCTCTAAGTAATAACATCAAAGTCTTCCGGCCTGGGTAGAAGGTACCCGGAAGGTCAAAAGTTAGGGACCATGAGAATCAATCGACTGGACGAACTGGCGCATTATAAATTATACAGCAGCGAGACAGTACCGGGTGGGTGCCTCAGACGTCCGAATGAATATTCACCACCTCTGGATACCGCCAAACCGCAGTACAGGCATCTCCTTTTTCTGTCCTCAAGCAAGGAAGCGACAAAATCGTGCAAAAAGAGGTTTCACTCCCCGAGAAGTCCGAAAAGCTGACTCGACAAGAGAAAAACTCCAGTTAGCAGTTAATAGGGCCGTTTGGCAGTTCGCGCTGAGCTTGAAAACCCATTACTATGGACTTGCTGTGCTCGTGAAACAGGGCCGGAAGTGTGCAATGGACTCTGCGATAGACAAGGCCTAGAACGCCCGGAAGTGGTGTTAGGGATAATTTATAAATTTGAAAACAGAGTCCTCACCCTTCGCAAATTTTCCTCACTCGGATCCGTAGCTGCTCACCTTGGAAGAAGACTATGAAAACTGTCTTGTACACCTTCTCACCCTGTTGAGGAGAAAAGAAGGAATCAGGGGTAAGGACAGAAGTTCTAAAAGACGAAGTGCTTGAGAGAAAATGGAGCTGAGAAAAAACCGACAATCATTCTTCGGCGATAAGTCGAAAACGCTTTAACATGGGCATGTGTACGTTGGCATCACAACATTGCAGCCTGTATCCAAAGGGAGAAATATTTTCTTCGTAGGTCATTCCACCTTACACCTTGCCGTAGCTGCTAGAAAAGGGCCTAACTTTTTTTCCATGTCAACGGGTGGTTGGGCCATGTGCGCTTGAGAGGTCGAGTGTATTTCGACATTGATCCACAAATGTACTATTTAACTACTTTGGCAAAAACAACCAAGTTAAAATGACTACGTTGCAGTCTGTGCAAGGACACAGTATGCCGTTCCGAACCAACAGCTATCTTTCAATTCTAACAAGGATGTCAGCATGTGCTAGTGAAGGGAACCGTTAATAATGGGTCAAATCCCCACAGTTAAGTAAAAAAAGAGAACAAAAAAAACAAAAAGACACCGATTCTCCATACCGTCAATGGGTCCTCCAGTGGCAGCTCGATTTCCGCCTGCTTCAAGAATACGTTACCGCTGCATGCACGCCACAGCATTCGTTCGAACGCCGGCAACTTCTGACGAAGAATTACACCAGCGGTCGAGCTGAAATCAGCAAAGGGTAAACAGTAAGAGCTGACCGGCACAAATGAGAGAGAGGGGGGGGGAGGAGAAAGGTAACATCCGACAGGTTGACGGAAGGAGTGCAACGGAGGGGCTTCCGCCCCCTCAGTGGTAACATGCTGTAAGAGACATGCAGACTACAAGCAAGGAAAAACGGGTTCTGCAACCGAGTACGAAACTGCCGCGGCAGTAGGACGGTGATTGACATCCGGTTAGAAAACAACACACCTGGAGCAGTGCCACCTTCAATCAACCCATCCCCGCCCGAATAGTTTTACTGTTGGTTATTACCGCAAATGCGGCCACTTTGTTTAAACAGGCCGGTTGGTAAACGCCAAAGAACGCAAAAGTAAAAAACAGTTGATCATCGAAACGGCGCTTACATTCGTCTGAACAAAATCCGTCCGCAAGTGTGGACTATTATGTGCACGCTGCCTACCGGCATAGGTAAGATGCTGACGGAAAATTTAAAATCTGTTCGAAAACCCTCGAACTGTCAAAAAGTAACACTTCGTCTGAGACTTTGCCGATGAGACCAGTGCATGGTAAGCGTGACCGTGATTGTGACAACCAGACGAGTACGCACTACAGCAGGCACAAAAAGTGTATGGATTCTCGTGAAAATAATGAAAGACGGTGACCTGAAGCGCGATACATTATTTAACGTGTCACAGCGAGACGTATGTATCCTGGCAGACAACAATTTGTGCAAAAATGGGACAAAACACAGTACAACGATTAGCGCACCCTAGGTGCATCTCAGCTCCACCAGTAGCGGTCGTCCTGCCACCCTCTTCGCCAAGAAGACTGACGCTTTCTTCAACTGAAAAAGACGGCGCATTTTGCGCCTAGTAAAAAGTAGCCAGACTTATTACGCGGACTGACTGACGTAAAAAGACACAACATCTGCAAAATGACATGAGGGGACGTGTCACGATTTGGAGACCTCGTCGATTACTTTCGCCCGCCATTTACCAGCATTACAGCGGGCTGACTCTTGGTTTTCAAGGACATGTCAGTCTTCCGAAGGTCAACAGGAGGCGCATAAGTCACCGTCACTGTTGACTGTATAAACAGCTGTAACAATTGGTCAGAAGAACAAATTGCAGATTAACAGGACAGGGTGAGTTAAGCCATACAGTAAATGTAGGTATTAAAGCAAAAAAACTATAGTAATAAACTTAGTGGCCAGTTTGCATTGCTGGTGATTGTCAAGACGCGGTTAAAAGACAGTGACCACTCCGATCCTAACTATGGCGATGGGAGGAGCGTTCCATTTTGCGCCAGTCCTTCTTTAACGAGTCGCCCTCCGTGTTAGAAACATCTTCGATATATCCTGTTTCCCTTGATCTCTGCAGTAAGTCCTTTCGGCGTGTATCTTTGGATCGGCCGTATTCGTTTATTAACTTTCACAAGGTACCTTGAAATCTGTCCCAATTCCGTAGGTTCTTCCGATATAAGCCCTTGGCGGTCGGTCTCAAAACTACGACCGCTTTTAAAAACACTGTAAATTCACTCATTCCAGTTACAGAAGTACCCAGTCCCACGACCACCCAAACAATGGAGGGCCGGAGGTTACCTCATCCATATCTTTCCCTGCCGTTGTGAATTTGAAATTCAGACAGCCTGACATTCGCCCTTCTCACATGCCTGGATAATGCACATATTGAATGAGGAATTCGTCCAAAGCCGAAGATAATAACATGTAAGTAAATACGTCAGGGAGCAGCGGTTGTTATTACATCCGAATTTATCGTGGAAGCATTAAAGTTGGCGATGAAAATATAAATGTCATCCGCTGTTTTTACCGGTCGTATTAGTACTTCTTTTCTGACTTCAAACTGACTCCGACGGTTGTAAACTGTGACGAAGTGTCTATTCAGAAAGATGTAGGTTTAGTTTGCATAGCACAATCTCGACATATTCCGCATTAATGAATCGATATCTGGGTTTTTTTGAGGAAGAGGGCTACTTCCCCTTCCTCCTTTCCCTTTCCGTCAGTCTTGGTTACAGTTGAGGGACGGATTTCTCGGTGCACAACCTACCAGTCAAGATAGTATCAGTACAATTTTTCGAAACTGAAATTTTTAATTATCAGCCCTATTTAGAATATTTTGAGTGCCTTCAAAGAAGAATTTGATTTGATGACAGTTTTGGCCGTCGGGATGTTCCGCCATCATGACTGGTACTCTCCAAAAAAGGATCTCGTTCGACAAATAATCTGTCAGTCCACTATTTCCAGTCCTCTTGCTTCAGTTACCGTCCTCTCCCTCGAATCCTCGGCGGGCTCACTCATTTTCATTTGTTCCCGCGTTGGATATTCCGACTGGAAAACAATCAGCTGTCCGGGAATCCCACAAGAAGTCTTTCATAGCAAGAGGTTTGCATGAAGAGTGTTCCCAGACAGTTAGGGAGTGTTTTGGCTTACAACCAAGTATGACACTATTTTCTTCAGAATTTAGATGAAGGAGTTTAATTATTCTGAGTGATTCATTATCCACCAGTGCTCTATTTAACTAGGTTTGGCGAACTTGCAGATAACCCCCTAATCTAATTCAAAGGCGCTTTCGGAGCAGCCACTCGAAGAACGAGGATAAATGCCCATTGTGCTCTAACGTATTATTTTATTCACTTATGTTTGGAACAAGCTGACCGCATCCTTTGGGCTCGTTCATACTCGCAGAGCTTTTATTGACAATTCCTGATCGTGGCTGTACCTCCTCCCCACTTTCATTCCCATACTCCCCAGGAGTAAAACTGTATTTCGGCTAGATGGATTTCACTTCTTACACGTTTTCATCATCTTTGTTTCCTTGAAGTCAGCGGTATTCTCAACAAGTTCCTTATTAATGGTCAATTTTTATCGAAGTTCATGTAGCTCTGACTTCGACTCCTTGTGGTTAAAAGGTGCGGTCCTTGCAGATTGTCGGTTGGGTCTCTGTCCCCAAACAGTTCAGAAATAATAAAATTTAAGAGATATAAATTTTTTTAAAATAGAAGTGGGGGATGAGGGCTGAACTGAATTACCTCTTCAAAGAAGATTTGTGTCTTGCGCAAAAGGTGTTTCATTTCTTGGAGTTCAAAGTAAGTTTTTTTAAGGTTTTCGAGGCTAGAATTGACTTCGCTCGCTTCGTTTGCAAGTTTATCAAATGTTGTCTCCATGTCGATCATTTCTCTGGGAGCAGGTGCCTCGGGGATTTCGAGACATGCATGTATGGTTAAATTGTTAGATTTTATTTCCTTTTCCATGAACCCTGAACCAGAAAGCCCATTAATTCACACATAAACGTACGTAACTTCCGTTCCATTTCATCGCACCTTCGAACTTCATTGACGAACTTTCTCTGAAAAGCACTAGTCGAAGAAGTCATCTGTTAATCAGAAGGTTAATGGTCCTAGCTTGGACATACGTCGCGAAACTGAACAATTCCTAGTTCACCCAACTCTGCTAAACACATGTATGCCGAATCTATTTGCAGAAACAGCTGTGAGAGTTGCATCTCTTCACTTCGAAACAACGACCCCATTTTACTAAGTTCTTTTCGAGCGGGCCAAGATGAAAGGTCATCAAAGTGGTGCCCAAGTTTGCTCAGGTTGGATGAGAGTTTCAAGTCTGAGCTTCTGTCAACCCATAAACTTCAGGCAGGGAAAAGTTTCGCTTTAAATTCTGAAGCTAATGCATATTTTAGCTGCTTCTGCAACAACACTCAAATTTACGATGCGGAATTGGGCTCTGGTATTCATTTAGCAAGTTTATTGGGGAGGCTAAATAAAGGCGCTATCGCGACAATAACTGTGACTGGAATTAAATAACAGAGGGTACCGTCAGCAAATATGAAACAAATGGACACAACAGTCGTGAACAGCCCAAAAACTGCAAAACTCATCTGCAAGGAAGGTGAAGGAAGTATGCATACAACAACCAAAATTTATTAAGGTGTCGACGACGATAAATGAAGGAATGAAATGGGTTTATTTCGGTAACCCTTTTCATCTTCAAGCTGGTTAGAACACAGGGCAAGAAACTTTTGCCAAAAACACCTACTATGAGGGCATTTTTAGTCATCCGTTTGAGATTTTTGCAATATAGTGCGTAAAAGGGAAGTTTGCTTTAGGTAAAAAAATTTCCTTCTAAGATACACTTTTAATGAAAAATTACCAAAATAACCAGCAATGCAGTGTTTGGATCAGTTTTTTAGAGTTTAAAATGCTTCAGCTTCGAAATATTTTGCACTGCTCAAGGACGCCGAAGCAAACGGATCGTCCGAGGATAAACTGGCCTCGAGTAGCCGTATTTGGTCATATACTTCTCTTATAGAGCACGGGCTGGGGAAGAGGTTCTGGACCCTGGCATCCTTGAAGGGAGGTAAGTGTGTTTTCGCTCCACTCGGAGTCGTCCCTCTCATTATCATCTCTAAATATTTGAATATCTCATCACGCACCGAGTCAAGAGTACCGGACATAGAATAAATACCGTAAAGTTGTCAGATGACAACAATAGAATGTTTATTTGGGAAGTTACCAAATGGGAAAAGCTAACAAGGTAGAAGTGGAGTAGGCACAGTTATAGACGAGGGAAGGTCTATCCGATTATTGACGTTACAAAACTGTCTGCACGGGACCCCGGAGGACGTATAATGAGCCCAAATGACTGACGATCACGAGCTGTCAAAGAAGGACCGACCGAAAGACTATTGAAGACTGTGGCTACTGCCCTATTGATAAACCTATGTACTCACGAAGTGGAGAACACCACCGAGGCACAGAAATAGACTGCGTGCCCGAAACACGAAGAATAAGTGAGAGACTTCTACGGATGGAGAATTATTTCAAAAGAAAGAACTACTCATCGTGATAAACTGGAGCCCTGTGCATATACATGACTCTACCGCCGCCTGCTTTTTAACGACATAATTTGGTACTTGGTTAAAAGATGTAGCCCGCTTAGAAGACGATCGTTCGTCTCCCGGCCCGAGTAGGTGGTATCAGATACAAAATAAAATCTGAAGATAAGACTGTTTAAAAGATATGCTATATGTGCAGAATTGCAGCCGACAAACGAGTCCACCCGCTGACCGTTTAATACCCTTCGACTTCGGGATGCAGCACTTCCCGTATTACCAAGTAAGCTTTTGTGCGATTGGTCCACAGGTGCCCACGCACTTTTATTTCCACTATCCTGTCGCAAGGGAGTGTTTGACCATTTTTAAATCGCATCCGGTCTTCTGTCAAAGAAGACATTCAACGCAGTGTTGTCCAACTTTGTGGTACGCCTCTCCGTCTGCCCCAAGTATTTGCACACTCTTTAACTATGAACACCAAATGGCCGAGCACTTTCCTGCACCAGTTGAAACAACACATGGCTCAAATGTGTGCAACTCCCATTCGTCTGACCTCCAAACGTGTGTCTGTGAATGAAGACCATAAATCTCCTTCGTTCGGTTTCGTTCGACATGACGCAGTTCGCGAACCTCTTTGTTTCCCGTACAATGTCCCACATAAAGTTCTTCAGCGAACGGCCAATTATAACGTCATTCAGGAGGCTGGCACGGTCTCCATTCACAGACTAACTCCAACATATCTTGAGTGCATCTCGCCGCCCGCTGTTGCATGCAATTCTTCTACATCGACCTTATCCGATTCGTCAGTTTCGGTTCCCTCTACGCAACTACCACAAATGACCACCCCACATATTTTTCCTGATTCTCAATTTACACTATCACACACCCCATCTCCTTCTGGTAGACATATCCATCTTCCTGCCAAAATCAAAGTCTTTGCGATTTAATTTTTACATTTGTGATCGAGCGCTATTTTGTTTGACAAACGCTCTGGCGGGGAAGATGTGTAAGTCTATGTACATTTCAGATTTGGGATTGTTTTCTCTACACTTTCTTGCACATGTTAACTTTTCTGTACTGCTGTTCGAAGGGGTGTAGGGGTGTCAGCGGTGGGTTCACGTGATGGTCGTGGTGGTCGCTCACTTGCTTGCAGGTGAGACTACGCCTAGCGTCCACTTGCTGGCACTCAACTCTCACCTGTGGCTCCACGTAGCTGGGCTCTGCTCAGCGGCCACACCCCGGGCAACCGCCTCGGCCGGCGGGCTAAACCAGGTGAGGGCGCTGTGTGCTTTTGCCGCGTGCACAGTGTACTGCGGACTCCGCTGGATGGATGGTCGGATGAAACACTGCGCCGGCATCGTCGAGACGAGGCTCTGCCTGGTACGCCGTTGGATAACTGCTGCCGGGACGGGTCTCCGCATCACCTTCGCTGAGACGCGCCCACCCTCGCCGACGGAGACCGCGGACTCACGGCATATGCGGTCGTTCTCCACTACAAATATGAAAGTCGTGGCCCCATAGTGGGATTCTGTCGCGCCAACCAAGCACATGGGCAGTCCGATTCAGGGGTGGCACTGCCTGCCCCCATGAGGGGAAGGGCCTAGAAAAGGTGGCCTTTAAAATGCTGGACACCACGCCGTCTGTAGGCTAGCCAAGGCCGCAGATGTCATCAACACGGTCGAAACAATCAAAATCAAAACAACAACAATACCAATAACAACAACAACAACAACCATACTCATTCTCCTCATCCTAATCCTTCTTCCTCTTCCTCCGTCTATTCTTCTGCCTATTCTTCTCCTTTGTAATCTTCTTCTCCACCCCCTTCCCGCCGCCCCACTCGCTGTCCCCAGACTGGCAGGGTGAGTCCGCTTACTCTGGCAACCTGGAATGTTCCTTCCCTTTTAGACAATCCGAGGAGCAACCGACCGGAGCAGAGGACGGCTCTAGTAGCACGGGAACTGGCGCGCTACAAGGTGGACATCGCCGCACTCAGCGAGACCCGATTCTCCGAACAAGGCCAACTGGAGGGAGTGGGTGCCAGCTACACCTTCTTCTGGAGTGGTCGACCAAAGGCAGAGCGACGAGACGCGTGTGTCGCCTTCGCCACCCGGAACGATATCGTGGGACGACTGCCCAGTCTGCCGCAGGGCATCAACGATCGCCTGATGAGCCTCCGCCTGCTTCTCTGGGGAGGCAAATTCTCCATCATCATCAGCGCTTACGCTCCGACGATGACCAACCCCGACGCCGTCAGAGACAAATTCTACGAGGACCTGCACGCCCTCTTGGCGACTGTGCCAAAGGCGGACAAGTTGATTGTCGTTGGTGACCTCAACGCCCGCGTCGACACAGACCATACTGTCTGGTGAGGAGTGCTCACTCCCCACGGTCTCCGCGGCTACAACGACAATGGTCTGCTGCTTCTCCGCACCTGCGCAGAACACCGCCTCATCCTGACGAACATGTTCTTTTGTCTGCCGGAGCGAGAGAAGGCCACCTGGAGGCATCCTCGGTCGCGTCAGTGGCCCCTGCTGGACTATGTCCTCGTCCGGAGGCGAGATCAGCGGGACGTGCTGGTGACGAAGGCGATCGCGGGTGCGGACGGGTGGACCGACCATCGCCTCGTCATCTCGAAGATGCGTATACGTCTACAGTCTCGCAGGAGACCACAAGGTAAGCGACCCCCAGGTAAGCTGGATGTTGCCTTGTTGTCTTTGCCCGCTCACCATCTTCATTTCAGTAATGAGCTAGCTCAACGGCTAGACAACCTCCCCATCGCCGACGCCGCCACTGCCGAGAACGCCTCCGTGGAGAACCGCTGGTGTCAACTGCGTGACACGGTCCAGTCGACGGCGCTCGCCGTCCTCGGTCGCGCTCCCCGCCAACACCAGGACTGGTTCGACGACAACGACGCCGCCATCAGAAATCTGCTTGCTGCGAAGAACCGCCTACACAAAGCCTACGTAGATCACCCCACTGATGCCGCCAAAGCCGCCTTCTACCGCATTCGCCGCCAACATCAGCAACGACTGCGCGAGATGCAGGACGCCTGGACTGCTCGCAAAGCTGAGGAGATCCAAGGGTACGCGGACCGCAACGAATGGAAGAACTTCTTCTCTGCGATCAAAGCTGTCTACGGTCCGCCGACGAAGGGCACTGCTCCTCTCCTCAACGCCGACGGAAGTACTCTCCTGACTGAGAAGACGCAAATCCAGCAGCGATGGGCCGAGCATTTCCGAGGCGTCCTCAACCGCCCCTCCGTCATCTCCGACGCCGCCATCGCCCGCTTGCCGCAAGTGGAGACCAACGTGGACCTCGACCTCCCGCCATCTCCCCAGGAAACGATCAGGGCCGTGCAGCAGCTCTCCAGCGGGAAAGCACCCGGATCAGACGCAATCCCTGCTGAGTTCTACAAGCACGGAGGTCCCCAACTGATGGATCACCTGACTGCGCACTTCCAAGAGATGTGGCGTCAAGGGGAAGTCCCGCAAGATTTCAAAGACGCAACCATCGTGCATCTCTACAAGCGCAAAGGGAATCGCCAAGTCTGCGACAATCACCGCGGCATCTCCCTGCTGGACATCGCCGGGAAGATCTTCGCTCGCATCCTTCTCAACTGCCTCAATAACCATCTGGAACAGGGCCTTCTGCCGGAAAGCCAATGCGACTTCCGTAGTCATCGTGGGACCACGGATATGATCTTCGCCGCCCGTCAACTTCAGGAGAAGTGTCAGGAGATGCGGACCCACCTGTACTCTACCTTCTTGGACCTGACGAAAACCTTCGACACGGTGAATCGTGAAGGACTGTGGAAGATCATGCCGAAATTCGGCTGTCCGGAGCGATTCACTCAGATGGTGCGTCAGCTCCACGATGGTATGATGGCGCGAGTCACGGACAACGGAGCTGTCTCAGAGGCATTCGCAGTGACCAACGGAGTGAAGCAGGGCTGCGTGCTGGCGCCTACCCTCTTCAGTCTTATGTTCTCTGCCATGCTGATGGACGCCTACCGCGACGAACGCCCCGGGATCCCCATCGTCTACAGGACAGACGGTCACCTGCTGAATCAACGACGGATGCACTTTCAATCGCGCGCATCCACAACCACCTGAACACCACCTCAGAAGAGGAGAGGCAACGGAGCATGGACCTGTTCTCCGCCGCCTGCGAGAACTTCGGTCTGGTCATTAACACGCAGAAGACGATGGTGATGCACCATCCGCCACCCCGCTTAGTCACAGCCCCCAACGCGCCGCCACAAATCAGCGTGAAAGGAACCCAACTGCAAGTGATGGAGAACTTCCCGTACCTGGGCAGTACTCTCTCCCGCAACACCCAGATCGACGACGAAGTCGCCAACGGGATCTCGAAAACCAGTCAAGCCTTCGGTCGCTTCCAAAACACAGTTTGGAATCGCCACGGTCTTCAGCTGAGCACGAAGCTGAAGATGTACAAGGCCGTCATCCTGCCGACACTACTGTATGGAGCAGAGACTTGGACGGTGTACGCAAAGCAGGCACGTCGTCTGAACCACTTCCACCTCAATGGTCTTCGTCGCATCCTGAGGCTGAACTGGCAGGATCGAATCCCCGACACTGATGTGCTGGAACGGACGGGAATCCTCAGCATCTACGCCATACTAAGGCAAATGCAGCTGCGCTGGAGCGACCACCTGGTGCGCATGGACGACGAGCGACTACCCAAACGACTCTTCTACGGAGACGTCGCGACGGGTTCTCGCCGTCAAGGAGGCCAGATTTGCCGTTACAAGGATACCCTGAAGTCCTCGCTGAAACGCCTGCAAATCAACCCCGTCGACTGGGAGGAGCTCGCACTCGATCGACCGACCTGGAGGAGGACAGTGAAGACAGGCGCTGCGATCTACGAAGCCAACCGCATGGCTGCCGCCAAAGCGAAACGCGAAGCCCGCAAATAACAACTTCGCCCAGTACGCAACGCCGCCGCACCACCGCTTCCAACGTGTCCTCTATGTCAACGGACATTCCGGGCTCGAATCGGACTTGCTGGACATCTTCGGATTAACTGCGCCTCTCGAACTGCACTAACCATCGTCCCCCCGTCCGCCTCTTCCTCCTCCTCTCCGCCACCAACTAACTCCGACAATTCTTCTGACCCACCATCGTCCCCCCGTCCTCCTCCCCCTCCTCCTACTCCTACTCCTCCTCCTCCTCCTCCTCCTCCTCCTCCAGTGCTCTAACGGCGGCCGCTCAGGCGACTGTCACGCGCGCAACAACCGACACGACCACCACCACCTCCCCCGACTCCAGCGATGAGGATCAGGACTACACCTGCCCTCACTGTGACAGCACATTCACTCACGCATCGGCCTGGTCGGTCACTTACGAATACATCGCACAGAGACTGGCAAACCAGTTCCTGGAGCAGCAACCTATACCCACCACGCTCGAATCAACTGCCCACACTGCCCTCGCACCTTCAGGCATCGCATGGGCCTATTCGGCCACATGCGCATCCACGAGAGCGGCACTGACCGCACTCCCAACACACCCACCACATCCACCGTGCACACCCCCACACCCGCTCCATCCGTCCGCGCCGCCACCACCACCACCACTACCACCACCACCGGCTCCTCTGTAACTGACACTGACACCGCCGACTTCTCATGCCCACACTGTCCACGCACATTCACCTCACGCATCGGCCTGGTCGGCCACTTACGAATCCATCGCACAGAGACTGGCGAACCAGTGCCTGGAGCACCAACCTTTACCCACCACGCTCGACTCAACTGCCCACACCCCCTCGCACCTTCAGGCATCGCATGGGCCTATTCGGCCACATGCGCATCCACGACGACCTGCGGTAGACAACCGCCGGCCACACCACACATTCACTCACTCCCTACCTCCTCCACCACCACCCCATTAGACATCAACACTCACACACCTCATGCACCCAACTGCCACCTCCCACGCCAGTGGGAAGTGTGCAACTCGACTCGGTCCGCATGCGGCCTCGGCTGCACGGGTGACTTGAGCCCGAGACTATCCCGACACGTCAAGCGTCGTGGATTGGAAGGTTGCTAGTTGACGCCTGCTCTCGGTTCACGCAGTTCGTCGCGTTGTGTGTGTGTTGCGTGGAGTGGCGGACTGGTGGGCTCGGGACGGGCTGAAACAGCACCTTCCACGGCCCTCTCACGTAAGTGAGAGACAAGCTGCTCAACCCCAGTTGTCTGAAATCTTGGTGTTGTGTGTATTGGGAGCCAGGTCGTGCTGTAGCGCGCACAGTCATGGTCAGTCGATCATACCAGCCACCACGCCCATTTCCCACTCCAGTCTGCTGACCGACTCGGACGGCGGCTGGGGTGTGGGAGTGGGAAGGGAGAGTGAGGTCGACGACTCAGCGCACTTTCTCCTCACTATAAACAATCTGACGCGCTTGAAGCTATCACGGTGCGCTAAAAGCCGTGGCTTGGAAAGTTGCCAACTGAAGGGGTATCTTGGACCTTCTCCTTGACGGAAGGCGGTCTGAGAGTCAGGCTGCAATGGCTCCTTTTTAATGTGGCCTTTATGGCACTCCCACCACAGTATGGGATCCGAGCCAGGCATTGGCGGCACGCCTAGGTGCGGCTTCGGTCGTGCCAGCCTCCAATCTCTGTTGTGCTGGTTGAAATCCTGGTTATTTGCTGTGTGGACCAGGGGGTTAGGTGGAACTCCAAGGTGAGGATCCGTCCGAGCCATCCACCTGCGGCCTCCCTCGTCTCCGGTCTTCTTGACTCTGTCTTGACACCGGGCTCAGGCGGGGAAGGAGGAGAGAGTTTAGGTAGATGCAGCGCAAGTCTACTGGCACTATAAACTCCTGCGCAAGTCACCGTCCCTGCTCCCATAATGATGTGGGGCATACGGTAGACATCATCGAAATCAATGGTCGAACTGTCACTGCTGTTCGAAGATGCTAAAATAAACACAACAGGTTTCGGCTTGCGTTTATGTTTGCTTTGAGTCCATCTCTTGTCTGGTGTTATTGTTTCGTTGATAGGCTTATTTGCCTCAGTTCTTTCTAGTCACTTGTCACGGAGAGTTTTTATTTCTCGGTCGTATCTTGCAGGACGTGAATTTACCCGAGCAACAAGCTCCGCTTTCTGATTTCAGACTGGAACTTTTTGAACTTTACCCAGAGCATTCACGCTGCAACAAATGCTAATGGAAAGGACTTTATTTTAGTGAGTATGCATAATCCTTCACTTAGCCGTCTTTTCCATATTTTTCACCTATCATTGTTTCGTTAGAGACGCAGTGTTCCCCATATAGAGCAACAGATTAAGAAGGATTTGCATGACTAGTAGCTGGAGACTCTTTACATCAATCTTACACGAATCTCCTTTTGAACCCGATTCAAATATTCTAAGTATTCTTAAGGGAACCGACAATGAGCTTATAGACGTATGTTTAAGCTGCTTTCCTACTTTTTAAAGTCTGTTTAAGAACATTTGGGACAGTATAGGAAGCGGCACTTAACTCAAGCATTTTCAGTGTAATAACAGCAAGAAGGCCTTTTTTACGAATTGCAAAAAATCGTGGAAAAATGTTGGCTGATTAACTGAAAAATATTATGTCAGTGGAGGTTGCTTATAAAGTTATTTGCTAGTCCTCTGTTAACATTAACATGGCTGCAAACTTTGCGCTTTACTGCTGGCTTTATAGAGGTGGAAATTGGAAGACAACAATGAATAAGTGCATGATAACTGGTGAAAAGGTCAGGATGGAAATCCATCGATAAAGTGTGGCTGCCATTAGCAAAAATTAAATTTTATATACTAGTGTTCCTGGCAGATGAGTTGATTAACTGAGACCAGTTTGAAAAGTGAGTCTTATACAGAAAATTCTGGAGTATTCGAGAAGAAGTATGTGTATGCCAGTCAATTTCTGGCAAATGAAAATCACCTGACATCATAAGTAGTCTCCGCGAACTTTCAAAGAGCTCACGGAGGTGGCTTTCATTGTCGGAGTAACAAGGAGGGTTTTATACATATCCAAGTAGAACTTTCCTATTTTGCGGAAAGATTACCGAAACCGAACGGGGATTTCTTCACACTGTGCCTGACGAACCAATGTCTGGAGCTCCGACATACACCCACCGCACTCGCCTCAACTGCCGAAATTGCCCAAGTACATTCAGTTTCCTTATGTGCCTACGTGGTCTCATGCGCATACATGGCGGCGGGAGTTTTAACAATGTGGGCATGCGAACCTCACTTTGCACATCCGACAACTCCCTCTCCGCATCTCTGCTTAACCACTTCCACCAAGACTGCCAACACTAACGGCTTCATCACCGAAACCAACAAAACAACTACCAGCCTATCCTGCCTATACTGTCGCCGCACATGCCCATCATGCAGGTCGGTCGCTTCCGAAAGAATTGCGCAGAGACTGGTAAACCAGTGCCAGGAGCACCAGAATATATTCGACGACATCGCATCAATTGCCCGTAGTTTCCACGCACATTCAGTCGTCACATGGGCCTAATCGACCACATACGCTCCTATGATAGTCCGTGGTAAACCTTCGCAGAACAAACCACATCATCACACGTCTCCCCATCAGCACATACACACATAGGCCGACCCAAATCACCTTCTACAGGTAATGAATCAGCATCTCTCACGTAAGGAGGAAGAGTGTCTCCTGGTTCCTCCAGATAGTCTTTATGATACTCAAATGCATGCGAGATCCAAACAGCCCTCTCCGTCTGTATGACAATCTGACATGTTGTGAGAAGGCCAGGTCGAGCGTGGCACGCAGAGTGTGGCTTAGCTTTGTCAATATTGCATTCGACCTTAGCACCATATGGTTGATCATCTCGGGCGGTTAGCCGGCGTCTAAGAGAGATAACGGATAATGAGACCAAGTCTGGGAACTGCGTCTCCACAATACTGAACTCATATCCTTCACTATAAACAATCTGACGTTTTTTAAACTGCCACAATGAGCTAAAAGTCCTGGCTTGGAAAGCTGTTAACTGATGACTACAAGAATGCAATGGCACATTCTTGATATGGCCTCCAGGAACTTTCACTGTGTCGAGGTTCGAGACGCCCATTTCTTGTTCGTATGAAGGCTTGGTCCATTGTACGAGAACCGAGCGCGCGCACCGGTCTAGCTTTGTCAGCCGCTGCGTCCAATCCCGCTTCTAGCTCTCTCGATACTGACTTTACCTAGGCTTACGCCGGTGGGGGAGGAGATAACGTAATAGATGAAACGCGAGTTTAATATCGTTACAAGCTAGTTACCACGCAAGTTGCCTACCACGCGCCCAAAAGTTATGGGACACACGGGGAACGTCGTCGATTACGACTGCCGAAAGAAGTGCACGAAGTACTAAAAGGATTCAGAAGCTGATCCCTGCCTTAGGCCTGCAAATGGAAAGGTAAAGTCTGGTGACCAGGTTAAAGCGCCCCTCCCTTCTTAAGTCTTTCAGTCGGTCTTCACCGTCCCGTCCATCCATCTGCTAACCAACCGTCTCCTCTTACTCTTCTCATCCCTCTTACAACCTCCTTAAGCGAGGACCTCCTCTTTTCATCGATCATATTTAGTAACGAACTACTCCGGCTTAAACCTGCTAAGTCGCCTGCCCAGATAAAGATAGATAGACAGATAATTTTTATTGAAGACCCGTCGGGGTCCCATCAAAGCAAGTTAAAATAAATTTACATGCGAGTTTTAGACGAGGTAGGCAGAATCTTTACAAAATACAATTCATAGTTTCTGAATTAGTAGTCCATTGAGAAACATGATTAGTGGGGGGGAGAAAAAAACTCCATACAAAAAGTTAAAAATGATTGGATTAATTTTACAGGAGAAAAAAAACCCTCAGTAAAAATAATGACAGAAAAAAGCGAGCAGGACTGACCTGTAGGTGGAGGTATAAAACGGATTGTTGTCGGTCATCGTCAGGGTGGCAATAAATGTCAGCCCTGAGGTGTACGTATGCGGGTCGGACAGAACTGGCCTGCATGTGGTATTGTATACGGGATTCACAATTGAGATCGTCTGGGCCGGATTGATACGCCGCATGGCCAGACGAGAGGAACCCAGTTGCGATCGACCACAGCACGCTTCGAGCTCAGCCGAGCAGTGGGGAAGGGATGTACGACCAAACTACTAGTAGACGGCGAATACTGAGGGTTCCGCCCTGAGCGTCGACAGACCGCATGAGGTCGGAATACGGGAGCTGACATCAAAAACCGAGAAAATTGTCGCTAGGGGGGAGGAGTGATAGCAGTGGATTTAGAAACCAATTCAAAACAGGGGTTTCTAATGATATAATTAAGACTTACCACTTGATCTACCACTAAATCCCAGGAGGACCCTTCTCGAAGTCAAGAATCTGGGTGTTCGGGAATGAGACCGTTAACAGTGCCTTTATGCTTTCCAATGTAAGATGTTTGCGTAATTTCGACTTGAATACAAGTAACTTAGGCGATAATCTAATGTCAGGCGGAAGATTATTCCAAAGGAAGGCATATTTGGAAGCAAAGAAAGAGGGCGCGCTTAGATGTAGTACAAAGAGGCGGCGGAGTCATCATGCAGGAGTTACGCGTGGCACAAGACCGATCTCTCGGAGCGAGAGTGTCAATGAGCGGAAGACTGGAGCTAGAGTTGATGCGAAAAAGGAAGCAAAGGCCAGCTTCGAGTCTTCTAACCCACAAAAACTTCATGTTCGCCAGCTGACATCTCTGAGTATAAGAAATACTGGACGAAGCTTCAGAGAACAGTTTCCGGGTGAAAACCCTCTGAACATTTTCGATTTTATTACGGTCACAGGCGTTCATTAAACCGAAAAAAGGACAGCAGAATTCGAGGACTGGAAGAACACACATTTGATAAAGTCTTAGTTTCATTTCCGGAAGGAGAAAATTGTGCGATATGAATCCACATATCTGCGCGGCTTTGGTAGAGATTCTATCTGCATGAGGTAATAAAGCAAGCTTATTTGTATAACTTAGACCTAGGTTCTTTATGGTGAGCCATTCTGAGAGTGGATTATTCTGAAAAATTTTGGGACCAGAAAGTTTGGTAGGACCAAAAGACATGAAACTACATTTGGATGATGAAAACTCCATCTGCCATGTCGAACCCCATCTGCTTAAGCGTAGTAGATCGGCAGTAATTTTTTCAACACAAACGTTTGCGGAGTCCTTAGAGTATGAGTAAACACACTTGAGGTCATTGGCATAAGTAAAAGTTTGCGAATTTCCGAGTTCAGTCGAAATATCATTGATGTACAGAAGGAAGAGTCGCGGACCCAGAACCGTGCCTTGAAGTACGCCACTCGTGATCGAGTGAGGTGTCGAGTAGCCATTACCGACCATGACTTTCTGATATCGGTTGGACAGATAGGACCTGATGAAGTCGAGTAGAGGCGGCCGATGCCGAGAGCTTCCAATTTTACTAAAAGACGTCTATGGGGCACCTTGTCAAAGGCTTTGCTAAGATCAAAGTAAATAACTACCACCGACTGCCGCTCATTACGAAGAGAAGTGATTACATTAAGAAATGCCAAGTGGCAAATTCGCAGGATCGTTCAGGTAAAAATCCATGCTGACTAGAGCTCAGAAGCCGATTAGCTAGACAGAAGTCAAGAATTTCATTGAAAATAATCGTTTCAAGAAGCTTTGATAGAGACGGCGTTTTGTGCACGCCCCGATAGTTATTAACATTGATCAAAGATAAGATGATGTGTCACTTAACAGCGAATAACTTACTAAGTGTTGCTCAGCATGGATTCCTCAAAGCTCGATCTTGTGACACCTGTCAACTCTCTTTCTTTGACTATGTTCTCCAATCTAGGGACCATGGTTTTGCACTTTACACAGTATATTTCGATTTCACTAAGGCTTTTGACCGTGTTGACCATGCTCTTCTTCTCTTGAAATTGTCCTCTTTCGGAATAGGTGGCAAACTTTTGAATTTTATATCCTCTTATTTGGGCACTCGCACTCAACGAGTTAAGATTTCCAATACCATCTCCAACCCCACACGTGTGAGGAGTGGAGTCATTCAGGGTAGTGTACTCGGCCCGCTTTTATTTTGCCTTTTCGTTAACGATATACCCGATTTATTTCAGAATGGTAGGCCTTTCATGTATGCCGATGATCTTAAAGTTGCATATCGATATAAGCCGGCAGATCATGACATCGTGCTTGAGCTCCTAAAGAGCGATCTACAGGCTTTCGCTTAGTGGTGCCGCACATGGCGCCTTTCTCTTTCTTGGCATAAGTGCTCAGTCATGGCGGTTGGCGACGACCGCCAACCTCAACGAAGTATTGAAGGTCACTCCATAAATGTGCCCAGGGTTATAAAGGATCTGGGCGTATCATACTCCAAGAGTCTCAACCTCTCGGAGCACTGTGCCTTGATAGTCTCCAAAGCACGTAGAACGACCGGGTTTATCCTGCGAAATTATAAAACAAGTGACATTAGAATGCGCCTTTTCAACATGCACGTTAGCCGTGGTCTGGAATACTGTTCGTTTTCATTTAGCCTCATGCGTGCTACTGAGCGGAAGAAAATAGAATCCGTTCAACACTATTTTACCAAGAGAATTTGAACCCCGTAAAACCGACATTTGTCTTACCAAGAACGTTGCCGGCTTACAGGCCTCGATCCTTTATGGTTCTGTAGATTACAAAGGGACTATTTTTGCTATTTAAACTCTTATATAATCACACATTTAACCCACTCACCTCTTTAAGACATCATATCCACCCACGACGTAACAGTCACCGTGAGGTCTTTTTATTTCTGCCTCTGGCACGTACTGTTAAATATCGTCGGTTCTATTCTGTAAATGCAATTGCTATTTGGAATAAACTACCCATGAGTGTGAAAACTCTGCAAAATTATCCTTTATTTAAGAGAACTATTACTCGATTTTTGCATTCAGAAAAGCTCATACAAATTTTGAGTGCTGAAAACTCTGATCGACTGTACCGTAGCGATGACGTTTGTGGTCTCTGAACACTATGGCCGGTCTCACCAGCTGCTCCTCAACGCCTCTACTTTTGCTATCCCCAACTTCATGAAAGGAATTTTACGTCCGATAATCTCCGATACCGTGCAACCTCCCCCCTTCTTGACGGTCGAAAATCTACCACCGCCGGCAGTTTTTTCTCCTGAGCCCTCCAAACCATAAAAACCACCATCAACTATATTTTTATCCCTTTAGCTCAGGAGTTTTTTTCACTGCTGGTCGGATTTATGTTTAATCGCTTCCCTTGACAATGCCTGTAAACTGGCATTAAATAAAAAAATTATTTATTTTACTTTAACATCGGACTGAGATCCTGACTTGAAGACGGGAATGATAATTGACGTTTTCCATGTTTCAGGAAAGACTCCTTTTGAAATATAAACAGAGAATAAATGACTAAGCAATATGGGAAGGTCGGACGCTTGTTTAATAATCGAATTCGGAATCCCGTCCGTTTCTGAGCAGTGTGAGTATTTCAAACGGCTTATATGTTTCTTAATGAGATCTGAGGAGACATCAATTGTACTAAGTGTCCTATCTGAAAGTGATCGAAAGAAAGAGACCGGATCGGACTCATTATTAAGGTGTTTGGCAAAGAAAGCACTAAGCAACTCCTCCTTGTCAGTGTCATCGGTGAGGAAGACTTTGTTATCATTTAGCAGGGTTGGAAGTTCGTGACCACTCTTAGGGGAGGACCGATGACGGAAGATGATAGCGACGGATTTTCCAAGGTTCGCGTCACTGAGGACAAGTGATTCTCTTTGCCTGTCGCGCACTTGGCGCATTCTTGAGGCCATCTCAAAAATCTCTGTGATTCTAAGATGAACTGATAAGGAAGTAGTGGATGGGTCACGCAGCTGTCGCCTCAACTTTTTAGTCTGTTCTGAAGAAAATGAGGAACAAGGGAATCTGAAGAATTAGGCTTGAGATATCCACGCGGCACAAACACTAGAATCTCCTTGGAAACATTGGACATGACATCACGAAGAATGATTGCATCGCGACAAGAGAGGAAGCCGCACCAATCCAAAGATCTAATATAGTAATTTATTAAGTCGTTAGCTACGCAGTCGTAGTTCATGTAAGTCCGAAGGACCCTGGTCTTTTTTGAAAAGGCAAGCGGTAAGCAACAATGAATTAATACGTGGTCACTGTCAAAGAGGTCCTTTAAAAAAAACATTTTCTATGACACTGAGAAAGGACCACCGGGAATTTAGTATGCCGCCATTAAATTTCCGTATCTGTTCACATTTCGTTCCTTTGTGAGTAGTCTCGCTTCCTAAGATCCCTCAACAGAAATGTTAATTTTTCCAATTTTTCAGTTCATGCATCGTGCCCTCACAGAATGCGCTCAGTCGACGCTCTTGGCAAAACCTTCTGTTTGAAGAAGAAGAAAGTTGGCTCACCGGAATAGGTTTATTAGGATGCTGAGGTTTCGAAGAGCTTCGTCGGCTCTCCATTGTCAAAGCGTAAAGTGCACTTAATCCACCAGGAGTCATAAGTGGTGTGTCACGTTAGTCGGCCTCGTGCTGATCGATTTTTTTTTCTCTCCTCTTGCTGCCGCGGCCTATCGGGGGATGGTTGAGCACACCAGAAGATAAAAGAGCCGAAAGAATGTAAATTCAGAACCTATTTGCAGCCCATGGATACCCCAGACATTTTATCGAGAGAGGCAGACGTCGGGCGCACAGACAACGGTCAAATGAGCAGGAACCTGAAGTCTGGAGGGCCATTCCCTACGTTAAAGGGGTCTCTGAGGCGGTCTGTCGATTGCTACAACCTGCCAGAGTAGGCATAGCCCACCGACCACAGGCAACAATTAGACGCCGTCCGATACAACCCAAGGACCCACTGCCACCCGCTGAAACCTCTGCAGTTATCTACAAAATAAATTGCAAAGAGGGCGACTGTAACTATGTGGGAGAAACCGGGGGGAAATTGCAGACTCGCCTACAAGAGCACAAATCGGCTACACGGAGGTTAGACCCAAACTCTCAATTAGCAACACACGTTGGAGAAACTGGGCATTCTTTGGATCTCCAGCGAGCTACCATCTTAGGCCGGGACAGCACAAAAAGCAGAACGGCTAACTCTCGAGGCGTGGTTCTCCGATGCCCACTCCATCAACAGGCATCTGGACCTTCCTGCAGCCTACAAAGTCCTACGTCATCACAATCGTAGAGCTCAGGACCAAACAACCACACCGAGCTTAAGAAGGCTACACGGAGACGGCCCGACGGCGAGTTTACTCGGTGAAGAGGAAAAAGAACCGCCAGACTGACCACCCGATAATGGTTCAGTCACCTCTCGCCCGGCTGAATGGTGACTCAGAACGTACGCAGACAAAACACCCGTTAACCGTCCCCCGATAGGCCGCGGCAGCAAGAGGAGAGAAAAAAAAAATCGATCAGCACGAGGCCGACTAACGTGACACACCACTTAGGACTCCTGGTGGATTAAGTACACTTTACGCTTTGACAATGGAGAGCCGACCAAGCTCTTCGAAACGTCAGCATCCTAATAAACCTATTCCGGTGAGCCAACCTTCTTTTTCTTTTTCTTTTTCTTCTTCTTCTTCAAATAATCGACCCGGATCTCTCGACTTTGCCAATCTGAACTAAACCTTCTGTATTCCCCATATACTAGTAGTCTGGTCGCATCTCCCTTGCCCCATCCTCGGATGGACTCGGATGAATGTAACCGACCGCATCTGGGTTCCTATCGCCTCGAGACTGGTTTCCAATTTCGCCACTTATTTGCCTTATTCAAGGCCACATACAAGCCAGTCCTGACCGACGCGCCTACTTGCCCCTTTATGAAATCCGTTATACAATGCCATATACAGCTGACATTTATTTCGGCCCTGTTGATGTCCGACTATAATCCACTCTATACCTCACATGCAGGCCAGTCCTGCCCGCATTTTTCTGATTCTATTTTTTCGAAGGGGTGTAACAGCCCATACTTCAAAAAGATCGATCAAAAACTGAATGGGATTTTTTTCTGGAAAAGTATCATCAACTTCGAGGTCTAGTGCGTGAACAACTACGGCATGGCCAGCACCCCCTATTGATCTTGGCGATGACAGAAAATAATCCGACAGTCTCTAAGGCAAATTAGACCGAGTATGTCTGGCCCTTGAGGGCCAAAAACTACAACCTTAATCCACATGGCAACACCCATGGCTTCAAGTATGATCTCAACATTCCGAGCTCCGAAGGTGCAAATTAAGAGACTTAAGGGAAAAAGAAGGAAAATGCGAGTAAATGAGACTTTAATATTAAAGCGATTACGATATGCATTACCGGTATGGTACGAGTATCAAATTGCTCACTAACGCTTAGTTGACAAAAGGCACAACGAAAATGTAAGGAGTACCTATTTTTCGCAACAATCCAAAATCCAGCACTTGCACTTTGTCGTGGAAGGACATGAAAGATCCAACTTCCGCAAAAATAGGTCAACAGTTCCTTCGCCACAGCTATAAAGTACGTCGTTTCGAATGAAAGAGTAAGTCAGAAGAGGAAGAAATTTCGGAGGCAGCTGCAAAAGATACGCCCATATCACAATTAAAAGAATAATGTCCGTTCGGCGGGGGAACATTTACGTCTGTGACGGAGGTCCCTTATTTATCAAGGTTGTGGCATTTAGAACTAAGTGTTTAAGTAAGGGCAAAGAGTTTGTTTATTTCTAAGGAGAGGTTACTTAGTCATCCAGTGATTTTATGTTTCTGAAAATACTGAGATCAAATGCTGCCGCAGTCCGATATGAATAAAAGAATGGGGGTTTAGAGGAAAAACCGATGTAAGGGGGAAACGGATACTACTGTAAACTAGATAAGTCTAAATAGGAAACCCACAGATGGTTTGCTGCAACGCATTACAATTGAAGTAACAGTGAGGACCGGGGCAAGTTTAATCATCTGGGAGGGAAGTTCGTACTGTGATTATGTTGGGAATGTGACTTTGAAGAGAATGTGTTAAAGGGGGGAGATTCACTGATTCACCTAGAGCGGTAACATCATCTTTAGGCGGAAATGTCGGCGAACTCGGCTTATGTTCCTCGCTTTAAGGCATGAGAAGAAGCAAAAACGTGCTTTGCTTTGGAATAAGTTGTTTAGCAGATAGCGAAGTTTTATGAACCACTCTTGTCTGCTTATTGCTTCTGTGTACCTGACGAACAACTTAGGGAGCTCCACGGTGAGTACGTTCCGAGGTCAAGGTTGATTTGGAAAAATTGTGCGACCGCCATAGGAATGACAAGAATCGTTAGGTGGTCAGCCGTTAAGTCCGTCATTTACTTAATTGATATATGATTGCTTTCAGATTTTACTAGGTTGCAATTCAAGCGGAAAAAACGAAGTCCGTCTGCTGTCTGCGACAGTTGAGCCTGCCGCCCGAGCGGTCTACCCTCTTAAGAGGACTTTTTTAAATGGAAAGTATAATTTCCGCTAATGAATGAGAGATGTCTTTTCGTATTCGTTCTTTTTTACCTCGCCTCCTTATTAACTGTCGGAATTTATCCAAAGGCGGATTTTTAAAACGACACTGTGGTGTCGTCTTGAAAGTCTCAACGTTTGCTTTTACATCGGCCTCTGTCTTTTATTTGTACGGAGCGCATTTACCACAAAAGCCTGGTGACCCTAACTACATTGTTCGATCACAAACGGATGCATCACCTGCAGAGGTATTTAGCACAGTTGATAATTATTAAATTGGCGACAGAATCCAATTGTTTCCCTGTTTGAGAAGTTTGCTTCAGTGGAATTTGACGGTGAAGCCTTTATGACTCCTCGGGATTTCATCGATTGTGTCACTGGGGCTCGCCCTCCTGGTACTTGTGAGACTTCGTTTATGTGCAGTCGCAATGCGCCGGCATGTTATAGATGAAACGATGGCCAACAAAATTTTAGCAAATACACCAGCAATAAGCTCCTGCCGAGTATCCCTTTTTAAGCGCCTCGACAGGAATGGCCTTATATCTTGCTCGGAGTTTCTGTTCTTACTCTCCGTCCTGACAGGTAGCCCCCTACATTCATTCTACACTGTAGGCTCGCTTCACAAACTTCAGGTTCTTTTCCTGATGTTTGATCGAGACGGTAGTGGAAGAATCGAAAAGACGGAATTTTTGCAGGTATCCCTTTGTTTTCGCCAGTCATTCCATGTAGATGACGAACCTATGCCAACTAAAGTTTCACAAAGAAGCTAGTATATGCGAGGTACCTCAGAAACGTTTTATCTACTTCAGAATGATGTTAAAAAGACAACCACCTTACTTCGCTACTTCTTCAACAAGGACGGTAGTGGAAGATTGGCCTACAAAGATTTCACCAAGTAATATTTGTTTTTCCTTTATTCCGGATTTTAACTTCATTTGGCCGCTACTTTTAGGCAAACCTTGTTGATTTATGGCTGTTGTATTCGCAACTAATGCCGATAGCTCAACTCCATTGCATTTTGCAAGCGGCATACGCGTCCACACTAGATCGAGGTAGGCGACTACTTAGCAGACTAGTACAACTGGTTGACATGGAGCGCAGAACAACCACGACTGTATAGTTGTCAAGTTAAGTGTTCACTCACATCAGCATCTGTTGAGGTGTGCATTATTTCTCAGGTCCTAACTAATTTAAGTGTTCTGGATAGTGTTAAAGCACACCTGGGCCTGGCTTTGGTGTGAGGCTACTTCAGTAAGCGCCACGGCCGTGCGTACAGAATTGATTCACCTCACCTAGCTCCGGAAATTAACTGCAAAAAGACTCAGTGGTATCACGATGATTGTTTGGGTTTCTAGAAATTTTTGTTCAAATTGCAAGTTAGACATAGTACGCACATTCTCCATCTATTTTTTCTCTCTGAAAACTACAGATTTATGGCAAATCTCCAAAAAGAAATTCTAAGTGCGGAGTTTAATCGATTGAGCATGGGAACTGACGCTATTTCTCGGCTGGAAATGGCCGAGGCTATTTTGCGATATGCCAAAACTTCTCCGGCTGTCAAGGAAATGGGCTATAAGAAGGTAGCTGAAAGCATTGCCTTCGAGTCGGATAGCATAACTTTTGAATCATATTGCGACTTTTTTACGTTGCTATATGATTACGAAGACTTCAGCGCCGCTCTGAAAATGTTCCTCCAAGCCAGACGCACAATATCTAAAGGTAAATTTCTACTAATTGTTCTCGTAAGTCTTTTTTCACAAGAAATTCCGAACTGTGTCCATTGTATGATTTCGATTTTCAAAATAAATCATCTTACTGATGGTAAGCATTTCAGAATTCCAATGTATAGACATTTCTAAATACTAGTGGACTGACTTCGAATTCAGTTTTCTTGTCAGTTTTTTTAGAATTTATAGGCTAAACATCTTGCCAGCATCTGAGTTCAAAAGATCGTTTTGTCTCGGTCTGCCGGCCAAACTGCGTCTCGTCAAGAACTGTCTGCTTAAACGGTGCGCCTTTTGCCATTCGTCAGCCTCTTACATGCAGTGCCGTATCAGTGCCATTCCTAACAGAAATAGTGAGCATCAATTGACCGTTATAATGCTGGAGGAAATCTACGCAGACGTCTCCGCATTCTTGCCCGATTTTTCGGCTGTCATCCTGTCTGATCTAACCGGTCTAGATGCTCCTGCTGGTTTTACCTTCAAGCATGGTCATCTGCGTTAATGGGCCTGCAGAGCCTGACTCCTTTTTGTGTGCGGTGACGGACGTCAACTGCTAAAGGCCCGAGAAGCACAATCATATCGCAACGGATTATTTTCAACTGGACTTTTGGTTGACTCCCTCTTCGATGGTCTTCCTCGATGCCTTCAATGCCTCGTCTTACTACCCTTCTTGATGACGGGCACAAGGATGCCCCAGTCCCAGTCATCAGGAACGACCTCATCTCGCCGTGTTTGCTCAATCACCGCATGTAGCCAGGACGCCAGAATGTCGACACAAGACTTGCTGACCTGTAAATACCGTCCTCTACAGGTGCCTTATTGTTGCGCAGCCTTTGTATTGCATCGACGACTTCTTCAGAAGTGGGATCTCATGACACTGCATAAGGTTAAAGAGGGAGAAAACTCCGCTGCAGAGGAGAGCGAGGGTGTGATCGGTTGCTCGCCAAAGTTGAGAAGGTGCTCGAAGTGCCCATACTGAGGAGCGATTTTGGTCGATTTTTCGGCAAAAGCCGCCGTTTGCACCGCGAACAGTTTCCCGGTGTCGAGGGCTTACCACTGACTTGGCAAATAACTTAGTACAGTTTTTGAGGGTCGCCAGCGTTAGAGGTCTTTGCCCTGGAGGTGTCTGTTTCAGCCCAATATTTCCTCCGGTTATTTCTAGCCGATTTTGCCGTTATTCTAGCGGAATTACCGAACGACTCACCACTACGGGACCTGGCTCGAGCAGTTTGAGCAGACAACTGCAAGGTGCCTCTCCCGATTCAGTCGCTGGGACGTCGCTGTGCATATTCAAAAATTTCCTCGGCTGCACTGTAGACTAATGATTACCACCAGTTACGGCCTTCTCCCTCGGCTCAGGTTGTAAAACAAGACCTGATTCCCTTGTTCAGGGCATCGGTGGTGCTGGGCTGTCTTAGTATGGCGACATCAAGTCGTCTTGCACGCGGCATTTGGGTGCAGGTGGAAGGTGGACTTTCAAGCGTGCGCGAACGAGAACATGGTCTGACCCATGGACGTTGCCAGTTTCAGTACCACTCACTGCTCTGCCATTGTGAACCCAGCTGCGGAACTTTAAACCGGCCGTATGACTGCTGTTTGAGTACCATGCCAGCAGATGTTTGGTGGCGGTGCTGGAAGCACGTCTTGGTGACAAATAGTCGGTTCTGATCATCAAGTTTCACCAATCGCTCACCATTGTCTCATCGCAAACCAAACCCAAAGTGGCCGATAGGGTAACTATTGGAAGAGTCGCCGGGTCCACTTCGGCCATTCCAATCCTCGGTCACAGATCGTGGCGGTCGAATTTTTCAAACAACGCTTGCAGCTGGGAGTAAAATGTCTTTATCGTGCTGTTCGTCAACCGGTGTTAATCCGTACACGGAGACTTCAGTGATGTTTGTAAAATGACCATTTATTCGCAAATAGTCCATTCGGTCATTGACCGGTTCCCAAGCCAGTAGTGCGCGGTTCGTTGATTGCGAGATTGCGATTGCCACACCGTGTCTGCCAGAAGAGTCGCGTGGGCCGTTGTGGTACGGAATGAAGTGTGAGTTGACTCCCGGAATTTTTATTTTCCGGGCGTTATTGTCGGGAATCCGAACTTCGAACAGACAATAAACATCCGTATTTTATTGAAGACTGTGCACCATCAGACTTTGGGTACCAGGGTCCAGAAACGTTGGGTATGCAGCTTTTCATTTTTAAAAACATAAAATCACAACCGCAGGCCGTGTTCGTTTTAACTAATTTGGCTGCTCTTCTCGACTGTCAAGTAGCATGTTTAATTCTCCCACATGTGTTGCCTTTTAGATGAATTTCAGCGTGCTGCCCGGGCTGTTACTGGGAAATTCCTCGACAAGGCCATCGTGGACACTGTATTTCTCCTCTTCGATGCCGACGGGGATGGTCACTTGAGTCCCGAGGAGTTCATATCCTTCATTCGTTCTTATATCGCCAGAGGCACTCGCGACGAGGCAAGTCAATCTCCGTATTCACCAAAACTCGATAGCTTAACCCTAGGTGTTACATCTGTAGCCCACGAAAGTTGGACACAGATGATTAATTTGAAAGTTACCCCACTGTGAGCAGCTGACTTATAGCAGTAGGTAATCCCGGAAATGTTCTCGTACGTGCAGCCAAACTTCGAAATGACCTTCGTCACCTTATGACTCACGTATCTGCTGTCAGTTTGTCCCCAGCCGATCAACGCCTTGGGCCTAGGTTGCATCCCGACGAGAGTATCTTCAATTCCCCTCCCTAACATGAGCTTAATGCTTTCTGTTGGCTTTTACAGCTGACCTCGGAATCAACAGCTCAGAGCTTCACCTCCTGTGTGGCCACTCGTGTCCGCGCGAACTAGGATCCACTGGGGTCTGTCTTCCTGCATGCCGCCGACCAATCCATAAATCATACTGCTGCTGCCCATTACGCTCTCAGGGGAAGCAAACCCGGACAATCTCTTATCACAGCCTCTTCACAAATCGCAATACTTTGAACACAACTTTGCCTTGCCTTGCTTCTTTTCCTTTTTAACGCTGTTTTATGGTCTACTTCCGCATTTCAGATAGGGCTGTTCTTTATTATTATGTTTCCTTTTCTTGTTGAGAAAAAATACACCACCATTTCAGTACCAGTCCTTTGTCTTCTGTTGCCATTGGCTCAAGGCTGGGCTTTTACTCTCCGCCCATGCCATCTGTCTGATATATATCCTTTGGCTCTGAGTGCCAGTTTGCTTGTCTTGCTCGTATAGTTCATTCGGCTGTCAAGTAGTGCATATTAGTTTATTAGACCAGGGATTGTGGAGTGGGGCGCCAAGGTGCGGGCTCGACCGTGTCATCCGCCTGCGCCCCCCCCCGTCTCCGGTCTTCTTGATTCTGTCTTGAAGTCGGTCTTCTTGCCACCGGGTCCAGGTGGAGGAGGAGGAGGGAGTGTGGTAGATGCAGCGCAAGTCTACTCTCACTATAAATCACGCGCAAGCCTGCCTCCCTGCTCGCACCCTGCTGGGGGACATCGTCGGATGCGACGGTCGAACCATCGTATTAGACTACAGCCCGTACTCGGGGTCTCTCTGTCTGTCACACACGACGGTTTAGCCATCTACTCCGATGATGGCCACCATGTACCCCACAGCAGGGTGGACACGGGGACGCTGGCTTGTGTATGATCTAGTTTACAACGACAGTGGACTTGCGCAGCATCTACCGCACCCCCTCCTCTCCCACCTGGGCTCGGTGTCAAGAAAGAGTCAAGAAAACCGGGAGCGAGAGAGGGCCCGAGTGGTTAGCGCGGCGTGAGTCTGCACCTAGGAATGCCATCATCTCCATGTGCGGCATTTTTATGGACGCGGATCCCCAATACCGCCTGACGGGACTTGATCTGGCTCCCGTGTTAGTGCAGCGCATCTACCGCGTGACCCGTTTTAGGGGAAACCTTTCGCGTTCGCTCACTCTCACGGCCACTGCCTAAGCGAATTGGAGCAAGTATGTTGGGCCCCCACATTTTTGGTGAAACCTCGACTGCTTAAAGCTCCTACCGCACCAACTACGACAGGCAACATCTGCGCTTCCTGAATTTTATGGGCTGCGGTCTGTTATAAGTGGAGTCCTTAAACGTATTCTTTGCGCTGATCCGAGTCAGTGGTTCTAGTCCAAATCTGCAACCCTTCTGAACCGACTTCTGTAGGGAGGTTCGTTTTAAACACCGATTTCTCCTTATTTTCTTTCCGCTATCATTAATTGTGTCGAGATGTAATGTCGTTTTTTGAATATATATGGCCAGGAAAGCATATGCCGGGAAACGTTTTATTTTTAATCCATTATGCAATCCCCATCGTTACCAACCACCGCTGCTCGCCTTGAAACTGGATTTTCAATGTCCTCTATATAAACGGAAGTTCGTCTTGACGCAACGCATTTTGATAGGCCATTTTTGACACCGTAAATAGTTCTAAAAGCGTTTGCGCCCAGAAACTGCTGCTGAACAAATGATAATCAGTTGGCGCACAGTCAGGTGAATGGGACAAGAGTTCCCATCCCGAATATCGGGTGTTGCTCTGGATCTGTCGAACCGCCTGGGGTCTCGCGTGGTCCTACAGCCGAATGACACCTTTCCCGTTGACCGGTGCCAGATGGCAGGAGTTTGGTCAAAACATTCCGTTGTTACGGCCTGACCCTGTTTCAGTAGCTCAGATTGAAGTATGCCTGCCATACCCCACTAAATACAGAGCAAGCTTCTGCTGGGGTAAAGACCTGATTTCGGCGTAAGAATTTGTGTCTGTCCTGCGGAAAGCCGTTGGTGTTTGTGCTTGTCGCTAACTTGAAGAGTCCATTCCTTCATCGACTGAGATAATTAGATGAAAAAATGACCCTCATCCCTGTTTGCGCCTGGCAAAGCGTTACAGATTGTGCAACACTGAGCTTGGTTTTCCACCGAAAGTTGGTGTGGACCCAAACTCCTTGTTGGAAGTGCTCCTGGACAGTAGACAATTGCGATTTTTGATTTAATGATAATCCCCCGATGGTTTGGCAGTAGCACGCAAAAGTCCACTATCTAGCTCCACTAGCCTTTCCGGGCAGTGGGCATCATCGAGATTGAAATCTCCGGATGGGGATTTTGCGAACCAGCGAACCATCTAAAGCCTTCAGATAGACACCACATATTGTTCTGGTGGCTATTGTTCGGTTGGTTCCCCTGCAGAATTCATGCAGCGTTCTGACGAGCATGACAGCCCTCGGATTTTACGCCGCCCACACTGTTAGGCGCAATAAAAAAACCGAATGCATATATAAGTATAAAAATAAGACCTTACTGATTCATAACGATGCATATTTCAATCGGTGGTAGACACACACGACAGTTCGACTGCCGTGACTAACGATGTCCAGCATGTGCTTCACAACGAGGTGAGAACAGGGACGTGACTTGCGCATGTGGGCTAGTTTATGATGACAGCAGACTTGCGCAGCGTCCAACACACTCTCTTCTCCTTCTCCACATGCACCCGGTGTCAAGACCGAGTCAATAGGACCCGAGGCTGGAGAGGGCGCTGACGGTTAGTACGGTATAAACCCGCGCCAAGGGGTACCAACAGATCCTACGTTCCAAAACGTACGCTGACCAGGATTTTATACCTCAACACAAATAGGCGAGCAGCATCATCCTGCACTTGCACACGCCGCCATCTCTTATGGGTACGCGTTCCCAATTATATATGTCAAGTCTCTGCTCTAGCTCCCACGTTGATCCACCACATCTGCCGTGTGGCCCGCTTTAGGGACAGAAGCACTTAGTGAATGACATTGGGATTAAAACCGCACAAAGACGTTTATTTCGGTGCCTCTAATAGTCTCTTGCTGTTGTCTTCGTCCCGAAAGATTCAGAGGCTGAACCGGAGTGCGTGGCCGGAGTGTGCATTTTCCGTCGGTTAGACTAGATCGATGGGCGTGTCTTGTTGACCCGAACTAAGTTGACAAACCTTTGACTTCACATCACCCTCGGATGCTGGCTCGGCTCACTAGTCGGGCTCTCTCCTGCCGCAATTGTGGCTACCACCACAATAGATCATACAGTAACAGGCACTTGACTACTTTTCACCTGTCTTTACTGGCACCGTTCGTCAGGAAGTTAAGCAGATGGCCCGTGCGCCACACCAAAAGTAATTAGCCTGCGGGCGTGTCGTAGTCGAAGGCTTTCCCGGCCGGTTCCGAGGTTCATTTACGTGCCGATGCCTGTGTAACCGTGCATGGTGAGCTCTAGATCTCTAGTTTGGAAAACATCAGCGCAATGCTTTGCAGCCGCTGGCTTTAAAGCACTTAGCGTTGCCATTCTACTTGGGGAAAGATATAATATATGTAATATATCTGTATATATTACATATATGCCACATATTACATATAAATTATAAGCATTATAATATCATTACATTATTATGGTAGAGGGGCGTTTAGCGATCGCGCTACGTAAGTCACTCGACCCGTTGTGCCTTGGGGCTCTCTCTCGAACCCCGCCAGCAGCCGCACAGCGGCGCATGATATATAGACAGAATGGCATTACCGACAATGACAATGGAGACTGGAATGGCCATTTCTGGCCTATTAGCCGTCGTCAGCCAGTCATACCCAACCCCGAGGTGTAGAACATCTGGGTCTCGATTCCGCGACCTGTCAGTTAGAAGTCCAACGCCTCTAATCAATTAGCCACGGGCTCGTTGTCTTGTCGGTTGCGATCGAGAATGTACAATGGCAGAGAGTGCGCTCACTGATTGCGCTAGGGAACTCACTCGTCCCGTCTGTAATGCTATTCCGCCTTTTACATTATTGCATTATTCACACAGTTCTGTATCAATCTACCGCAGACTTGAACTCTGTTTTCTTCCCTCTGATATTATATTATATATAATACAGTCTCTGTTGTATGTACTGTAATAAAGGTATAGTTAACAATATCTGGGAGGCAGTAAATCGGCTTAGGTTTTTACTTCCCACCCTCTGTTTACATCACCACCAGCACTACGCACAAACCTTGCCTTCACCATACTATATCACCACCACTGTAACTGGGAGTACGACAGTGAATTCCAACTGCCTCATTTCCTATCATCCACCCTTCACACATGTGGAAAGTTCATTTCTACCCTCGTGGTAGGTGAACCAACTCATCAGGACTTCGTTAGCGCCAACTACCTTTGCCACCCGAGCCAACTTCAGATAAATTCTGTTTTGTTCCCGCTCCTGATGAATCTCATCAAGATAGGCTGTTCCGAAAGCGAGGGTGAGCGGACGTGATCTTACGTGCTAAAATACCCTCAACTTGTTCCATCGAAGGAAAGCGCGACTTGGAGGTGGGCCTAATGCTGCCATCAGTCTACGTCGTCCAGTGTAATCCTCGATTTTTTCCAGCCTGCCTCTCAGTACTGTTAGCCCGCTCTCCTGTCGATATTGCTAACATTTTCGTTAGTTTGACTTGCGTCACCGCTCTCTCGCCCATGTCCAACGCTTCCCCTTCCTTTTTTTCCCTCTGTTCTTCCTCCCCCCACAGAATCCCGCCTTCAGGTTCGCCTACTGGCCGCGCTACGTGGCGCGACTGCTGCGCTTCCGTCCCGTGTATCGCGGTGACTTGTTGGGCTGGAAATTCCAGACCGACCGCGCCATACCCTTCGAACTGCCTGACGCAAAACCGGACGAGGTGAGTGGAGGATTGTCATCCCTTTTTGGCAACCATCGGTTACACTGTTCGGGTTCCAAGTGTAAGCGCAATGGGGCCATTGAAGGTAAAGTAAGCCGAAGGAGAATGCTGAAATTGTTAGTGAGAAAGTATCCGAAGTTACAGTAGGTCGGCTAACTCATGAAATGCCAATCGAAACTCCGAAATGCGTTTTGGTTTCGAAAAGATTAATTAAGTAGGTTATTTAAACTAGTCAGCCTGCAAATCAATTCTATAATATTTTAGTTACCTCAGGATGCCGGTTTTCTTATGAACTTCCTTCCGGCCGCATGCAGAAACTACACTATGTAAAAAATGACTACTTAAATAGCATGAATTTTTCACATTGATTCTCGATGACCTTAAAAGTCCAATTGTATTTCATGGAAAACATGCATAAAAATATTCATTCTTTTGCCCATTCGGTAGAAAATTACGTCTTCTACTTTTATACTGGAAGGCAGGGTATAATTCGGTTTTCAAACCTTCCAATTCCCGAATAATTTTGAACCCGCTCTACCGTTAAATTTGGATTCAGGGTTTCCAAACTACAAACCGTATATTTTTTGCGTACGGAAAACCACACATTTCTCTACGGTAATAAAGGGGGACCATATAGAGTTCATAAAATTCAGCAGTGGATTTGATCCATTGCGTTAGCTTTACGAGCCACATTAGTAATTGCAGAGACATGACGTTTTATGAACGGCCATTTCACGGTATTTAAAGGCACAACAATTAGAAACTTTTTAAAACTGAATTATGTCCCGCCTTCGAGCTTAAAATTAGAAGACGTGATTTCTATCGAATGAGCAAAAGAATTAATATTTTTATGCATGTTTTCCATGAAATATAATTGAACATTTAGGGGCATAGAAAATTAATGAGAATAATTCATGCTACTTAAGTAGTCATTTTTTACAGAGTGTAGTTTTTACATGCAGCCCAAAGGAAGTTCATTCGGAAGCCGACATCCTGAGGTAACTGAAATATTATAGACTTATGTTGTAGGCTGTCAAGTTTTACAACCCTACTTAATAAATCTTTTCGAAATGAAAACAGATTGCGGAATTTCGGTTGGCATTTCATGAGTTAGCCCACCTACTGCACATTTACAAATCTTTCCTGTCCCTCAAAACAGGTCACGTAATAGACAATGTCATGATAAAGTCAAGAAGATAGGATGCGGAGTCGGGTGTAGGTGGCTGGTGCGACTTTAGCCTGTAACATGCAACCCTTTCGTAGGTTGGTTCGTCGTGTTTATTGATTTTTTGCCAAAATCTGCACTGTTTAACAATTCGTCAAGTAAGTTACGCCGTCTTTTGATGACAACGGGGGCTAAAAGTCTTTGGAAAGTTGCCTTCATATGATTTTTAAGGAGCATGTCTTGGAGATGTTTCTAAGTGCCGAAGATTATAGTTTGGTATTCTGAATCAGTTATTTGAAATACGCCGTCTTCACATTACACGGGCGAATTTCCTGCCGCAAGTTTGAAAACTCCGAAGGACTCGCGGAGTCAAAACGGCCGTTCGGACACGGGATTACAGATCCCCTGAGTATTAAAGGTGACCGAGCCTGAAAATGTCTGTTTCAAAAGATTTACTCCAAGTTCGCACATTAATTTCTTCGGAAATTAAACAAGGCTGGATGAAACTGGAGTTAATATTACCAGAAAACACTCAGGGAAAGCTGGGGGACCCACTGACGAGCCGAACCCCTTACAGCTGCGTCGGGCGGCCACACAAGATCGGTGAAACACGTGTGTTTGGGCTTTTAACTAACACTTGTGTTGTTATTACGGTAAAATGATTGCACAATTATATACTACTGGCTGCCTGTTGGCAGCTTGTAAGTATTACACGTTGATTCCGCAGTAACTGACGGATTTCAGCCCAGATATTCATATCACCCTTCGGATCGCGCCTGAAAAGGTCTTATTCGAAGAATTTACTCCTAACACTAACCCTCATAAACCGCCCAACCCTAACTCTATCCCCCACCCCGCAATTTAGGGTAAGGCCATCCGTACTACGGAGGTTCATATTCCTGTGCCCAACCGAACAGTATTCAAGTCCAGCAGATAGCTAATCTCCAGGATTTTCGTATAATAGGCCTATTGCAAAGCACAATGGTCGCTGAGTTGCACGAAGCAACGATCTTAATTGATATTTATTGCCATCTGGATGTGCTTCGGCATGCGGGGAGTCAAGAAGTATTATAGAAACCACAAAATCTGCAAAAAGCGCTGACTGTTTGGTAATAATTGAAAAGTCAAGTTGGCGAAAACGCGTTTTCGGTAATTCTTCGTCAGGCCAATACAATTACATAAAGGAATGAAAATGTACAAAATCAACACTGTTTATAGATGCCTCAAGGGCTATTAATACCCCTTGAGTTACGAAACATTTTTATGCCACACAGAAATGCTGTGCTTGTTTTTTTCGTAGGTATAATCGAATTCTTACATGTAGAAGTGTTGGAGTTGCCTATCGAGGCTTCAGAAGTTCCCCCTCGAAAGCTGTTATGAATCAGACTGGAATGGTCTTTCGTGCCAAGCCATTATCGCAGCCGTCTAACGACCATCCAGCGCGGCCAGTCTTTCCTGCCAGGCGAAAACACAGCCATCAAGGAGACTGTGTCCCCTCAGACAGGCGCGTAGGTAAAGTTGCCAGCCTGAATATGCTGTCCAGCGGAGTAAAACGAAGCCGCCTCTGCAGCACTGTCGGTCATGGCATTTAGCCGCGCAGTCGCCGCTGACCCGATTCATCTGGCTCACCTTATCCGACCAGCTTCAATCTCGACTTCTGCCGACAAGCGCATCCAAACTCATAATTTAGTGGGATGATTGCAGATGTAAAAGAAGGAACGAAGTGCCCTTGCAGAATGAAGCTGTATCACCATGTTGCCATTAGCGCCATCTTTCTCTAACGGAGGTCAGTTGGGTTGGGGGGAGGGAGTGGAGTTGGCTGTCGTAATTGCCGTTCCAGGCGGTGAGGAGGGATGCCTGTAGGTGACACCACTCATTCCGCAGCCTACTAATGACATGCATTTTGTGCTTGGCGGTATTGCAATATTACTGTATTATGTTATGTTATTATATAATATACGTTACCATATTATTGCGTAGTGTATTATGCATATTGTTGTAGTATTATTCGAGTATTTTCTTAGAAATCGAAGTTGGCACAACGAGATGGAATAAGAATAGCTCATCTACCTGTTACAAGTCTTGCCCGCCGTCGATGTTGTCGTGGTGCCTTTGGGTCGAACCCGTCTGCGTGTTCGGTACTCACGAGGAATCTGGGCTTACCCGCCTGAGGGCGCTCTCAAGCTGGCTGCCCTTGTATTCGAAGAAGCATTGATAATGTCACCTGGCACGACCATGCTGGCGACTTAGGCATTAACTGCTGCTTACTTCGGTACATGTACCCAGCAAGTAGTTTGACCGTACTCGCCGATATTCTGCGTCTGCGGGCACTTCGGCTCACCAGTGGGTTTGGGTGGTTTCTGGTGTGCGCGCAAGTTTCTATTACAGTGTTACAGTATCGCCCGAAATGTATGTCCAAACATGAAGTGGGGTCCTCCTCCTCTCGGTTTTAGTCTAAACGCCGAAATGTATATGCGTTTCTGGGTTGTATTCTATCAATCTTGACAGGGGTACGGTGTAATGCACATGCCGGTAAATGTACAGTAGATGTACTATCTCATGAAATGGCATTACCGACGAAGACAAAAGGAGACTGGATGGCCATTTCTGGCTTATTAGCCGTAGTCGGCCAGTCATACTCAATCTCGAAGTGTGGAACACCCGCGGCTTGAACTCGCGACCTGTTAGTTAGGAGTCCACGCCTCTAACCACTGGGCCACGAGTCCGTTGCCCTGTCGGTTTCGATCGGGAATATACAATTGGAACGAGTGAGTTCCGTATGAACGATCGGTGAGCGCCCCCTACGACGACCGGGAAGAAACTTAAAAGTCCGCATCTTGGCGCGGCTGAAATATCTTGTGGCTATCCTGCAAGATAGCTACCATTGCAACCCTACTTAAGTAATCTTTCCAAATCGAAAACACATTTCGGAATTTCAGTTAACATTGCCTGAGGTAGCACATCTACTGTGGCAGCACTATAATTTGTGCATAGTAATTATTTATCTTGTGCTCTCGGAATACTCGCGAATACCACGATATTTGCAGTCGGGAGTATGACGCAATTACTCCGTCGAGACTGGTAGCAATTCACTAAGAGGCTGGAAGCAGACAGCTGTTTCACGGTCGTCATCGATCATCAGTATGCCCTTGGCCACATGAAGTGAGGTATATAAACATGTCAAGTAGGCGTATGACCTTCACTGTTGTGATTGGGATCTCACTCGATCCCGTCAGTCTGCTCGCCAGCTTCTACTGACGACAGCGGACATACCACTTCATATGGCCTGTGACATACCGATGATCGCTAACGACCGTGAAGCAGCTGTCTGCGTCTGGCCTGCTACACTCATAGTGAGCTGCTTATGTATTATATATGGTATGTGTTCTATGGCACAACGTTCGTTGTCGCCAGTAGCAATCTGGTGGGTGGACAGGATGAGATCGAGTGAGATCCTAATCACAACAGTGAGGGTCATACGCCTACTTGACATGGTAGCAGTTCGTACAAATTTTCAAATATCGCGGCCGAATCTGAAAAGTCGTGTGCTGTCCAAGTTCGCGCACGCAATTTTAACCTTTGCCATGGGGAAAGCCAACCAGATGTCGCCGAGTTACCCTACTGGAAGGTTTGTGTTTTACGAATGTCTGTCGGGGCATGTGGCACCTAAGGTTGTAGTTGTACCATGAGCGCGACAATGACCAGATGAAGCCCCGATTAGTATGATTGCAGTCGGTCAGATCGTAGTAAGGTCAGCGCGCCTGGAACCGCTAACGTGGGTGATGAGTGGCTCTGACTCAGTGTGCGTCGAAGGCGCCGGATATCGTGGTGATGGCTGTCGGCCACAAGTGTTTCCACATCTAACCTCCTGCGTTCCGTCTAAATACCAGATTAAGGCAAGGAAACTGTCCCCCTGCACCAAATGAGATTAGTTACATCCCATGACATTGGCGAGGCTAACTCAACCACAGTAGCCGCCAGTTTAAAACCCATCGCCTGTGCCGTGACTCATCCAATTTCTGCTCATTTTCCTTCGCTACCTCATGTAACCTTAAAAGCTGTGGAGAGTGGCTGTATAAAGCACTTTTCGCCCGAATGTGGCTCTTGCCCTCTTATGTATTCACTGTCTTCCCGTACTTTGACCTAAACTCTTCAGTACGCCGAGGAAAAATACCTGCCCGTATGGCGTTTTGTCGAGACGCCGCCCTGGAACATCGCGAACCGGCTCTCGGAGTTTCCCTACGACACGGAATGGTGCGTCGTCCATCCGGACGGCAAGAAGGTTGCGCAGAAACTGGAGCCAATGCCGCCGGAAACTCAAACCATCTTCAAGGGCGACCGCGTCCTTGTCTTGAAGGGTCCAAGCAAAGGCAAGGTAAAGTGCGTTTAAAAAAGAAGATTTTATTGAAACCCGAATGCCTCCCTGTACCGGAGTTTCTATCGCGGGGATATGTAAATTAACCCAGATGACACCTGGCTTGCTTTATTTTCTGACGTTTTCCGTCGTGTGTGAGTACGTAGGACAGGCATAACATTGCTTATAGGACTTTTTATTAGCTTGACATGTCTGTATTGTATTGGTTTCCCAAAAATCCAAGCTGCAATGAGTGACCGATCTCATAAAGTGTTGGCTGAAATCCCGAAATGCGTCTTCAATTAGAAAGGATTACTTAGGCGCGGTTGTAATGCTGATTATCTTGCGGCATAATCCTATAATATTTCGGACTCGGCAGGATGTCGGCTTTTGAATACACTGCATTTCAATCTTCTGTAGAAGCCTTACTCGGTAAAAAATGGCTACTTAAGTAGCATGCGTTTTTCACATTGATTTTCGATGGTCTTGTAAATTAAAATGTATTTTATAAAAACCATAAACGATAATATGTTTTCTTTCAGTCGTTTTATAGAGAATTACGTCTTCTTTATATTTTATACATAAAGAAGGAGTGTAATTAGGTTTCAGAGGAGTTTCTGTGAGATTTCTTAAGACCGCACAATGTCCATTCAAATAGCTTCGTACCTGGCCGTTCATCATGAACCTTGTGGACTGAGATCATTAAGGGCTAGTGCAACGAATGATCAGGCTCCAGATTATTCGGTGATTATAAAACTTTTTTAAAACCTAATTATACTCCTTTTTGAGTATAAAATGCAAAGATGACGTGATTCTCTATCAAACGACTGAAAGAAAACATATTTTTGTTTATGATTTTTATAAAACATATTTTAATTTTAATTTGCAAGACCATCAAAAATCACTGTAAAAAACGCAATGCTGCTTAATTAGCCATTTTTTTGCCGAGTAAGGTTTCTACAGAAGATTGAAATGCAGTGTATTCAAAAGCCGACATCCTGCCGAGTCCGAAATATTATAGGGTTATGCCGCAAGATAATCAGTCTTACAACCGCGCCTAAGTAATCCTCTCTAACTGAAAACGCATTTCGGAATTTCAACCAACATTTTATGAGATCGGCCACTCACTCTACTCAAACCTCCCCGTACTCTGAACTTTTTCGTGCGAGGCAGAGCAACCCGTTGTTACTGCTGGCAAACTTGACTTTATGACCTCCTTTTATCATCTGACGTTTCATACTCGCACTCGAGCACATCATCGGAGATAGGCAAAATGAGAAATACACGGCCCAAATAGGTCGTTCGCACGTGTTCTATTTTCATTTTCTTGAATGCTAACTTTTGCCCTACTGCCTGTGACATCTGTCATCTTTTTCATCTCGCAGGTGGGTTTGGTCAGCTCCGTGGTGAAAATGCGTCGCCTGGTCTACGTCGAGGGTCTGAATCCCCGTTACCGTCGCTCGGAATCAAATTCGGCGCTGATTGCAGAGGAGAAGTACCTCAAGATAAACGAGGAGGTAAGTGTCTAGCAGATCAGTGATTGCGTTTTGCCTTTATGCCTGATCACAATTATTTTGGGCATGCTGACGCTCTGCGCCTCTACTTGCTACGAGAAGTTGCATTCTCGTACCGACAGACAATTGGGCCCTCTCGCGTTTTATATCTGGTGATCTGTGCGGAGGCATTTGCCGTTTATGTTGCATGCCTGACGTCGTTTGGCACTTGAAGGCGCGAAATCACACACACCCGAATATACCGCTCCGCCTGCTACAGTTCATTTCAAACCTTGCCAGTGATTTCAGGTGGCTGTCATGGACCTGATTTACCGAGTATTTCGGCCCCAGTAATGGTGTTTCGGCCTGTATTGCGACGCATGCAACCGTGGACTTTCAAACGCGAAACTGGCGATTTCTATCGCATGCTGGCATGTGCCATGGATGACCTAACTCTTGCAACATTAACTGAGATTCTAAAATGTGATTTTGCTTAGAAAGGATCACGCTGGCTACGCACGACCTGTCTCCCACAGCGTGCAACAGGTAGCAATAAGGGCTGCTCGGGATTCATACGGATGAGAATTCCATAGAAGTTGCATTGCGAAGGGACCGTTACAGTCCGGCTCTCAGTCCGAGGTCAGTCGGAAACATCTCAAGCCACGACTCTTAGCGCGGACGACTTGGGAATGAGTTCCCCAGTGTTGGCTTCGCCTCCCCCCCTCCCGTACACCGGTCGACCGTCTGTGGCTGTTAACAAACAGGTGATCTATTTGAAAGCAGGGGCCGACTCAACTTGTAGGGGTCCAAGACCTGCCGCCTCACCCATGTACGGCAGTAGCTGAGACCTTGCACGAACTCAACACAGCCGTATGCAGTGACATGATTAACTAAGCTGGAAGGTATAATTTCAGTGTTCCTATCTTTATCAGAAGGAGATCATGGATGGTGAGGCGTTTTCTGAACTGCTTCAAAAAATGAAGTAAACTTCTTATTTAGCAGTATTTTAACGACCATGGTCTCAGTATTTTTAACATGATTACTGTCCACCTCATCGGAAGGCATAGTCTAAGGAGCGCGTAGTTAGCACCCTCTAACCTCACCTTCAGGATGAATGGCAGTCAAAACGCCAAAATCAGATGTAGCCGCACCTGAGGTCAACACACTCCAGCCGCCTGTAATACGGAACCGGTGGTAATAGAGCTTTTTACAGGTGGGACCAGGGAACGCACAGGCGACGAGGTAAAGTAGTTGCATGCTAAAGAAAAGCTATTGGGAATGCGCGGTTGTACCTTGAGTGGTTGAGAGATAGTTTCCCTAACCTCTGACCTTAACCCCTAACCCTAACCCCTAACAGTATTGTGTCCATCAGGTGTGACTGCATAACCACATCTTGTGTGTGCTTCTAAAGCTTAGGCTTTCTCCTTTGGTACGATTTTTGGCGTTTTCGTCATTTTTACTCTTGTAGACAATTCTTCAGTACTGAATAACGCAATATTACTTTTACTATTTTGTGTTTTCATTTTACTTAAAAGTCTCCCAATTATTAGTTGGGAATGTTGGTCGTTATGTTTGGGCGGTGTTCCGAGTGAAAAGAGATGTTTCGTGGATTTGAGCACATTTCCTGAGTTAGCAAATTCACTGTATATGTATTATGTCAGCGGGCGCTCACCGATCAGGTTACGGAACATGCTCGTTCCGTTGTGCCTTGGGGCTCATACTAGAACCCTCGCAGGCAGTCGCACAATCGACAGAACAATGGGCCCGTGGCTCAATGGTAGTGTCAAACTCCATAACCAAAGATCCCGGATTCGAATCTCAAGTGATCCACACTTGAGGTCGGGTATGACTGGCTGATGACGGCTAATAAGCCAGAAATGGCCATTCCATTCTCCCTTGTCTTTGTCGGCACCATCTTATCTACTGTATATGTAGTATACAATTGTGCGGGAAGCAGCACAGAACAGGACATCGAAGACCGGGTTTGTTATTCCTAACTTGTCAGCAAGCCAGGCTTCCTCCTTCACCATTACTGGTCCCCAGTAGACTTTTCAAGTCCTCAAGATTGTGCGCCAAGGGGCAACTGGGCAAGTATATCCCTTACCCTGATCGGTGAACGCCTTCCCTGATACAAACTATCCCCTATCTCACCCGACAGGGCAGCGCATCCGCTCACCAATGGTAGAACGTTCGGTGACTAAAGAACTTAGTTTTGAATCATAGGTAGTCCAGGCCGGGGGCCGTGTTTAACCGGCTGACGACGGCTAGTAAGCCGAAAATGGCCACCCCGGTCTCTCATGTCTTTGTCAGTATTCCTTCCCGCATAATATATAATAATACGAAGTGATATGGGTAACTAGTAATACTACAGTGTAATAATGTAGTATTTTAATGTATATTCCTTGTAATATATTTCTGCCAGGTGGCCCTCATCGACCCCTCGGACAACGCGCCCTGTCAAGCAGTCTGGCGCTATGACACAAAGGGCAACCGAGTGCGTGTCTCCGCCAGGACCGGTCATCTGCTTCCGCTGCCTGTGGCCGCACGCATTCTCGATGACCTCACAGACCCTGAGGTTGCTGAAGCCGGCGACAAAGACACGCCCGCGGAGGTGGTCACGAAGCAGACGGTAGACTTTGTCAGCACTCCCCACTTGGAGACCTTTGAGGAGGAGCTGACACGTCTGTATGCTCCGCTGGACAAGCGGAAACGCTTCCCCACGTACTGGTACTGAGTACCGGTGCCGTCTCTGTGACTGTTCTCTTTGAAGTACACCAACTGCCAATATTTTCAATAGAACTAAAAAGTCGTATTTTTTGCCCCCATAATCAACCTACACAGAAGCGTGCCTGTAGTCGGTAGACCTAACCCTTGTTTACCGATAGTGCAGCTCAGTGCAGCAGGGAAATGGGAAGAGGGGAGTGACGCACTTGATTCCCTCGCGACGAGCTAAGAATCGTGACGTGGAAGGTTGCCAACCGAAGGGACAGCTCAATCACCTGTGGAGGGACTGGCGGGCTGAGAGTCAGGCTTCAATGACTCTTTGTACTTGCACTTGATACGGCTGCGATCATGCCTAATCTAGCCGGCCTCGATGATGTCACGAACTGTACCTCTCCATGCGTAACGATCCGCGGCATCAGATCTGGACAGTTCAACCCATTCCCTCCGCCAACGAAGTAGACCGAATACCAAAGGTCCAAGAACCACCTCATGTCTTGACAAACTGTGTCAAGCCAGGTTTTGAACTGACCCCCTCTTCGACGCCTTCAGTGGGGCAACGGTGCCGGATCAAGGGCAATAACGCTGAACTCCTGAGGTGGACGACGAAGAACATGCCCGAACCACCTCAGTCGTCTTTCTTGGATGGACGGAGTTATCCTTGCAATGTTGTCGCAGCGAGCGCGGACTGTCTCATTTGAGACGAAGTCGGTGAACTTCACCCGAAGGATGGTCCTCACGCAGTGGTGGTCAGATACCCCCAGTTTACGCTCGTCCTCCACTCGCAAAGCCCAGCACTCCTTAACGTCTCCATGATGGCACTCTCACGCATGTGGAACTCAACCGCCCTTGCAGAAGCCTAGTGCATGCAGTGGAAGCCAGGTCGTGCGTGGCACACGTAGACGGGACGTTTAGCTCTGCCGGCCACTGTGCCCCCGCCCACCTCCGATCGTCTTGACATTGTCCTGTCACCGGATCAAGATGGACGAGATGGGGGTGCGGTGGATGCTGTGCAAGTCTGCCTCACTGTAAACTGACTTAAGCGCAAGTCGACGGTGCTGCGCCCATTCTTTGGGGCACGCCTTGAACACCGAGCTACCCGATGCGTGGTGGTTGGAGGTGTTGGTCGGGGACATTACTGGCCGAAGCGAACATTGTCGGTAGTGCTCTTGAATGAATTCAGTTCGGCAAACCCTCTGTAATGCACGAGCATGCCAGGGGAAGTGTCATCGAGGTCGCAGAGAAAACCCGAAAAACACCTAATTTCCAGAGTCTAGTAGTCGGTCCGCATGTTGACAAGGATATCCGGACGTCGCTACAATCGTAGAGACAAGTAGCTCCAAAGCAACACCTCGGGTAATGTAGTGTTGCCTCCTAAAGTTCTCTGATGAACGGCATTAGCCCTCAGGTTACGTAAATAACGTTCACCGTTTGCAGGGTGTCATCTGTCAGATTGCAAAATTATAGCAGGGAGTTTGGCAGCCAATCCGATTCTCCTTAAGACTAGGAGCACGGACGTGGTGGAGTTGTTATTCTGTTCATTGAAGTATTCCTGAAATACGCTACGAATGACGACCAACGCAGAACCCATTCCAAATGAATGACCCCGGGCGCACAGTTAAAAAATAAGGGAAAATAAGCCATGAACAAATAGGCGAAGGCACCATGCATTAATTTGCCAGGAACCAGTGAATTTTTTTGAAAAAAGGGAAAATCCTGTAAAAAATCGAGATAGTATAATGCATACCCATCCCAAAACTGAACAGACCGTGCACATGATTATTTGTGGTCTGGGTTTCGTTCAGGGATACGTATGCTATGCAGTGTGAAAACAAGTCGATTGCGTGATTTTTTCCAAAATGAAGCTTTCGGCTATTCCCACCAAGGTTTCCTTTTTTGCTGTGATAAAGGCGTTTCCTGCCAGGTTAATTACTTTCCCTGGTTGTCCTCAAAAGGCATGTCAAGAGACTTCTCATGAACTGAGAAAAAATGAACTATAGCTGACAAGCACGATCAGGAACACCCTACTGTTAACTATCGACTATTATCCCTATTCGACGGGGTTACTGTGATGCTTTCGGCCTTGATGAGGCCGCCGAGTTTTAACTCGTTTTTTAAAATACTAGTCATCCTCCTTGCAACGTCTGACGTGGTACTGGTATATCCTAGTCTCGCCAACAGGTCTGAAAGCGTCTACTATGCTAGGATCAGCAAACCATGGCCTTCGCAGCCTGGTGTGCGCTGGCAGTTCGCCGACACCGGATCACCTGTCGGTAGATGCGCTTGCGCTCCCGCTGGGTATACAGTTAATGGGCATGTTTGCTCAGTCATCCTCGTCCTTCTGACCCCTGTTGGAGTGTTGTTGTCGCTATTGTTAGTGTATAATCTTGGTCAAGTGTATGCTGTGGACCGGGGGTTGTGGTGGCGCGCCTAGGTGCGTGTACGGCATGCCAAACACCTGCTGCGCCCTCCTCCGCTTCCGGTCTTATTGACTCTGTCTTGACACCGGGTCCAGGTGGAAAGTGGGAGCGCGGTGGATGCTGCGCAAGTCTACTATCACTATAAATTAATTCACGTACAAGTCACCGTGCCTACTGCACCTTGGTAAGTGGCGCACGGTGAACATCGTCGGAATCGACGGTCGAACTGTCCATGTCCTAGTCTCAAAGCGGTCAGAAACACACCGGCACGCCGATTAGGCACGGTAACTGATCGCTACTGCTGATGGTACAGTAGGTGGGCTAACTCATGAAATGTCAGCCGAAATTCCGAAATACCTTTTTATTACGAAAAGATTGATCAAGTTAGGCTGTATAACCAATCAACTCGAAGGAAGGGCATAATTTGGTTTTAAAAAAGTTTATTATTGTGAAATTTTTTAGTACCGCGAAATGGCCGTTCACAAAACGCCATGACTCTGCATTTACTAGTGTTGCTTTCAAAGTTAACAATATGGATCAAATCCCCTGCTAAATTCGGCTAGATCGCAGTTGGTAGCCAGGATCCGTATTTCAGGGGGCGGGGGCTTTGTCTTTGCGGCTGTTTTGTGGGGCTCCATAATCACATCTGACCCATTTGGCTTTCATAATACGTTTGAGATTAGGATTAGGGTCCCGGTCAATGGTTTCTGATTTTCGGGTTAGGATTATGCCTTAAGGCTTAGGTTTTCGGGTTACGGTTAGGGTTTGAGCGTACGAATAGGTATCAGTATTACGGTTAGGTTTCTCAATTACGGCCTTTTCTAGGGACTACGGTTACGTTTACGATTTCGGCTAGGTTTAGGGTTGCCGTTAGGGTTAACGGTTACCGTTTAAGGTTGAGGTTAGGATTAGGGTTAAGGTTAGGATTAAGGTTAAGGTCAGCGTCCACTCCCCGATTCCTGGCTACCAATTGCGATTTTACCCTAAATTCTATGAACCCCATATGGTCTCCTCTGAATACCGTAGAGAAATTTACGGTTTTCCGTACGCGGAAAATATATGGTATGCAGATTGGAAGTCCTGAATGCGAGTGTAACGGCAGGTCGAGTTCAAAATATTCTTGAATTGGAATAGTTTTTAAAACCAAATTCTACCCTTCCTTCGAGTATAAAATTGAAAGAGGACGTGATCTTCTGCCGAAAGAGTGAAAGGATGAATATTTTTTTGCATGTTTTTCACGAAATACAATTCACTTCTTAAGGACATCGAAAATCAATAAGAAGGACGCGTGCTAGTTAAATAGCCATTTTTCCAGCGTGTCCCTGCATCAAGCCGAAAAGAAGTTTGTTTGAAAGCCGGCGTCCTCGGTTAACTGAAATATTATAGAATCATGCTGCTCGATGATTAGTTTTACGAAACCACATAATTAGTCTTTACGAAACGGAAACCCATTTCGGAATTTCGTCTGGCATTTCATAAGTTAGCCCACCTACTGTATAATTCTACAGTGGGAGAGAGTCTCGCCTGCAGAAATACGCAGTATTTGTGTGCAGGTGCCGTCAGTGTTGCACATTGATCGCCTTCTCACAGCTTAAAGACGGTCAGTTCATACCGAGGCGGTGTGCCTGCTCGAGACCTTGAGTGCCTACCTGGCTGGGCAGTTGAAGGACGGTGCACGCACGCACTGACCGACGTTAGTGAGCAGACGGGGAAGGCGAGTTTCTTTCGGAAGCATGTGCGATCGCTGAGAGAGCACAGTGTGATGTGTGCACATGGGATGTCACTACTTCGGTATTTATCTCGCTCCTGTCTGTTTTCCCTCCATTAGTTTTACTGAAATGCCCAAACAAGCGCACTACAGTAGTATAGTAGATGTGCTACCTCATGAAATGTTAGCCGATATTTTGAAACGTGTTTCCGATCCACAAAGATTACCTGAGTGGTGTTAAAATATTAATTATCAAGCAGCATTATCCTTCGATATTTCGGTTACGCCAGGACGCCGGCATTTGATAGAGCTGATTTTCGGCCACCCAGAAAAATCTCACACTGTAAATAAGGACTACTTATATAGTATGCATTTTCCCATTGTCCTCTCAGCATTGGGCCACGGGCCCATTGCCCTGTCCGTTTCGATCGGGAATATACAATGGTAGAGATTGCTCACCGATCGTTCAAACCGAACTCACTCTTTCCGTTGTGCCTTACGGGCTCTCTCGAGCCCATCTAGCAGCTGATGGCCGAGCAATCATCACGTCACCGTCCAACACGGGTGATGGGATTTCACCAATAAACAACTTGCATGCCGGCCATCAAGCAATTAGTGAACCAGCAGGCAACAAGTCTTGATGAAGAAGAGAGCGGTTAATTCCCATAGGTATGCGGTAGTATGCCGACTGCATCCTATAAATACTGCAACTTACTGTGCACTAATCACCCGTTTCTGTCACTGTCTCTGGTCATGGGTTCAAGTGAGAACTTAAACGTCAGGCGAATAAAGCCCTTGTTTCAACGATCGTTTCTACTTCTTATCAGCCAGCAGTATATAAATGTTGCATGATTCAACATCGTGTTTTATATATGCCTGTCGCTC